CGATTTCTCTGCCCCCTTTCTCCCCCGTTTGCCTCCCCCGGTCTTGCTCAAGGCGTGGCCGCGTTTTGCTCTTGGGCCGTCCGCTTTGTTATCGGTTTCGCGTGCTGCCTTCTCTTCTTTTCTGTGCTTTCCTGGCATCTGCTTATCGGTTTCGCGTCGGCTGCTTTCCCTCGTTTGTTTCTCGCGCCTCCTCGCGTCTCTCTCTATATAATGCCACGGGCCGGCCGCCTCTGCGCCGCGGTCCTGTTATGATGTCTCGGGAGACACTTGCGCGCCATCGGAGTCCCCCCCGCGAAAGTCTTAAACGCCACCGCCATGGGACCGCGCTGCACCGGTTCCCTTTTGGATTTCTTTGCCCCCTCTTGTCTTCATTTGCTCCCCCCGATCCTGCCCAAGGCGTGGCCGCGGTTTGCTCTTGTGCCGTCCCTTTTGTCGTCGGTTTCGCGTCTTGCCTTCTCTTCCTTTCTGTGTTTCTGGCACCTGGTTACCGGTTTCGCTACGGCTGGGCAGCGATCCCGGGACACAGAGCGGGCACCTCTTGCCGCCTCGGTCCTGCGTGTGGCTCACTACATCGCGAAGGCCTTGGGCAGGGGTGGCTTGGGCGGTGGATGCTTTGGCAGCCTCGCACTGGAAAGGATCGGCTCTGGCAAGTTCTTAATCGGCGGCCAGTGGTTGTCTTCATTTGCTTCCCCCGATCCTGCCCAAGGCGTGGCCGCGGTTTGCTCTTGTGCCGTCCCTTCTGTCATCGGTTTCGCGTCTTGCCTTCTCTTCTTTTCTGTGCTCTTCTGGCATCTGGTTACCGGTTTCGCTACGGCTGGGCAGCGATCCCGGGACACCGAGCGGGCACCCCTTGCCGCCTCGGTCCTGCGTGTGGCTCACTACATCGCGAAGGCCTTGGGCGGGGGTGGCTTGGGCGGTGGATGCTTTGGCAGCCTCGCACTGGAAAGGGCTCCGGCAGGTTCTTAACCGGCGGCCAATGGTCGCGCAAAACTCTATAGAGGGCATGGATGTCCCCAACCCCACGAGAGTCGTAAACGAAGCCAAACCCAAAAAACCTGCCACGGCCCTCCTCAAAATTTGCGGGCGCTTGAAGAGTTTTGCCGGCTGTGTTTGATAGCTCCCACATGCTTTCGCACAGGCGTCGCATACTCTACTTTTGACTCTGTCCAATAATTTGCAGAGTGAGAAACTTGGGAAAAAAGTTGAGAACTTGCAAAAAGGCTTCGGAAAACAACGAGAAAACCACTAAACGCTTTCAATAGGCCAGGTCTGTGGTTAGTTGCTGCGTGCCTCGTTTGTAGCAGAGCTTTTTTCCAAAAACTTGGGAAGATACCTGTTGAATTTCGAAAATTTTGCACGATGGAACTTCTTGGAAATTCAATTCTCGGCAACAGTGTAGGACTGAGATGACTTTGAAAAAACGCAGAATCTTGCTAAAGGCCTGCCCGTGGTCACCATTTGGGCACCAGCCTGAAGCACTGACTGCGACTGCTATTTGGGATCCCCAATGCAGGGGCAGCACCTTGATCGAGGTCACTCGTGGCGGCTAGTGTTTGCTGTGAGCTCGTAACGCGTGGCAACCGGTGCTGTGACTCTATCGCTGTCGATACCTCACAACTCGCGCGAGATATATAACTGGCCGCGATCCTGGTCTTTGTCGGCTCATTGCGGCCAGTAGTAGAGCAGTGCTGGCCATGCTCGTTGTCGGCCGTGGTCCAGTATTGCGGGGTGGCCGGTGGAGTTGTTACCAGAACAGGATCGAGCGTGGAGAAGTGTTCCGAAGTGGAGTCGAATGGCATCAGTGGGCCCCGCTGAATGTTTGGCCACCCAGGACGAGAGTGCTGGCCTTTGGTACTACAGGGAGCAGCGCGAGCAGATCGGTGACGCGGTCGCTGGCGAGTGGTGTGCTGTTGTCAGCAGTGTCTTGAAGAGGTTAGTGAATTTCTGTCGCAGTTCTATCGATCGGCAGTAACAGCCCATAGACTGAAACTATACCAAGGCCATTGCTTTTTGAAGAAGACCACCTAGCTGCGCTCTTACCTTACGATCCACCATTGGAAGCTGATTCGCTCAGACTTAATCCTCGACCATATCGCCCAGCGTGATGCTATCAAGCTTTCACGCAGATTCATACTTTTAGCCAAGGCGTTCCTGCTGTTGCAGTTGTCCACCACTCACAACACAAAAACATCCAGAACAATTGTAGGGGGGACTAAGAAACTGGAGGCATTTGGGGCTATTTATATATAAAAGAGAGAGATGATTGCCAAGAAGACATCAACCGCTACGAAACCGCAGCTACAGACTGTTCCCTGGATGACTCTCATCCTTCAAAATTTCTCGGACCAGTTGCGCCCATCGATGCATCCAGAGCTCTTCTTGGGAATCTTCTCAAGATAATTGAGCGAGGTCGATACTGGGAGAGACTTATAGGGCTGCGAAGTGGCAACTTGATGCGTCACCCTGTTGCGCCTTGTGGTGTGTCGGAGTTGACGCAACAGATCGGAAAAAATGAAGCCAAAGCGTACGGGTGGCGTGCTGAGAGGTTCGGGGTGGGGCTGTCGGTATTTCTTGTTGGAAAGTCGGGCGCGTTTCGTTTTCTTTCCCAGAAAATATGCGTCAACTTTTCCAAAGTCCACCCCTTAAATTCCTTCACGCAAGGGATATCAAGAAAAGAGTAGGCGCGCGGGGCGCGGGCAAGCCCTGGAGCTCCGGACCTCACCCGCAAGCCCGCAAGCCCTAAGCCTTTCCACGTTGCGCCTAAAGTGTGGCATCACGTGAACAGGTGACCGTTCTGAAAGTCTTAAAGCTTAAGACCGCACCAACATGCAGCCGGTGCGCAAAGTCTAAACCCTAGACGACGCGAGCAGGTCGCTGGCTATACAGTCACTCTGGAAACCTATGCAGGAAAGGCGCTGGCCCTTCGTAGGTCTAAAGCTCTCAGGGTTTACAAAAGTCGGGCACTTTTAAACTTTATAAGCTTCAGACCCATGAGAAGGGCGGCCACCCTTGGGGCCATCCGTTCCCTTTCTCTTTGTAAGTCTGCCGCTCTTGCTGCTTTAGATCGCTCCCCTATTTGGTTTAGATTAGACTCCTGCTCTGTTGAGATTTACCGAAGAGAAAAGGAACGGATGGCCCCAAAGGTGGCGGCCCTTCTCACGAGTCTGAAGCGTATAGGGCTCAAAAGTCCGCGACTTTTTTAAACCCTGGGAGCTTCAGACCTACAAAGGGCCAGCGTCGTCCCTGCATGGGTTCCCCGTGGGACTGTATAGCGGGCGCTCTCGTCCTTATCAATAGCGCTTGCGCTGATTGGTGACTGGTCGAAGGGCCTGGAGTTTAGCGACGTTTTCGGGCTAAATACTTGACAAGGGCGCGGCCTTTGGAGCCAGGGAGACCGCGCGCGTGCCTGCTGACGACCGGGAAACTGTTAGAGGCGAAACACTACCCCCCCCCCCAGAGGCTTCCCAAAGTGCCCCTATAGAGGGCGACTGCGACCCTATTCCCCCCCAAAGGGCCGCAGTCGCCCTCTGTAGCAGCCTGCGGGAAACCTCGTGGGACGTTGTGTCCCACCCGCATCCGCTTGCCCTCCTGCCCCTGCCTGCTGCTGCGGCCTTACTGGTCTCCCTTCAAAGGTGACCGGCGGGCCAGTGACTGCCGGAGAGCCCACCGGAGGCAGGCGCGGACCGCCGCCGCCGCGAGCGTGAAGGGCAACTGTGGCAGCGCCTTAACGGCCAAAAAAGCCCCAACTTTCTGCGACTTCTTTCGGCGAATTCGCTAAAGAGCCCGCTTCTTGGCTATTCCGTGTGGGCTTTTTCTGCTCCCAGGGAAAAGTCGCCGGCTTTCCCCCCGTAGGCCGCCGGGAAGGGCGATGCGGCCCCATGCCTAACGCTCTCCACGCAGGGGCTTTCGTGCTCTCTGCCGTGGACCCTCTCCGCCCGGGGTCTAGTGCGGGTGGCGGCCCTGCCAAGCGGGCCGAGCAGCGGGCGCCCTTTCTCGATGAGCTGATAAGCAGACGCAGCCGCCGGCCGGCGGGGGCGCTTGTTTGCTTCCTTAGTGGGTGGGACCCGCCGGTGCGGGTTTCTGGCGCGGGGTGCGGCCCTCTCTTTTATGGCTGAGGCACATGCCCACGGCGGGCAAGGGGAGGCCGAGGCGGCGGAAGCAAAAGAGCTGAAATTCGGAAAGGCCGGGGCGCACTTTGCTCGCTATTGTCTTCCACCCGGGTTGGCACTCGGCCCAAGGCTTGTCTTTTTGCCGGTGTCGGGGCATCCGGGAGCGGGCGCGCGCGGCCTAAAGCTAGCTTCTTTGGGAAATGGCCCCCGAAGGGAAGTGAATAGACCCCCTGGGCCCGGCCGTGCTACCTGCGGTCCCGCGGCGTGGCACTTTTTGCGAGAACAAAAACGCGAGGTTTTTAGCACCTTTTCCCCCACAAAATGCCGCAAGGCGAGGGGATCTACTCGGCGCCGGGAGGCGAGACGCCCGGAGGTCCGCCAAGGTTCGCGCCCTTTGTTGTAAAGGGTTTGAAAAGTCTGACGTTGCCCGTCCCAAATAGTCCGCCTCGGCAATCTGCTCCCTATCGGTCCCGCTGAGCGCGTGAGCCGCGCTCCCCCTCCCCTCACTGCGGAAGCCGGCTGCAGTGTGTCTACCGCCGTCGACACCCCGAAAGGCGTCCGCAAGTACACTGAAGGCAACAAGCCGGCGCAGCCACGAACTGTTTTTTGCGAGAATTGTTGAAAAGGCTTCCGCGTGTCTGTGCGTTTTTTGTGAGGTCTGAATTCGCGTACTGCCGTCCTTCCTATCATCGGCAGCACGGTGCGACGCGACTGTCACTGTCGACCGCAAAAAGAGAGAGGAATGCGAGAAATCCCAAGCGGACACCTCAGTGGCCACTAATTTCTAGTGCCAGTGTGTGATCGTAATTCTTGGCGTTACATTACTTGGCGTTACCATGAACTTCCCCGTGATCGATGTCATCGGGCGCCACGGATAAGCTCTGCTCTTTCAGTACTCGAGGAAAAGAAGATATGGCAGTCTGAGGGGTGGCAACAATCGGTGGGGCAGATACTGACGAGCCCAATTCGTTACAAAGCCCCTCTTCGAAATGCACGTACAAAAACATGGGCTTCATTGAGTATGTCCAGTAAGGGAGCCAATTTTTTTTCGTTTTTATAAGATGAAAATGCAGTCCCGGCTGCGTGCCGGTGAGGCCCTTCTGGTTTTTGCTCTGCTTACCAGTGCGGATCTAGCGGTCGCACGGCATGGTGCGACTGTGGTGGTGGGAGACCTTGGTCCAGCTGGAACTACTACCTTGGACGAAACGGGCGAGAAGCTCAGCTGCATTTACAGTCGCCTCATTTAAGCCTTGTTTAAAGCTTATTTACACGTGGTTTTTTAAGCTTTGTTTGAACCTTATTTATACGTTGTTTTTTCAGCCTTGTTTAGGCCTTGTCCTAGATGTCCTAGAGTTGATTCACCTTCACACGATCATAATGTTATTTTTAGACTTTAGAACACTTGTTGAAAATTAAATTTGTGGTGCTCGTCTAACTTATCGGGAAAAATTATCGCGGCAACCGAAAGGGCCGTCGAAGCTGCCTTACAAAATTACTGAATCCATCAAAGACCTTCGATCAAACCGTTGCGGTAGGAGCACAATACTTTAAACTGAGTACACTCGTCGATAGCAAAGTTGGTGTTTCATTCTTTACCATCTTGGTCTTAATGTCATTGGCCTTCTTTCTTAAGCTTCTCAATTTCGAAAACAAATACACCCTAAGATCCCTCGAAACTAAATGTTTTTCCGTTTCGCAATACCTTGCTAATAGCTAGAAGCGAGCCAGTGCCTGTTGTGAGGTCCTACTTCTACAATACTAACCGGTTGTTTTTACTTTTTCCCTCGCCATTCTTAAACATCTCTATCAGCTGAAATACCGTCGTCCGGAGGCTCCCTGTGGATATAATGCTCTCACATTCGGACACAGTCCGCAACACATCACTTTTACGTGTTTACCACTATCTACATCCCACCAGCTACATCATCATTTAAGATTCTACTCCACCCCTACTTTTTTATTCTTTTACAGAATCATCGATGGTTCCAAGCAGCCGAAGACCTGGGCATTTGGAATCCGCGGACGGGAACAAAACCTCACTCCAAGTCATGGATTGAGGCGAGGGATTTTGCGAAAATGAGCTGTTATGTGGCATGCTGAGTCTCTTTATCTGTATATGGTCTTAAAGAGAACTGACAGGTTCTTTTCCTTCGACTTTAGTCCCTTCAAGCCAAATATGGTCTGCTGTTGCATCGTCGTCTCTTAGAAGTTTATGTGGCCTGCTGATGGGCTCTTAAAAGAATTATTTGATGACCATCTCTGGAAAGTTGTATTAACATTGTTGTTGCGCATTTCCGCCGTGAATGAGTGCGTGAAGGAACGAGCTTGTTTACTGTAGACAGTTTTTCAGAGACTCATTTCATGATCTCTGGAGTTTCTTCTTAATCTTGTAAGATTGGCACGCCGAATATTGTGGTTCATGACGTTAAGTAGAGCTAATGTTGTGAATGACATCACTTGCCGTTGCATCTGTTTTATGGCATTGGTCGGAGTTGGGCTTGCTGTAAGTATTTTTTATTTTGGCACGCTCTACTGTGTTCTACTTCTAAGGTTGGGCCGTCTCAAAGAGCCTCGAGGAGGAGCTTCTGCAGATCCAAGCAAACGCTACACAGTGGAATAGGGTTTCAAATACTTAAGTCTCCTTTGGTCTCTTCGGGTCTTGAGACATGCTTTATCTTCAACCGATGGCAAGCCCCACTCTCTTATCCATATTGACCACTTAGAAGTTCGAAAAAGCGTATTATCTTTACACTTCCTATTTGGAGACGGTGGACTAATCTTTGGTTAAAAAAGATCACAAGGAAGGGCAACTAGTACTGCCTACAACTTGCTTCCTATTATTGTCGTGTTAGAACTATCATCGTATTTTCCCTCACAGAAGGGCGAATCTGAAGAAGAAACACGGAAGGACTTTGCATCCCGCTTGTCGTTGCAACTGGCACTGACTCGCAATTTACTTGCTGAAGTGGAGCGTGAAAACCATGTCTTTCGTGGAAAAAATATTGAGGATTTTTACCAGGCAGCGTATGGAGAGGCGGTTGGGAAGAAGACGGTGTCCACGTTCTTCGCGGCACTCAAGACTATGCTTTAGATTACTCGCACACGTGGTGGGCTTGATACGATAGTCTTGATAAGAAAGTAGTACTAGTAACTACTTAGAATAAACAATCTCTTTATACTTGCAGCATTTTGTTCGATAAAGAAGGAGACGTCTATCAAGACCTAGACCTAGTACCTTCCACCTTATTATAGTCATCAATATTCGTCTATTCTTTTCATAATATTAATGATAATACTAGTCTTCATTGATAAGAATATTAAGCTCAAGTTTACTCCTTTCATTCCTGAAGCAAAAGAGCTGAGCGAGGGCTTGCGCGCTGGGCGTACGGAGGCGGCGCAAGAGCTGCAAGTCTCCGCGGAATGTGCGGCCGCCGAACGCGTGCGGCAACAGGTGATGCAACAACCAGGAGGCTCGTTCTCCGACTCTTCGCAGGATGGAGACGTCTTTCTCTCTGGTTCTTACGCAGTATCGCTGTTTCGGAGGAAATATGCGGAAGCCGTGGCGGCGCAGCTTGGATCACAAGGCACGGCGCGCATGGTGCAACGCCTGATCAAAGCCTTAGGCGCTGCCCTTGGTTTAGTTGCACAGGAAGCGGAGCGGGCAAGCGAAGACGAGCGGCTTCGAGGCTGGCTCAGTAGACTCTTACTGCCTGAGCCGGCGGGACTTGCTGCAGAGGATGCTAATGAAACTTCCTCTAGTGTTTCCGTAGCGGAGGAGAAGATGACTTCTAGAGGAAGTAATGGAGACTCGTCTGCTTCTGTTGCTTTTGACTCCGTCGAACCGCCACAAGAGGTTTCCGACGATCTGAAACCCTTGAAGGCGCGAGTTACGGCATTGCTGGGCCAGCGGCTGGTGAAATTGCCGCAGAAAATTGCAGTTTTAGACATTTTGCCGCCAACTAACACGAGTGGTCTGGACACTCTCAGCGCCGGGCGAGTGGCTATGGAGTGGTCGGGTGCAGCGGGACGCACGACTAGAAGTTTATGCTATAAATGCGGTCTTTTGCATCCCTATTATATTGAAAACACCATCCAGGCTTTCTTTGTCTTTCTAATGTGCATTCATCTCCACAAGGGTTTAGGGTTTAGGGGACTAGATCGCAAAAAAGTTTCTCTATAAACAAGCAGCGCTGCGGCACAAGTGTACGTGATTAACAGCACGCTGTTGCTACAACACAACGCAACCTGGACACCAACGACTCTGGCGGAGGGCGCTGACCGTGCCGCGCGTCTGTACGTGCTGAAGACGTTCTGGCTAGTGTACAACGTCTGGCTCCGGAACCGTCCTGAACTGCATCCGGAAAACGCACAGAGCTTTTCGCCACTTGGGCTCGTCCTGTCCGCCGCAGCGGGCGGAGGTGGTCCTGCTGCGGGAGCGCATAGCAGCCACGAGAGTACTAGCGCTCAACGATCTTCAGAAGACGCGGATGTCCAAGAAGACGCCAAGTCCTGTACGATCTACCGCGAGCTCGAAGACAAAGCGCGGCAGCTGAAGGAAGCAGGCGCTGCCTGGCTCGAGGACCAGGTGGTGAGCCCGGTGCTGTTTACTTGGTGGTCGCAATTCGTAGCCGAAATGTTGACACCTCAGGCTCTGGCGCAGCGCGGCAACAAGGTACCACCGCAACAAATGAAGTGGAGTGCGGATTTGTTCTTCCCGTTGGCAGACGCGAGCAGCGGCTCATCGAATCTTGTCGTGACCGGGTCCAAGGCACCATCTTTGCGTAAATCAACGACCTTATCAAACAACGCGAAGTCAAGCACTGCGACTGATAAGGAATCTTCAAAAATTGATGCGGAACTTTAGGTGCGACTGTGTGCTCCAAAAATTCTTTCTGGCTTTATTTGGGACTTAGTGTATCACTTTACTGACACGTGCATCGCTACAAACAAACACTCACGACAACCGTAACAATATGCAACTTGTTGTCCTTCTCTGAAAAACAACGCAAAGATGTATCCGTTTTGCAGTTTCCATTTTGCGTAGAATCAGCTTTAGATGAGGGGTGGGGCTAGCACAGCAAATCGCTGGTGGCGAATCGGTGACTCAAGACAGGAAACTCAAGTGTGAGATAAGAATACAACCTTGATGAGATGAATGACAAGGCTCGGCTGATCGTTGTGTCGGGACCTCAACAGCATAACCGGTTTTACAAATATGCAACGGCGTTGAAGAATCTGAGGAGCCACGGATCTCTATGAGCAGATGAAGATAATTTATGAGGAACGAGCACATGGCACCACAGGCGGATCTGATCGCCCGGGCCCGGTAGGGCGTGGTCAATAGAACAGAGCCACTCTCTTTGAGCGGCGTTACCAGTGGTCGCTAATCAGATGATATTTCCTAGTAGAGCTTATACTTGCTCGCTTCTTTCGACAAGCATTACTTGCTGTAGTAGTTGTCACTGACATTTCAGCACTAGTAATTGGTGCCATTTCACCCATCCGTGTGCTGACATCAGTAACCTTCGTATTTGGATATCGTTCAAAAGATGCATTCGTATGTGTCAACTCGGGACCCCTCGGGCCGCTTGTTTTCTTTCGAGGAGGCCCTGTTGTTGGGTTATGCGCCTGACGGTGGTGTCTTTGTGCCTGCACCGAGTTCGCCGTTGAACACGGCGCCCTTTCCGGCCTCGCAGCTTTGTCTATGGGCGTCGAAACTACGAAGTGGCGTCTTGCGCTACAACACGCTTGCCTTCGCGGTGATGCGCAAATTTGTACACGCGAGTGAGATTCCGGATGAAGATTTACAAGAGATCTGTGACAGCGCAGTGGAGTCTCTACTTTTATGTCACGGATGCGAAGATGCATATTTTCAGGCTGGCTCTTTCTTCGTACTTAAAAACATATCTTTGAAGATATCGTGGAACTTTGTTCTCAACAAGTATGAATGATCAACAGAAAAAGCGTTGATTACTCAGGTATTTAATGGCGATGAGCGAACTACTGGGACCACGACTGTCTAATCGTGGATTGGAACGGCCGCCCGCTCCACAGTGGCGTGACTAAGACCGCTACATCTTCAAACAATAGCTCGAAGATTTTCGAACAAGGGCAGCAAGGTAAAGAAAAATCGAAAACGGACGTCGCGTCTGATAGGCCTTCATCAACCACCGTTACGTCAGAGGGACAGAAGATGAACGTGGTGCCAGTGCGTCGTGCGGATGCTGGCCTGTTCGTCGCGGAGCTGTTTCATGGACCGACGTTCTGTTTCAAAGACATCGGACAGCAGTGGAGCATTCGCTTCCTGTCGTACTTTGCGAATCGAAAGGGCACACGAAAAATGGCCATTGTCTCAACCACCGGGGACACGGGACCCGCAGCGCTGAGAGCAGTTGCTGACGTTGCGCGGGCGTGTGGTATCTAGGTAGAAGAAAGTGCTTTTCTACGAGTTGGTGTTGATTTTTGTGATTCGTAGAACTATGGCTTGTCAATCTGTAAGTTTGTTTCAAATTCGTGCTAGCCGTGAAGAGAAAGCGCTAGCCACTGTACGAGTAAGGTGCTGATTGGGTACACGACAGTACACGAGATGAACGAGTAAGATGATCTTTGACACGCTGACGCGGTCTCATGCACACCTTTCCACTACAGACGCTGAAGGAAGGCCTGAGGCTGGTAACGCACTGCAGATAGTAGTTGCGCACCCCATGGGTCAGATATCGGCGTTGCAGCGCAAGCAAATGACCACAGTGCAGTCCAAAGCCGCGAAGGTGATCGCCTTCGATTAAGGCTCACGATTGAATTGGTTTTGGCAACCATTAATCAAAGTTTTCTCCGTCGCATGCTAAGAAGGCGACCTTGGGAGGAAGTAATTTAGCTTGCCTTTATTCATCCCAATCTATTCTCGTCTCTACATTTAAATTTTGCTCTCTAATTTGAGGGCGGCGGCGACGACCTCGATGGTGTTATCAAGAATCTCAGTCGGACCCTGCCTAACCTTGTTGGCGTCAATAGTTTCAACATTGGCCGCCCAGTCGCACAAACAGTGTACTACTTTTGGATTTATCTGCAAATGCTTGCCGCATCAACGACGAGTGCAGCTCTTGCTGAGGAGCCTCTAGGCGTCCAGAAGCAAGAGAAACAACGAGGAGATGTGGACCAGGAGGCCCTTCCTTTAGTCGATTTCGCGGTCCCAACAGGAGCCATGGGAAATTTAACGGCTGGGTTTTTCGCCCGTCGTCTTGGTGTCCCCATCCGAAATCTAGTGACAGCATGCAACGTGAATGACGTTACGTACCGGACTCTCTCTTCCTTATGGCTTTGGACTAGAGCAAGTATTCACATCTGGAGGTGGACGAGAATATGCATGCTCCAGAGGGGGACAGAGAGCTTTTCGCCTATGTCAGTATAAGATTCACATGGTCCGTCTCGTCACGGTGAATGTTAGTGAGCGCTAACTTGTGGCATATTTGAGCGGGCACCGGAAATGCACAAGAATGTCGCCGAGGCAATGAATATACAAGTTCCTTACAACTTCGAACGCCTTCTCTATTTTGCTTTGTTCGACAACGCTGCAGCAGCTGGAAAGAAAGCACAAGTTCTAGACCACGGGGTAGACGCGGACGATGCAACAAATAAAACGACAAGGGATAACTCCTCTTCTTTTTCTTCTCCTCAAGGCAATGCACGTGCACACGAACAGGCGGGTGAAGGCTGCAAGCAGCGGATGGAAGAACTTTCTAGGACAGGGAAATACGCCTTGGGCGACGAAGTTTTTGGATATTTTCAAAAGTTTTTAGGCTGCACATATCGAGTCGACGATGCTGACATCTTAGATACGATTCGGCGGCACAGTTGTGGCGCTAGTGAAGATGACAACGAAACAAAGAACCAACATGAAGATGCAACTGATCGCGCGAAACCTGATGACCCACACCAGACTTCAATGTCAGAGGGCCTGCTCCTTGGACAGGAAATGCCTACGGAGAAAGGAATTCCGTACCTCTTGTGCCCTCATTCGGCGTGTGGTGTATTTGCTGCGGAACGACACAGAGAAGCCCAACTGAAAAAAGGAAGTGATAAACAAGGTTGTACAGATATCGGCCCTCTTCACGCCTCGATTATCGAACAGCAAGTTCTTGATCTAGAAAAAGAACAAGTTCCTACTGTCGCCTTAGCAACTGCGCATTGGTGTAAATTCGAGGATGTTGTGGATGAAGCATTAAAAGACGATCAACATAATGACGAACAGCAAAATATGACGTCTCCGTCTCATCTACGGCGAGCGCGAGCCTTCCAGTTACCGAGTGCTGCCCTCAAAATCCTCGAAAAGCCAGAGCGTCCCTACGATTTGGAGCTCCATCGAGTGGCTGGAGAGAACGAACCAAACGCCCATCTTCGTTGGGAATCGGAAGTGCGAGAACTGATTACACGGTCTAGTCAGCAAGGAGCAACATAGTTTTTTTTTCTGTGCTAGATGTGGTATGTCTCTGTGGTGGCGATAGTGGCAGGACCGAAGTCGCTTAGGGTAACCATTTTCTGTTGTTGTTTCCTATGAAAAAAACGCAACGTGTCCCGCTGACGCTCCAGGTTAAGAGGGGAGATAATATGACATCAATTCAACCTCCTCGTTGTGAAGGATGCGTTGCAAGAAGATAATGATGACTTTTTGAACTGGCAACCTGATAAATCATCAGTCGAGTAACGTCGTTTCCTGAGCAGGAGTTCGGGGTTCGAGAAACTAGCAAGAATATGCGTTGGGTGTCCGAGAGAACGAGAAAGAGAATCCTAGTGAGCCTAGTTTCCTCCTACGTACGATGTAACATTGGAAAAGAGTTGATACCTGGGATCTCCTCCTTGCTAGTTAAATTCGCTCACATATAGATGAAAGTGAAACAAATGATTTTTTTGGGGGGTCTCTCGAAGTTTTTGAAGGTTGCACAGGATTCCACGCTGAAAGAAACTAAAGAACACTAAATCGGTGTTTTCCTCATCCAAAGAAACGTCATAGCAATTAAACGATAGCAATTAAGTACGATTTGAGGAGTGTTTATCCTCAGTATGTCATTGTTGTAGTTGAGAATATAGCGAATTGAACAGAACAAAATTTTATACTTCAGTCTCTATTATTGTGGTCCGTGGAAATCATCATGTCCTCTGCCGCGGTCGCTCAGCGAGAGGTTGCCCTTCGTCTTGCGCGACGTAAGGCTGGAGCGCGCCTCTTCCCGTCCTCGGCTTCGAATTCGAGGTCATTGGGTGAAAGTTTGACTACGCGGATGTTCAGGGGGGGTGGCAACCGGACCATGTTTGCGACAACCACGCCAAGTGTTTCGAGTCGGTCATCAGTGCACATGTTCAATTCTTTTTCGGATGGAGGCGGAGGTCTCCATTATTTTGGTGCAATTTTGCAACCAGCACGTTCACCTACTACTGCTGCTCCACGAAGTTACGTGGACCCGAGAAGAAGTAGTACTAGCAGTTGGCGACTGATGAAAGTTGTGAGAGGACTGAATTGCAGTAGCGGAAACAGCAGTAATGCAAGACAGCAGTGCTTCCAGGTGTCACGGCGACGCTTTGCAAGCGGTCCGACAGTGGTCTTCAACTACGAAAAAGATGGGCAGATGATCGGTCCGTGTGAGACAAAACCGCAACATCAATCGCTTTTAGATGTCGCCCAGGACTACGATATTGAAATCGAAGGTAATCATCGTATGTTGAAGTAGTGTATGGAAAAGTGTGTGGCTATTCCTTATCCTTGGCTCGCTAATAATCACTTTCTTTTCCATTTTCTTACTGCGTCAACAATAATCCGACTTAGAGGATGGGACCATTCGACTTATGTTCTTTGTTGGTCTTTCTAGCTTTATCTTTAAATTTCGTAGGCGCTTGCGGTGGCAACGCAGCTTGTAGCACGTGTCACGTCTACCTGTCCGAAGAGGATTTTGCAAAATTTAAGGAGCCCGACGAAGATGAGCTAGACATGTTAGACCTAGCAGCTGGATTGCGCGAGAAGCAGTCGCGATTGTGTTGTCAAATCCGCTTGAAGGAGGTAAGGGACCTGTTTCCTTCTGGTGAATTAGTGCTCACGGTTCCGAAAGAATCCGCGAACGTCTTCGACCTGTGAACGCGAACAGCTTCGCCTTGCATATCGATATGATTTTTTTTAAGATGATGTATTTGGCTCGGCATGACCATAATCAATAGGCTCGTCTACGTAATTTTGGTGTGATAAAAGGAATAGCATGTAGTCCAAATTCGGGCAACAGCGGAATTGCTGCAGCCACGACCATAATTGCATCTAGGAACATCTCTGTAGCGGAAAACGGCACTGAGGATGTCCTCTGGGTGCCGTCACCCGCTGTCACTTTTTTGAAAAGATTTATCTCTTTCATCGATAAGGCCTTCACGCCCGTGAGGTAGCGCAGACTGAGCAAGATCATAATACATCCATCCTACTTCAAGATGGACAGAATGATCTCGTGGCACGAGATGCTGAAAGACGAAAGGCGAAAAGAAGAGGCTCCGCCAATCGTAGATCAGTTGTAGCCAATTTTTGCACTTCTATCCAAGGACTATAGAAGAGACGAGAAGCCTAGAGAGATGAGCCGGACGAAGAGGTGATGTGTAGAAGAAGTTCCTTCTTGTTGTAAACTATAATTACTCGGGCTTCATCGATAAAGTGTTCAAGGACATTCAATCAGGCTATCCTTCGTTTACAGTACTAACAGCTTGTTTTGCTACTGCTTAGTGAACACAACAACTTAGACAGCTCTTGTCTTCAGCCAACTTCTAGCGCAGATCAACACTATGGGAGGGCCGAGAATTCAGGACGCTGGAAACCATGCGATACCAACCGCATCGTCCCAGTATGACGAATTAGTGCGTCGTCTGCTCCTCGAGCAGCACGCGAAGGCAGAAGCATTTCGCTTGAAGGATGAGGAAGGAGCATCGTTTTCTGAACAAGGACCGCTCCCGCAGGAAGAGCATCAGCGCTCTTCGGATTCCGGACAGCATGCCCGAGAACGTGAGAGTGCGGATTCCCGACAGCACGCTCAAGAACGTGAGAGTGCGGATTCCCGACAGCATCATTTGATTTCTGAGATAGTTGCGCAACTACGAGATGGAGCTTCGACTGCGAGTTTTGCGGCGCTTGAGCATGAGGTGCGTTCGGTCTATGCTGAGGAAGATCGAGCGCGTGAGCTGCGCGTTGAACAAGCGAGGCTTGCATGGAAAGCCTTCTTTCAACGATATCCAACGAGTGCATTGCAGGATTCAGGTCGAGGTTCGGAGACCTCGAAAAAGCTGAAACCGAGTTATCATTAAGCAATCACCCCGAAATAGTTTCCATCTTATACTTAGAGAACGAGGAAAAAGTCCGTGTAGTTCTACGCGAAGACAAGGGACTTCTAGACAGGCACGTAATGATGTAGGCTCACACTAGAAAGATGGAAGTATATCTTCCTTCTAGTGCTGATGCTGTCTAAGTACTAGAAGATGTTGCCGATGGTCTCTCTGGTCGTTCGCGACGTGGGAGTATCTTGAGTTCAGAACTGCAAGCACAGGTCGCGCGGGTTGAAAAAGATAAGTTGATTGGGGATACAGGGACGGACATTTTTTCTGGCAAACACGAGCTCGGCGACGGGATTATAGAAGAGGGCATCCAACCGATTTTACAGAACAATATCCTGCAGCAAGAGCCTGCCAGTGATCAGTGGGATTCATTTGTCTTGCTCTCGCCATCCGGTTCTTCGAAAGGGTCAGTTTATCGCTACTATCGTCGTCGGCGTGATGTCTTCAGGAGCGATGAGGAAACTATCATTTCACAGAGGATTTCAACATCATTGGATATCGGTGATGATGCCATTACGTGGGAACCATTTTCCGATTGGGGGCCCTACATTTAAGTCTACATACAGCAAACACAGGAGCATCCTTCAGCTTCAGACTATCCGTCTCTCTTCGGTAGAAGTTTCCTGTAGTATAGGGGAAACGTGATAAGTGCCTGTGCACTTATCAAAAACTTGAGGCCAAGGATCATACTATTGAGTATCGACAATGGACACTACTACAATGCGAAATATCAGTATTGCTAATCCATGGTGCTCGGAGTGCTAGTGCTTGGAGGGATTGCTTTCTTGCTTCTATTTCGGAAGCAGTTTTTACGATGGACCACTCAGGGTGGCAGAATGCGCGCGATGGCGGGAAGAAGACGGCCAGTCGAATGACAGCTGCAGGAGGTGGCGATAGAGATGTGAATTGAAAAGAGCATTTAGTAGATGAGAACCCTTCTTCATCATCGCCTGCACGGAAAAATACTTTCTTTCATAATATGATACTGTGGTTGAGGTTGAGATTATATTCTAAATGCTTTCGTGCGGTTGAGAACACAGTCGAAGATCTACAAGAAATGGAATAATAAGTTTTCACAAGAACAGCGAATGATTGGTTTCGTTGCACAACACTCGTCAACAGAATTTTGAATCTCGCGTTGTCTTCGGTATTAGGTCCATCGCACGCCTTCTCATGCGAGTTCTAGATGTAGAATCTGGCGACACTTTCTAATAATCCCCAACACGATGTTGATTCCAACAAGAGACTCGATCGGTCATCTGCTCTTACACGCGCTAGCTACACTGTGCTCTGCATGTGAATGAAAAAAAACTAAATGCGCGACGTCGGAAAACGAGGTCTTCGTTTCTTCAAAGTCCACAGTCAACACCGCGACATGAATTTGCGGACTACAGCAAGCGTGCTGTGTGCATCTTCGTAACTGCCTGCATCTTCGTTCCCTATCACACCTCTCACCACGCACTGCATTCTTCGGGGTTACGTTTGAAAAATATCTTCTGGTTCACACGGAGCTGCTCGATGTCACATGGAACAAATCTCTATCGTGGTCCTTTTAGAAGTTCGATGAATCTTGAGAATCTCCTGATTGTCGCAAAAAAGAGCGTCGTGCATATCGTCCCAATCTCGAAACCCGTGACGAATGAAACCCACCCACCTCAACCTCCTCTAACATGAGATTTTGGAGACTTGTTGAATCATCTCTTTTGCTTCATCAGAATTGCATCCTTTAAGAAGTTGGTCTTTGAATCAACCTGAATGGTTATTGTTATTGATCTATCTTTTGTTACTTGCGTTGATATATTTCAATCTTTTTTGCAGTGGTAGGGACGGCTATATGGTGGAGCGGGAGTTCGACTATCTGTATTTTTTGTGATTTTATTATACGAGGAGGGGCTTCCAGTGGGAAAATGGGCTTCATTGCTGGCTATCCCGGGCCCCAGTACAGCCTTGTGGGCAAGGCTAGGTCGACCACCCGCTACGTGGGACAAAGACTAACATTACAGCCGCACTTGGGCTCTACCATTGCTAGTAGTATGTGCATCGTGAGTATTCAAAAATCGCTTCATACAATTTGTATCAGCTATACAAGGGGTAGTGTTTCTCAATTTTTTCGTCTTCGTACATCTTCCCTGACTTAGATCTTGAGTGAAGGGTTTCGCTCGCTGTTGATGGACGACCCAACGAATGTGGGTTGGTTCGGTCGAACTCGGAATTCCCTAGAGACAACCCAACGAATGTCACGCTTTCTGTGAAGCAAGTATGATTTACTTCCCGGATAAGCACGTTAATTTCCGCAGCTTTAATATTTGATGAAATTTTGTGGATAATTCATGAGTTTTTGTTCACACTCTCCTCTCACCAATCTTCACTTTTACCTTTTTACGTATCTGAGTTTGTATCTATTGATGTTTTTGTGACATCTTTTTTTCCATCCTTTCGTTAGTCAAGGAAGGTTTTCCGTATCGATCTACCCTGAAATAGAATCTTTATCGTGTCTTTCGTTCCTTCGTCTTCGCATTCGCGCATTTGAGTACCGAGTTCCTTATGTTTCTCCGTCGATATTCATTGGATCCATCGAGGCTTCGATTTTTTACCATTCAGTACTTTTTCGGTTCTACTAACATGTGTCTTTAATGAGGATTATTGGTATTCCTTCATTCTTCGACAAGGTGACGATAACCTTCTGATTCATCTTCAAAAATGAGTGGCTTTAGTGGGAGCCTTTTGTGAGAAGCGGAGCAGTTGTTGAGAATGGACATGTAATAAGAAGAGGTAGCGGCTTTATCAATGACCACTAGGGTCATTATATCTTACAATTAGAGTCGTGGTATCCGTGTCGTGTAAAGAACAACGGATGACAACCTTTCACGACAAGGTATACACAACTACACACAAATTGTGATGGCTTTGCTCTCGTAAAATCAAGAACCACCAAGGACGAAGACTGTCAGTCGTGACAGACGTACTGGCAGAAGTTGTGAATTTGCTACGCCAGGGCATGCGAATTACACTTACCTGAAGAAGCAACGTTCTTTGGCTTTTTCACTTCTTCTTCTGAGCGTTCACGGCCTAGTAATCAAATACTCATCTATTCTTCACGCGAGCGTGACGGTTTTTCTGGTGCAACTGTTTGACGACGCGAAAAGGTCTCGTTTTTGGAGCATGGGAACCACGGTCAAGTTGGCGCTAAGCGCCGTTTTTTTGGCCGCGTCGTTCGTGAATGGCGACAATTTCATGCCGCCTTCGGGAGACATCACCACTCAGAAGCAGAATATCCAGCAGCCTGTAGCGGGAACTACCACAGGGAACAAAGCAAACACAAATACGGCTGGCACATCTTCTTCCGTGGACTCGACGGCCACGCCGACCGGTTCGCCCGCCAGCGACGCACCACCAAGCTACACCGGCCCTAAGGGCGCAGTGTCGAAGGCGAAGCTGAGGCAGCTGTTCGAGGAGGGCGTGGGCTCAACGCGACACTACAATGAAGAAATACCAGAGGCGGAGGTGGGGGACGATGCGACCTCACAGAAGGAAAACTACCGCGTCACTGGATTCCCGTTCGAGGCGAACTTCGAATTTCCTGGCGGCTACCTGATAGACTACGTTCTCCGAGCGCAGAAAAACCACTGGGCGCTATACAAAGGCCACGTCTTCGGTATTGAATAAAGGAACTACTCGTTACGGTATCTATTGTTCTTGTCAATATAGAATAAGAAACTTGCTATGTGGAATTTGGGTGTCATGACAAAGATTGCTTCCACAAGAGCTTTCGAAACATGAACCGTATCGCATGGGGAGGTAGCAACCTTCAAAATAGAGTTGTAATGGAAAAATTGCTATAATTATGTGATTCCCGCACCTAGGACTCTTACTAATATTTCGTTCTTCCCATAAATGTCTCAAAACAAAACTGCTGTATCAATCACAAGGTACGACGGATTATTGGGACTTGTGCATCGTGCATGTTGTACGTGAGGATGCGGGAAAGTCGCCCGATGTGGTACTTCCTTACAATCTTGTCAGGGGGATGTAAGAAAAGAACTTTTATTTACAACAACAATCGCTCTATTCCATAGGCAGTAGCGGACTTGCAACTACATTCGGAAGTGATTCTGAATCATCATTTTATCCGTACGACTTTGTTTCACCATCTACGTCGAGTACTTTTAAATATGATAAATCTTAATCTGGATTTTCTCCACGACAAAACGACAGACGTGTGATGTTCTGGCGCCAATAGTGTCAAAGGATTTGGTCGAGCATTCTTCTGATTGGTACCCGGATGAAGCTCCTTACTGCGTGCCACTTGCGGAACAAGAGTATGCGCTTTATAAGGGCGTTCACTACCGATATTCTGCGTGGCAATTCCACTCGCGGATGCCCCGATTTCAGCCGAGCTTCCGACCTCGCGAGACCTTCGCGTCAAGCCAGCTGCCGGGAATGTATTACCTTATGCTTGGAGATTTACCTTTCCCAGCACAAGCACAACATTTATAGGTTCTACTAAGGGTATAGGTATTCATTGTACTAGAGGCAAAATCTATATTAATCATGGAAAAATAATGATCTCTTCTTGATACTCAACACAGCCGCTACCAATTCGAGAAATTTCTTGGTCGTGGAACATACGGTGAGGCCTATCTGGGCATCCGTTTGACGGACTCGCGACCGATCGTGATCAAAGTTCTGAGTGCGAACCCGAAGCACGAAGCCAAACTCAAGGGAAGCAGAGTTGTCTTCGACAAACCAAAGAACCTCCTACCTGGGAGCACGCGGAGTGAGCGGGATGCTTGCAACCTTGCGCAAGAGCTCTATGCTCAGGTCTCAGACCGCTCGAAGTCCAGATTCGTCGGCTGCATAGAGGGCGACGGATGGATTCAACACAAGTACACGAAGCTAATTGTCAGCTATGGTTCATCTTCAATCTATCACCCATGAATTTCTCTTACGATGGATCGCTAAAAAAGTTTTGTGCCAATTCTTGTTTGTCTAAAACGCTGAAGATGAAACGCATTTCTAGGTCTGGCGTGGAGTTGATGTATGCGATTTGGGAGTACGGCGGGAGTTCTATCGAGCAGGAGCCACCTCGGACGCTTGCCGATGCCCTCGTCATCATGAAGAGTGTGCTTGAGGGCATCCACGTGATGGTGATGAAGGGTGATATCGTACATCGCGACATTAAGATTCCTAACATCGTGTGGGATTCGAACAAGGTGGTGCGATTGATCGATTATTCGCTTTCGCGACGCATGCATTCGGAGGAGGATAATGGGAACCACTGCTACCACACGCAGAGGTACAATCGTACGAGGATCGTCCTGGACTCTTTGGATCAGAAATTCAAGGCCGCAAAGCAGCAGTGGCCGAAAAGTTGGGGCGACACCATTTCCACTTGGCCAGACTACGAGAAGGTACTACAACCTTTTCTTGTGATAGATAGTTACCTTTTTGTTCTTGTTGCTGTTGGTTCTTAATAACACAACAAAGTCAAAGATGAAATAATTGAACTGTTGGGTTTCTTCGATATCTTGAAAACTACATCAACATTCTCATACGATGTTGAAGATTTTTTTCCCTTCCTCTCACGGTCCTATTATACTTGTCATTGTCTTAAATCCCGAATATTCACTATCCTCACAGACCCGAGACCTCTTGTGTGACCAGGAGAAGTACGCTCCGTCACTAGAGAAGCAAGTGGAGCTAGGAACGGGGGACCAGCATTGCCGCATCAAGGTACGACAGCCCCGACTCTTCACCGGGGAAAAGCCGCACTTGACAAAGTCGGTCGAGGATAAAATCATGGGCAGGTATGGCGACAACACAGCACAGCTTTTGGTGGATTTCCGATGGGGCCTCTGGTGCGAAGAATACGGGTACAACTTACATTTACATGGTAAGTAGAGCAGACATGATTTTTCGACCAAGTAAGACGAACTTACATTTACTTAATACAGGCATGATTTTTGGCCCAAGTCAGGTATGTCGTGGAGCATTTCGGGAGGTATTTTGCTATCCACGAATTTGATGAGTGGGCTGAGAGTGACGACGATTTGCCGGCGCTCTCTAGTGGGAAGCTCGTCACGGTCATATCCGAGGACCGAGTGCAGGCGGAAGAAACCTACAAGAAGGTGGAAGCACGAAAAACAGAGGCCAATTGTCTGAACGGACTGAACTATTGGTTCGACGATTGGGCTCACAAAGACACTCTCGCTGCGATGGCCAAGAAAAAGGTGCCAGAAACGGACGTGCAAGGGTATACTCGATGTTGTTCTTGCGACCTCCTCCACTAGATGAACATCAAGCTAGTATTGATTTATACCTAGTAAAAATTTCAACATTTTATTGCTTTGCAGAACAATGTATGGAATAGGAATTATTCTTCTCCCCTTCATCTGCTAAATCAAAGGTACATGACTGCGATGGTGGAGGTGCAGGAGCAGGTGCGTAAGAAACACAACCACTGTATTTCGTGGACTGCCGAGTCAGCGCCTCAGGAGGTGAAACGCTACATGATAGAATTTTCCAAGGACGATCCGCGAGCCTTCGATATCCACTCACTTGGGGTGGTTATGAGCCATCTGCTGCGCGACTACTTCGAGGAACAGCACGATCATCCATTGTACCAATTATGTACTGTCTGTAGGTCCTTGAATTTTGCTTTTTTTTGCTGTGGACAGGATCAAGTTTTTCATCTCAACATCTGTGCAATAGTTCTTTCGACTCTCTAAGGTCAACAAGGTTATTGATGTCTGTCAAGCTTATACTACGTAGGTATTTTGTTCACGCAGTCTTTTACTTTCTACTTGGCTTCTTTGATCGACGTTTTTACGAAAGTGTTTGATCATTGGCCAAGTGAAGTTCTTTTTCTTGAACTGAAATCGTAATCTCATCTCAGCTTCGAGCTTATTTCGAGCATGATCGAGAAGATGACGAATCCAGTGGTCAGTGAGCGTTTGTCGGCGTCAGAGGCTCTGCGACTGCTAGACTTCGTCGATACGTTCTATGACGGTCGCGACCGCGGCTTGCAGGGACGTGCCCTCATCGAAAGCCTCAAGCAGAAGGGGCATCAAGGCCTCTAAATAAGGCCTTGGCTTTGAAGATCCTACTACTTAGAAGTTTACTTCTACTTTCAATCTAGGCATAGTAGAGCATTCGGTTCTACTATGATGTATGTATAAGGGTGGGTGATGGCAGAAGGTAAACGTCAACTTCTGGAGAATATTAGATTCTACAGATGTTGAAAGGAGCAGGTTCATTATTTAGTGGATGAGGTCTACCTCTACGTTCTACCTCTAGTTTATTGAGAATATAGGAGTAGATACGGGAGGGATAGAGATTTGGGTCGTACAGATAAGAGCTTGTTTTTTTAGATTGATAGATCGGAGAAAGCTGCTGTTGTAAGGGAGTACATCGATTACTCCTTGAGTCCGAGAGTCTACGGATTTCTGCTGGTAGCAATCGATTACTAAAGAACATCAACAATTGTTGTTCGTATAGTATACGACTGTCATGTATGAATGTCAACATGGATGAGAGGAGACTCAAGCAGGAACCTCAAAGTAGAGTACCTGCTGCTCAAGACAACTCGCGCAACAGAGCCAGATATCACATTTAAGTATTTAAGGTTCAATCAATTTCAGTTGTTGATTCATCAGATAGATTCGATATCCCAATAATTTTTCTTAGCAGATCTCGCCATGAGACATTCGCACATTCAAAAATATTACTATTGTCACTCACACTCCATTTCATATTCGCATATACCAGCAAGATACGCAGAAATACTAGCTAGATCGAAAACACAAATCTAGCTATTATTCGCTACCAATTATCACTATGTTTATTTCAATTTCTTCAATATTTTGTACACGACGCGCCCATAAAAGTTATTTCGAAAAAGTCATAAGACATTAGCAAGGTAAAAGTTTTTTCGACGCGCCCATAAAAGTTATTTCGAAAAAGTCATAAGACACTAACAAGGTAAAAGTCAGGTCGTGTAAGTTATCGCAATATCCTATGTCGTTTCCCAAATATTTCTAACCCACGAAGATAGTTAGCAAACAACTCAATGTCCCCGAGTGAGTATCAATCTGTTTGACATTATAGATGAGCAAATAACTATAAGGACATCGCTAAACAAAAGATAATGAACTCCTACTACAAAGAGATGAAGATGTGCAACCTCGACTAGCAAATCGCAAGCCAATGTTTTTCAATCTTGTTCTTGAAAATAAGATAGCAGTTCTGGTAGATGACAAATGATGAAAACAGAGTGTCATAGATAGCCGATCTACGGAAATGAGCAGTGATAGACACAGTTTATGCGAGATGTTCGCAGAAAAAGAAGGATAAAGACAAAACAAGTAGATAGTATTACTACAACGAGATGAGTACTAGGTCTTGAAAGTCACAGCAACCTCATAAAAGAGGCGTACTACTTTCTCGTAAGCCAGGTCTCATAGGAAACCTAGTGACAATAGAGAAGACGAACATCTACAAGACAACTGGAGAAGGACGAGGTGACGGGCGAGTTAGCACGGGTATGGCTTGGGATTTTGAGGATTCCTCCAGAAGGGGGTACTTCTACTCAGCGCTCCTGCATCGTGCATCCAGCGCATGCAGGCTAAGTGATGAGCAGAATGTAGTGGATCTTAAGCTGCTGGCTTCCTTTGAAGCCATAAATATGTAGTTTCCATGGTAGAGTAAATGCTCATGCTTCCCACGCATATCGTGCATGGATGCCTAAAGCAATTGGTTCCTCTGCTGATCTTTTTCCGAGCCTGAAATCCCTACCTCCTGAGCTATATGTCGCAAAGATTGAGCTCTGGTCCTCTGCTGTGAAAGTAGTTTCACACCTGGCCACCAAATCTTTCCTCAAGTCTCCTCGTAGTTTATTCGTCTTCAGTGTACTAATGATGTTGAATTCTCTGCTACCTGTGCTTATTTCCGAAAAATAACGACACACTCACGCCAAAATTATCGAAGATACAAGTGACTTTTTCAACTTCGAAGAACAAAAACCATGATAGACACTTCATGATTTACAAGCGTGAAGAGGCCACATAAAAATTAGCCGTCGACTGAGTTGATGTTGATTCGTCCATATAGTGAAGATGACTATAATCTTTAGTCTTATCAAGTAATTCCAATCGTCTTGTCGTACTCCCATCCACAAAGTATGAATATTATCAGCTAATATGAAAACTATTGATGTCTTACGATTAAGTCTTAGTTCTTCTCGATAAGCTTAATTTCGTGTAGGTAGGTAAGTTTGAGTTAACAAGAATGCAGGACGTCGATAGAAGATGTCCTCGTTAATCAAGTTTAGGTACAAGAATCCAGGATGTCGCGATCCCTCGTTAGCACATACATTCTCATCAAAACAAGTATGTTTATTTCCAGTGTTAGAATTCCGAATGTCATGTGAAAATTTCTCTGGATAATGTGTGCCGTCATTCTTTCTCAGTGTGACGGCGTTTCGTGTTCTAAGCCCTCAGAAATGTACCTGGGGTAGAGGAAAGAAATCTTGTGCTTGTTCCTAAAGGCTACCAGCCCATCTGGTTCTTTCGTCCGTGCATTTGTTTCTCAGCAGGTTGTGTTCGAAGTGATTGTTCAAACGAGTGTAGCAGTTGCTTGGTTGATGAAGGACCAAGAAACTGTGGGACGATCATGATGTACGAAATCGAATAACTCGAAATCTTCAGGGTGGTGCAAACGGTAAAATCATGCGCGGATAAAGTTCTAAAGGAATGTATGAATGCCGTCAAAAATGTACTTTGAATCTGGAAAGATCGAATTTGCAGAATGCGATACGATCCTCTATTGCTAGGAAAAAAGTTCATGCAGAAACGATCCAAAAGCATGCTCCTTTTTCTGAAATTTTATAGGTTTTTACCTGCAAATGTAATTTTAGAGATCCCTCTTGTGTCATTTACTGCTTCATCTGGGTCATTATTTCAATTCAAATTCAAATTTTCATCTACTACTCTTCTCAGGCTGGGTGTAGTCTTACTTTCTGTCTTTTCGTTGTCAATGAATGGTTGTTTAGTTTCGTATTGACGGATTTTTTCTGTCAGCAGTTTTTTCTGCATAAGATACAAGAATGTCTTTTCATTCTTTATGGAAGAATCCTTTCTTGAATTCTAAGGCCTACGAGATTGTCAGCAGTTTTTTGTAGGCTTCTGTTAGTAGTCGCCTAGAGAGCAGTAAAAAATGGGTCGTGAGACGGCAGGCGGGTCCACGTCCAGTGGGACGCACCGTCGGCGCGACGGTGTTGGACGATCGGGTCCGTCATCGTTCTCTCCTTCCGCCCGCAATTTCGAGGCGCAGCACCGCATGCCGCCTGCAGGGAAGATGGACTCCGAAAAGGAGAAGGACTTGAATGTGAAGCAGACGCGAACCGAAATGCTCCGGGACATGCTTGAGTACACGAACGAGAGCAATCCCTTCGGCGACAGCAAACTGACGGAGAAGTTCGTGTGGGGAAAGAAGATGGAGATGGATGAAGCCACGAACAAGCGAAAAAAGCTTAGCAAGGCAGAGCAGATTGTGCAGAATGCAGAGAAGATAGCTGAAATCCAGAAAATTCGAAAGCGGCGAGAAGAGCGCGACCAAGAGCGCGCCGAATTGGAAGCACAAAGAGACCAGCTCGAGCGAGAAAAAGCGATCGAGGAGAACAGAGATTTGTATATCAACTATAAGTTGTTCCTAGTACCTTATCGAAACGAACGATCCATAACCTAACCTGCCCTAAGCTAACCTTCGAGTTCTTGTGCTTACTGTTGCTGCAGGGAAGAGTGCTACTTGCAGTGAGTCTTGTTAGAATCTCCAGCTGCTGTGATCATTATGAGCAGTGGTTGTTACAAATATAACAACATCTTCACAAAATTAGAATTCGAGGTTCTTGTTCGGTCCTGAAAGTGAAATGTTGACGTCTATCAAAACTAAAACAGGTTTGCTCGTGAGGATGATTTTCAGTATAAGCAGACACTGGAGCGAGCCCAGATGAGGATCCAACAGAGGCGTGAGAATCTTGTGGATTTAATGACGACTTCTCTCCTAGTCGTGGATGGCGATATCGAGAAGGCCAAGTCGCGAGTGAACACCTACAACAGTAGTGGCGCACCTAGTGGCGCGAGGTTCGAGCTCGTCCTGCCTGATATGGACCCCGTTGCCAAGATCGAGAGCGTGCCGCGAACCGACCTCGAAACAATCCTGGAAATCGCGGAGAAAGTCGAGGATCACATCCACGTCCACTATTGGGACTCGCTTCAAACCGTGCTGCGGCACCAGCTGGATCCCAGTACTATTGCGTCTTCCGACGGGAATGCTGGGCTTAGCGGTGCGGATCAGCGGGTAGACGCGGATGTCCACGAATTGCTGGAGGGGCAGTCGCAGGTAGAGCTGGAGCAAACGAAAACGGATCTCACGGACGAACTGCGCAACCCCGATGACACCACTGACGTCAGCTTTTACCAGAGCGTCTTGGACAAGCTGCCGTTGTACCAGGCACGCTGCGCGCTGCGGTGGACGCACTTTGAGGCGCTGCGCTTGGCCAGAGAGGCAGTCGCGATGCAGACGGCGGGTGTGCAGGCGGTGAGGCAGAGCGGCGGCACCTTAGACGCGGATGCGCGCAAAGCAGCTTTGCTGAACGCCAAGGACAAGGCGGATCGGTACGGAGGTGAGAACATTTGGGGTAACAAGCGCGAGATCGTCGCGGAGGCTTTGGACGACGTGAAGGATTTAAAGGTCGTGCTCGGTGCAGGCCACAAGTCGGCAGCGCAGGCGGGAGGCACCGTGAAGAGCAAAGGCGACGGAGAGCAGGCGCCTCGCAAAAAGAAGGAGCAGTCCCGCGACTTGGTGAAACAGCATTTGCAGGCACAAGAAGCGCGCGAAAAAGGACACGTGGATGCCCTAGTCGAACTAGAACAAGGTGGCGCCGTCGATGGCGACGGGAAGAAGAAAAAGAAGAAAGTGAAGTTCGTGGACGGTTCCTCCCCAGAGAAAAGCAACGGCCAGGACAGCAGCGACGAATCCGACGAGGACGACGACGAGCTGAATCCGGAGGAGGTGGAAGAAGAGGAGGAAGTCAATCTTTCTCCTCGCTCGCAGCCCCTCAAGAGTCTCAAGCAGCGAGCCGTTCTCGACGAGCGCACTGGAATTCAGAAGACGGTTGCGCTACGAGAAAACGTCGACTACATTGTGGTGGATGCCGAGGAGGACGCGAAGACGCGTCTGAAGAACTACCAAAATCTCATGCTGCGTTTTGGCGCAGTCCTTGACGAAAAAGGTGACCGATGGGTCGATGACATGCGGCGACGTGGCCTCAAGGATGGAGAAATGGCATTCAACACAGGCCAGGCTGAGGAAAACCAGGATCATGGTACTTACTTTGAAAAATAGATTTGTCATGTTTCTTTTCGAACATCCATGGTGTCATAAATCAACATGAATACCTTATTTTGCTAGCTTGTTCTTGTTAAATGATCTTTCTCGCTCCCATTAACTCTTTTTGCTTGTGGCCCACCACAGGTATCGTGCAGCTCGCGAAAATTCACTACGATTGGGAGAAGAAGTATCGTCCTCGTAAGCCGCGTTTTTTCAATCGTGTGAAGACTGGTTTCTGGTGGAACAAGTACAACTCCACCCACTACGACACCGAGGTACCGCCGCCCAAAGTCGTGCAGGGATACCGATTTAACATCTTCTATCCGGATTTGGTCGACAAGCGGGATACGCCAAAGTACTACCTAGAAAAAAGCGACAGTCAGGAGACGGTCTTGATCAGATTCTCGGCGGGACCACCGTATGAGGACATCGCGTTCAAAATCGTGAACAAAGAATGGAACATTAGTACTCGCCGGGGTTTCCGTTGCGTCTTCGATCGCGGTGTACTGCAGCTCTACTTCAACTTCAAGGGTTTCAACTACAGACGTTAAAATGGTCTGTGGTCCTCCCGCCATGTATACGCCGGTCGTCGTTCGCAGCCAAGACCCACATAGTCCCAGGAGCAACAACAACTACGACAAACCGGGCAAGGGCGGTTACCTTGATACTTCTATTAAGGCTACAAGAAATCCATCTTCACAGGCATCCTGAGACCGTTTCCAAGGCGAAAAAGGTCCTCGGATGCGTCTCAAGTTCTAACTCTAGTCCCCCAATTGTTGCCCTTGTTTCGCCTCACAACACTACTGCGGTGTACTGCAGCTCTACTTCAACTCCAAGGGTTTCAACTACAGACGTTAAATGTTCCCCATCGGACTTCTATCAGCTCCCCCTGAGTCGTACTCCTGTGGAGTCAGGTGAGCTCAGATTCGTTCCTGAACTGTACTCTATAGGAGAAGAGATTGAAAGTGGACTGATCGCCTTTTGGAAGAATGTATGTTCTCAAAGTTGACCGTGGTAACAAGCTCTCACTTCCAACTGCAGTAAGTTTTAGAGTTGGAGAATGTAATTCGAGAGATATTGATATGAGCTGCGAGGAGTTGTGGAGATAGTGACAGGTAATGTGAGTTTACTTCGGTAGAAAATCAAGTCGGTAATATCAATAAATGAGGGTAGTCTTAGTACCAAGGATTGTAGGGCACTAATTTCTGTCCATTTACTGAGAGTGATGAAACAATCGGTAAAAGTCAGGAGAAAAAGTGCATCCCCTCTTGGCGCAGCGGAGAGAAAACAAGAAATTGGAGAGAAAATCTCCGTCAGTTTTATTTGCAAGCTGTAATCAAAAGTAGTCGTAGTCCCATATCTTATCAGAATTTGAAACTTCAATGGATCACTTTGGCCAGTGAGTCGTTTTGTCGTTCTTCCGAGTACTACAAGGACATTCATCAACATTTTTTATCTGCTTCCACTAACGAACTACAAAGATCATCTTATTTTCCAAAGTTGTTTTCGTTCCAATTGAAGCTGTTACTCCATTATTACCTCAATCTACGATAAGATGCGTTTCCCGTGCTTTCGATCCGAAGAATGGATGAACAAAATCTTCGAAAAAGACGTGGAAGTTCCCTCAGGAGTCCTAAAAGACGTAGACCTCACGCCAGCATACCTCCAGAACTATCCCACGGCCGCACTCTTTCCGACGAAGGTAAAAGTAATTCCACCTATTGGTATAGATGCGTACCCGCTGTAATATGTTTGACGGTGATGTAGGCGTAGGGAAGCAAATATTTTCTTGACTCCTTTGTAGAGTTGAATATGAGTTCTTCTCTCTATCATAATCTACTCACTCTTTAATATCGTCTGCCGTTACTACTTACGTGCTCACTTTTTCGTGTGACCCAAAAGGTTGCTGGAGTGCGAGAGCAGATACGGCGGACTTTGTTTCGGCAAGTGCTGTTTAAAGTCCAGAATGTGGAGGTGACTTACATGAAGGACTGCAAAGCAGACCGCGTCCTATTATGGTCAGCCTCAATATATCTTTCTCGGCATCTTGGTACCCTTTTGCCATGTATTTCATGAAATACAACGAAAAAGGGGCCCAAATGAGGGGACCGGAATGCATCCTGGAACACGCTAATCCTAAGCCAAGTCATCTCCGACCGAATAGCTTCAGGAGAGGGGCCTTCATCTCGTATGACTGAGGGTAGTAGTTCATCTGAAGATGCGAAGAACTATAGTAGGCTACTCAGTTCATCTAGTACTAGTGGTGCTTCATCCTCCAGTATAGGAGCCACGGCAGGAGGTCGGAGTGTATTTTCGTCAAGTAGTACTCATACGAGTGAGCAGAGTGGAAGCCATAGCGTTGCACCTCGAAATATTCAACCAGAAGACGAAGCTTCAACCTGGGAAAGTTCTAGTGCTACCTCTTCAGGTGGGGGAGGAGCGCGACTAGAACTTGCGGGTTACGCCAATCCACGAGAAGGAGATAGAAACTCACATGATCAGTCAAGTTCGCAGATCACTGCCTATTTTTCCGATTTGAAGCAACGCGGCTTGGATTGGTTCTTCGACACTGTTCATTTGCGTGGTGGCGGCTCGTCGGAGGTGGAATTCCTTAGGGAAGAGTTTTGGACAGTGGATCGGTGTGGTCAAGAACGCGATTATCGTGTCCGCTACTACCGTGAAGCTGGCGGTGATGGGTTCACGACAGCCGTGTGGCCAAAAAAAATGCGGGATAAAGTGGCCCTTCTCTATTATCATTGCTGGCAGTGAAGATGAACGCATCACTGTTCTTGATGTTGAAGGTGTGCTTTCATCTTCTTCTCAAATGAACACTTGTACCTTGATGTTCATCTTCATCTCATGAGAACTCTTGGGTCTTTTTCGTTTTATACGCGGTTACTAGTAGGTGCATGCTGTTGAACCTTAGAGCATGTAACGCTATTTAGGGTAGAACAGCAGCCGTTGTGTACTATAGTATAGTCATGCAAAGCATGGCTCACTCGCTCTGCTTTGTTTGTGTTCAGATAATTCGGCTACTACTTGACATAGGGCTTCCTGTTTCAGAACGGAGAATGTACAGACAGAATCGGTCGACGAGCGAGGGCTGCTTACACCAAGGTGGTATCTTTGTCGGATGATCGGGTCATCGAATCAGTCATTGATTTTCATGGAGCTTTCGATCAGGATGCTGTGAAGACGGACCCTGCTTTAACAGAGCTTTACCCCTTCCCCACCTCACCCATCATGAACCTGACCATTTTTCTTGAAAGTTATGTTTGCCGCGGATAAGGTTAAGAATGATTGACTTATTTGACATCGTCTAAGTTAGCGTTTCATCGTTGGATGTTTTATCGCGCCCAGATCAAGAAGTTCTCGTTGATACTTGAGACTAAAACTGCAGAGCAAATATGTGTTGGTGCTTCTCCCTGATTTTATACATAGATGTTTCTAGAATCACATTGCTCTCCACAAAAAAACAAAGAATGTAATAGCGACTTAGAATTTGAAATACTTTGCAAGATAGTTTTGAAGTGACAAGCTAAGCGGGAATAAGTAGCGTCGTGAGAAGAGTAGGAGAAAGTGGCCCTGGATAGGGCAGCCAAATTCGCTTGATCAAGGGACGCCTCGGAGATTACAACAGGTGCGTTCCTTTCGCATCACGTCTTCTACCAAGAAGGACATTACAAGCGACCGCACGACTTCAGCGTCTCAAAGAACGGCCCCTCACTGCAGCTAATCACGAATGCGCTTGCTTTTCAGTTGCTCTTCCACACGCACTAGGAAGTTCACCAGATTATATCGCGGCAATTGAGGAACGAATAAGTGGCCTCTGTACACCCGACAACACGCGAATAACGCCTATAATACCGAGGACGGCGCGCTCCATATTTTCGTGGCAGCACGCAGACTAACAGCAGGAGTGACGAACGTCACTACCCGTCATCTGCGCGGCTTCAACAGCATTACAAGAGTAAGATGGAGTTTACGTCAGATCAGATAGAGGAGTTCAAAGAGGCCTTTGCGCTCTTTGATAAGGACAACAGTGGAACTATTACAGCAGACGAGTTAGGGGTTATCATGAAGAGTCTAGGAAAAAATCCGACCGACGATGAGCTCGATGCCATGATAGCAGAGGGTAATATTCTTAGAAACTGATTACACCGATACGCATAGTATGTTTCAACTGAAAATCCACCTAACGATGCAAGTATCAGCAACATGGTGTCATTAGAAATTCACCTAAGTAGTGTGTAAGTGGAGATGTTGCAGAAGATCTTGTAATAAAAGTGCTTGAGGATCATCATGCTAGAATAGCTGCATAATTCATCACCCACACCCTACAACAAGAACTGATGAAGAACCCCTTTCATACTGCAAACATGTCAACATAGATCCTAAAAATATCACCTATTGACAGTCGACGAGGATGGCTCAGGCGAGATCGAGTTTCCCGAGTTTTTGGCATTAATGTCAAAAAAATTGCAAGCTGCCGACTCAATAGAAGAAATGAGGGAGGCTTTTCTGGTACGTCGTTCTATCGCAATTTTGTATTACGACTCGCTCTGTATCCCAGGTTAGTCTCTTCATCAAATGTATTACGACTTGTTCTTCTCGTTATTTTAGTAGTTGCTTCGTGCGATTTATTTCATCTTGATATTTTGATCAGGTTTGCGTTTGCGACTAGAAGATGGTGATATTTGTCAATTTGAATTATTCATTGCACTATAATATGTAAGGTCTTTGACCGAGATAAGAGTGGATCAGTGACAGCAGCGGAATTAAAACACGTGATGAATAACTTGGGAGAAATAGTGACGGACGACGAGGTCGAGGAAATGATACGCGAAGCAGATGAGGATGGGGATGGGGAGCTTAGTTTCGACGACTTCCTACAGTTTATTCGAAGGAAAGGACTCATTTGAGAATCCTGATGTTGAGCCGACTCCTGATGTAGCTCAGCAAAGACATTTCTAGTGGACCTCACCATCAAGAACAAAGCGGACCCAGAAAGCAGACCGACGGCGGAAGTAGAAGAGAGGAGAGTGGGAACTGAAACTTATTCATACTCGCTTCGCGATTGTCCTAAGACAAGAAGTTTCCACGAAGCCTCTCTTCTCTGCACACGGAAGAGATCATTGTCTGAGTCCTTTAAGTGCTAACTCAGACAGCACCAAAGAATCAGTGGTGAAGTCCTCTAGGAGATGTTGTTGTTTGCTCTCAAAAAGTGAATTCCCCGCTTTTCCTCCGCATCTTCAGCCCCGCCCTCCGAAAAAGCAAACCTGTTTGGTAACAATGAGAAATTGTTGTATCACACACTCGAAAGAAGTAGCAAACATTGCGTCTAATGCACCTGTCTGTAACTACAGATGTGTTCGCACATGCAGGCTATAGACTTGTTGTAAACTGAAAAACGGTCTACATCGAATGAGTTCATGATGCTATGGACCAGATTAGAAGTAGTTTTTTGTAGATGAGGAGCATACTAAACAATATGAAATGTTTTCTTTTCGGTACTTTATAGGGCACTCCGGTATGCTCAAAATTCGAGTCTGTCATATTAAAATAGTGAAAGAAGCACTCTCCGCTCATGTCTCCTTTCTCCGAGAGCGTGTCCATTCAACGAGGGAAAAAGTCAGCCAATCAAATTCTACGTAATCTTATTATCATGATTCACGTACTAGTTGTTTAAAGATACTCGCAAATACGCAGACGGGCATATAAAGCCTGCGAAGAAGATGTACTAATGTGCCGGCTGCAATGAATTATCTTGCTCCAGCAGGAGCGTAAGCCAAAAAATGAACAGGAGCATGACATCAACTACATTAACAGCAGGCGCGGCGTTGGCGCGTACCGACGACGGAACACTCCATCATGCTTGGATCACCTCATGGTCGCTTTCTATACGGAAAAGAACGTGAGATCATGAGCAGATACTAAGACCAAGGTGCTAGTTATCTGCTAGCGCAGGTGTAGCCACCAGGATGAATCCTGCAGTACGAAGGAAACTGCGGGATGGGGACATAGCGTGTCGCTTCCGTGATCCTGGGTTGCCACTCGCAGTGGAGGGTTACCTCCAATGTAAGCATCGGAAGCTCCGGGTGTCCGGCGGTTACGGTGCCGGTTCTTCGCTTGAGGCGCACCTCACCCGCTTGCTACCACCCGAAGTGAAGACAAGTGATCCAAATGGAGAGCGCACAGCTAGAGGAGGTGGCAATGCTTAAGGCATTGGGCTCCCTGATACAAATAGGTATCCTTTCTATCTATCTAACATCAATGATTCTGGAGAATATCTGTTGCACAGCAACAATAAAGTTGCCACTGTAAAAATTCTCACTCAAGCAAGAGGATGTTCCTTCATCTCAAGTAGACGGATTATTTTTTTTGGCTAGGCTTACTATTAAGTTTACTTGCTACATGTCTCCTTCCTACCTGAATCCTTCTGGGCTAGATCTAATGTATAGGAGGAGGAGGAGGAGGAGGGGATCAGGCGCAGCCTGGCGAGATCGAGGTCACACTGCACTACCGAGATGAGGTGAACCCAGAAGAGAGAGACAATTCGATGTATCCGATCGTCTTCTTCCTTCCCGACAATGATGAGACGGCCAGAGACGTAATAGCCGTGATCGCAGATCGACAACGCAATCCGAATCCGCGCCCGCTGACCCAGCAAGTCTACGACGGCTTGTTTGCGACCTCGTCGACCGGGACTTACACGTCAGGCGGCGCGACGTCGTCAACTAGCGGGCGCATGATGAATTCGCCGGGCGACGCATCGCCATCGTCGAAGGGGGCTGGCACGTCGTGGACTTCGCGGCGTCGGCGGCGGGCTTCCGGCTGCTTCCCACCGGCACCGCCGATTCTGCGAACGCTCTCAAACGCGTCCCTAGGCAGCAGACGTTCGGGTGGCCAAGGCGACGACAATAATGCGAGATTCCGAGGAACGGAGGTGCAAGGCGACGACGGGCGAAACGGTGGAGACGTCGGTTCAAAAAGCGGTCGAAGGAGTCGCGGTTTTTTCGGACTAGGAAGTCTGCTCGCAGCTGGGAGGCGCGCTTCTAATCCCGATGGCCGTGGTACTGGCCGTCGAGGTGCATCTGCTGCTGATCGTACCGGTCGTTCGGGAGCAGATCGACTCGACGGGAAGGAAGATGAAGGCCCTCCGGTATCAGCTGAGCAAACGCAGCTTGAGTCCTACCTGTACGACCACGTGGCGGACATCTCTGGGAGAAATAATGTGCAGATTGTGAGGAATTTGATCGCAGAGTACGCAGACTTGGGTCACCTAGGGCCTTTTTTCGCAGAGCAGTTTCCGATGGGAATGCGGGAAGAGCAATTTGGCTGGTTTCTGGTCCAAAGCCAAGATGAGTCGGCGGACAGCGCCGCGCGTGTCTTCAGGAATTTGCAGCAGCCGTGGTGTACGAAGGCAGATCCTGGAGGTGACTCTTCTAGTTTTACGGGTTCAGGAGCGAGCGGCCTTGGGAGCTATAATGCTGGAACAAACAATACTCATAATTCCGCTTCTTCCTCCGGATACAACAATATTTACAACAGTTACAGCGACCCCTATGGTTCATCTCCGTACGGAACCGATTCGTTATCCGGGTCTCTAACGAGCAGGCGAGCGTTGAACGTCTTCGGATTTCGACAGTTTCTGTGCGATGCCGAACGCAACTGCCTATCCTCCGCGTACGTGAGAGAGTCGTCCGGTAACAGTCTGGCTCCTGCGAAATTTGTCAATGGGGAAGGCGGAAATGATCGACTCGATTTGAATCTTCCACTTAACGGATATCTGCAATCGAGTGCAAGTGGGAGTGATTTCTGTGCCGACGGTCTGCGCGACTTGGGGAGAGCAGTGCAGCTGTTTCGCTGCTTGAGCTTCGTAACTGTCCAAGAAGAAGAAGGCAGAAGAGGGACCACGACTAGAGGTCCTGCTGCACGAGGAGGTGGCGCCGGTGCTAATCGACCCACCAGTACTGTCGTTTCCGAAGACGCTGGGGGCAAAGGCGCATGTGATCTTGCAGTCTCTTTCTTTACTGGTCGAGGTTTGGTGCTGGTTCCACTACCAGAGTTTTTCAGGGAGCTTGCGCGCCTTGAGGATGCGCAGCAGCACCCTTTTCCGCTTACGATCGTCCTTGTACCAGCTACCACTAGTCGTGAAGACATTGAGGCGCACCTCGGGACAATAGGAATCGTATCCACGAACGGAACTACGTCGTCTGTAGGTAAGGCCACTTCCTCAGGGAGTTCCGTTGTTGCGCTTGCTACGTCACAGACGCACCAGCTGTCTCCAATGCAGATCCGGAGCCGTATCCTCGTTGAGATCGGAAATTTTGGTGTTGGAGCGGCGACTGAGCTGAAAATGTGGAAGTTTCGCAGACGACCTCAGACAACGTCCGATGGCAAACCTCCTAAGGCTATGTCAGCAGAAGTGCACGATCCAGGAGGGCGAAGAGAGACAGCAGGCACCGTCTTCGATAGCGTAGTAGCAGTTGGTAGTCGAGGTATGAAAGCGCCAGATCCGAAACGCAGGGAACCACAAGGAGGGGTAATAGGTTTGGCGAAGATGATTTAGTTTCGCCTTTTCGCAACAAGCATTGTTGATTCGGAAGTGTATGTTGTTGTGTGGAAATTGGACATTGCTGTTCTAGAATACTAGGGAACTGCTCTTTTACCTCTGTTTCTTTTCAATTCTAACGCGTATGTATCTACCTCTGTTTCTACTTCCTAGTGAGTGTACTATGTTCTTTCCAAATTTCGGTCATGTCTCTTCCTAGAGTGTATCTACGTCAGTTTCTTCCTAGAGTTCGAAATTTCGGTCATGCCGTGTGCTGTTTTTCAGGCCCGGTCCATGATGTTGGATGTTTCTTTTTTGGCTAGCGGAGGAGCCGATACTGCTACGTTTTGGGCGCAGGGAGTACAACGTGTGAGCTTCGGACCATCACTTTCTGGACATTCTCCGTACACAAGCTCTTCCTGCAATATAGGTCGTCACACTGATGTCGAGGTGTTTAGCAGTCCTGAGTCGGTCATCTTCGGGGATGCGGGAGTTTGCGCGCAGCTCCAGCTGAAACAGCTTAAAGCGTGGACGATTTGGCTTAAGCCTTTGCTTCTCGAGAGGAGGGTACTCAAGAGAGCAGAGGAGTATCAGAAAATCTTTGACGCCAGTAGCGCGACAGCAGCAGCGGGTCGTAGCAACCTTGGGATGAAAGCGTCACAGCTCTTTCGGCTGTGGGAAGAAGGCACGATAGGGAGTAGTTCTGCCTCTGGTTCGTCCTCTGCAGGTGGTGAAAACCAGGTAGGAGTCACCAGCAACTTCCTGGTCTGCAACGATAACAGCAATTATGCCCTTTGCTCAGACGCCAAGCGGAAACTTTGGTTAAAATGTTCCTCGCGCAGTTTCGCACGACGAGAGGATCCTAGCTGGTTCGCGTCGGTTTCACGAGAGACGGGGGCTGATTTGTTCACGCCTGAACCGCCGGACCCGAATAAAACTGCCGCAAACGATGGAGGGATGACGACATCTGCAAAAATTATGGCAAATAGAAATTTATTCAGTGTGAGAAAATTCCTGACTTTTTCGTGTAAGTATGCGGGTTCTCACCACAACATGCAGGACTGGAAGTGTTCCTTCTTTCTCGAAACAGGATGATTCTCAATCTAAGTTAACGAATTTGAAGACCACGCAGCAGCAGTTTGTCCAAGCACGAAACGGTGTGGTAACGCAGAGCTCTTCGAGGTCCTCCACGCCTTGGGGCAGCGGCGGGAGAACGCCGGCGTTCATCGGGGCACAGGCATCGGGACGTATGACCGGGTCGGCGGGTGGAGGGTCCCGGAAAGTTGACGTCACTGCTGTGGACAGTACTATCCAGTTGCGTTGCGCACATCCCGAAAGCGGCATATTGCTGTTGGAATTGAGATACGCGGATCGCGTGACGGGCCAGAGCAAAGTTGCGGGGCATTTCTGTACAAAGATGACGGACTTGCGCCCAGGCTTGCGCTGGATACCATTTCCAGGGAACGCGTCCTTCAGGGGTATGCTCGCGCAAGTCGCTTTGACCTAATGGCAATTAGACTGTGGCTCACTTATTTCTCACTTGACTTCAATTCCGTAAGAGAAACGACACTGATGTGGTGACGAAATCGAGCAGCTAGCTAAAAAATTCTAGTGACCGTTCTACTAAGATTTGAATCCGAGTTCATTTAGAACCAGTGCCCCCTTTCTATTTCTTTTCCTAACACTGTCTTGTAAGTACTATACATAGTCGGAATAGTTTTGTTCGCTTGTTACCTGTTACATCTAGAGCCTGTATTTTGTCGGCTTCGGTGTGTCAGACCGGTTTTTCTCTTGCCTCGTCACAAAGTGGACGAGCGGGTACAGGATTTAAAATTCCACTAAGACCTTGCTTACATCATCAGGCCTGTCTTGCTCTTACCTCTGACAGCTCTAAGTTCTTGTTACGTCATAAAGATGCGATACGTCGGATCCCGCCTTCCGTACTACTTATCGTGTCCTCTGGATTCAGTCCTTAAGAACATCGTGGTGCTTACTACAACTGTACTAGGTGAAAGGACCTACAGTTTATGAGCGAGTGTTTGAGAATATTATGCCTTTCAGAATCCGATAATCCGATAATCCGACGGACAGTAGTTGAAGCTGCACAAGTCTGTACGGAAATTGTTCGCATTCTGTTTTTGTGCCAACGAGAGGGGTCCAATGTATAGTCAGAAAGCATCGATAGAACTGCGTGGAGAAATAATGCTGCTCAATACCACGAGCCTGATGGGTCATGTATTCATTGATATAAGCGAGAATTGACAGAACGATCAGTTCTTTGATGTCTATCTTTGATGATCGCTCTTGGTCATGCTGATGCATTTCAAACGAACGAGACAATTTATCTTCATATTCTCTGATGTTGAAGCTTCGATCAAGATGAAATTAGACGATCCAAAATAACGATCCCAATGCAAGAGTGCCACTCCATGGTGAAAAAATTCCAATTTTCGGTTCACCGAGTTGCTAAGAATCTGTCAAATAACGAGCGTATTGATGTTCAAAGACGATGCGAGTGTGACGCTTCTATACGCGGACCATCATGATGACCAATGTGCATCTTCGATCTTCACGATGTCTTTGCTTGATTCAGCGTGGCATTAAATTCAACTTTCAACGATAATATGCTTGCTGCCAACATTACTTTTTGGATTTTCGATATGTTCTTGCAGGTACTAATGAATACGTGTGCTCTTCATGAATACTTTGTCCTTGACCCCTTGTCTCCATCCAAAAATAACGTTCATTTTCAAACGATCCAGTATAATACAGGACGATCTTCAATTTGTTCGCAGAAGAAGAATGCTCCCTTTTCTCACGAAAAATAGGGTGAATAACAATGCAAAAACTTAAACTTCTGAATGCCTACAAAGTGAATTCAATCGAAAGACGAAATGACGAAAGATGGGCTATACGTCTAAGTGTCTGACCAGTTGTATAGACTACAACGCGCGCAGTAAAGCTCGTGCCTGACTGATTGAACTTGCTTCCCTCTCACGGTTGGTCTCAGTGAATTCGACTATCGTTGTAGTTCACTACCGTATTCTTCTTACACGTACTTCTTTCGTTGTACCATAGATACTACTAGCAGCACTCGCTTTTTGCTAGAAGAATTGGTTGTGCTAGGATACAACGTGTATTATTGTTCTACGCAACATGTTCTGAGGACCAAGATAGACCCAATAGTAGGTGAATATACAATATGTATTATGATGTATGTAGGTGGGTCTTCAGAATAATGGTGGAGAAGCACTAGTAGTACTTGAACATTCAATCTTCTTGCAGCGACCACTTTATAGCGTACCAGTCTATTCTCTTTATACCTGGTATGATAACTCTACTAGAGGTGTGTCTTAATTGTATGCGAACTAGAGGTAGAAATTCAGACCCTAATTCTAATATTGGCCTTTGAGAAAAGGCACTGTCTTAAAGTTGATATTGATGGGGCTTGAGGTCAACATTCCCCTGTTCGTATTTGCCTCGTAGCCTATCTATCTTCATCGACAGACAGAGTAGTACTTGAAGTCCGTGTGGACTTCACCCTAATAGTTTTTCCCACGACTAAATATTTACCATTACCACTACGACTACCCTAACCAACCCTACTTTTATATGAATGCTCGTTTTGTTCGTAACTAGTACTACAGATTGAAAGTGGATTCTAGAATTTAGGCAAGATGTTCTTCAAACGTGCCCCGTCAGAGTCTCCAGCATCCTCGCGGCAGTCGCCGAAGGAAAAACGTATTTCTTTTAAATTTCAAAAATGAGCCTTTGTTTGGACAGCACCAAGCAACGCGATTGAAAAATGGATTTTTCGGAGCTTGTATGTCATGTCCAACATGTCTAACACAATTTGAAGATTTCCTATCTCTCATTCCCAATACCAATTTTCACATCACAGTGGCGACTCATCATGAGGGTGGTTCCGACGCAAGCGAGAGTGACGTTGAGGAGCTCCATCGAACGTCGGTGAATCCTCAGCAAGGTGGGCGTAGTGTCGACGACTTAGCTACAAATAAGCAGAGTCCACCTCCTGGCACGTCTTCTTCAGCGGATAACAACACGACCTTGTCGTCCGGCAGCAAGGAGGATTCTGGAGCACCACTGCGATATGGAAGGGCCGCGATGAGCGAGTTCTTTACCGCGGGAACGCGACATGCTGGTCCAGGGGGACGCGCTCTTGTGGACGTAGATGGAAGGCCGATCACTGACGCGACGTTTATGGATGATGAGGAGGCGGCAGCAGAGGCGTTGGAGGAGGCCAAAATTCTCGAAGCCGAGGAGTTCATGGGTGCTCGCGTTCCAGGACACTCCCTGAAACCAAGCAGGGTAGGGGGAGCGAGTAGCGCGCCGAACCACATCCGGGGCGGCCGGTCCGCTCCTCCCGGTGGTGCACCCAGTCTGAATCATCAGACTGTGCCGACGGCGGTGGACGTTGACCTCGACAATGTAGGAGGAAGTGCGCCACTGGAGGAGGCAGGAGATGAGCGAGAAACGGCAAACGGCGGTCTGGAGGAACGGCAATTGAGCAGCGTAACCACGGAAGACGACGAGGAGGTGGAGTTCGTGGGGGACCGACGAGCCGTGGTTTCGGCTGTGTACCCGCGTCGAGGCGTTGCTTCGCAGCATCGTGGGGCTTCGCTCGTATCCCAGTCTTCAGCGCTGTTGCGTCAGCGGTCCGCGAGACAAGGCGGAAACAACGATCCCGCACAGAACTCCGTAGTGGCACACGTGAACGACCCACGCGCATCCCGCACTAGCGTGGAGTTGTACGAAGCAGATGTGGTCGGCGGACGAGGGCACCGTGACGGCACGGCCTCCACTGGCCCAGTAGTGATGCATGCGGCTCCGCAGAAACATCGGAAAGAGAAAGATGGCACAAGAACTAGCGATGTGCCCTCACCAACAGTGATCAAACGCACAGCGAGTGCGAATGTGCGAAAGGCGGCTGGAGGTGAGGTTCGCGCCAGCGGACGGCCCTCCTCGCAAATAGTAGTGTATCCTGACGGCGGGGACGCGGAAGGCGGACTAGGAAGCAGGCAATCGTCAAGAGCAGTCGCGGAAAATAACGTGGGTTTAGCCGTCGACGAGGAGCCCTTGTCGCGGCGCCTCCAGAGCGAGATGAACAGCCGCACCATGAGTGTCCAACAGCGCGTAGGGAAGGTGAGGATGCCGGTTCCGAACAAGAAACCGCCACCGCAGGGTCGATCACCGAAGCAGGGCCGCAATTCTAGTGGAGGCCAATCCATGATCAATTTCGGGGATCAGGCCAACAAAATTATGGCTTCGGGCAGCAGTCGAGGGAATTCGCTGTCGCCGACAGCGTCGAAGCAGGCGACGGGAGTGTTTGTGCCAGGCGCCATGACGCATACCGCGGCGCAAGAGCAGCACGCGCAGTTCTTTCCGACGGTCTATGGAGGACAGCTCCAACCTGGCGCCGCGCAGTTGATCCCGGTTGTGGCGCCTGTGCAGACTTTCACAATCCAAAGCGCGCCTCCAGTACAACAGCCGACTGTGCAGCAACACAGCATTTTCCGAGAGCAACTCGAGAGCCAGCTTGGCAGTGCAGACGGCACGACTGATAAGACGCGCGCTAACAGCGGGCCGCCTCCACCTCCTGTCGAGCCACCGCCGAGGGAGGACCAGCAGCAAGACGAGGGCGAAGACGAACCGCTCGTGCCTGGACGCAAAATAAATAGCATCAATCCGACGGGGGCAGTATTACCACCAGGAGAACTGGACCTCACGGTTGGTGGCAAAGCTAATATCGTCGGGACGATTGACGAGGCGGCGGTGCAGCAGCTTTGGAATGCGGGAAGTGGAACCATGTGGCCTCTCGCGACGACAACTGCTGGTAACTATGACCCCTGGTTTGCGAATTTAGATAACTGCTGTTATCCTTACATACATACAACATATAATTTCGGCTTCAAGATAAAATCTAAGTAATTCAACTACAATTTTGATATTCCTGATGTATGGAAATTTGCAAAACTAGATGTAGGTCAGCGTGACACAAGACGAATTATTTCCAGGCTACCAAAGGGAAGACCATGACAGCACTTGTGATGAAGGAAGCAAGAATCAATAATGATTACAACATTTATTTTGTCGAAGAAAAATGAATAACTCCTCTCTACGTTATCAGGCGGTACCACATTGCTACCAGCGACGGGAGCAGCGGGTATGCCTTACGCTGGGCAGACGACGTTTGTAAATCCCGATGGCACTACGACAACACTACCGGTGACGCTTATGCCATCGGGCTTTCCGACCTCAGGTGCTTCTTCGGATGCACAAGCCATGCTGCAGCTGATGGAGGGGACGCCCATAGCCGGCGCGGCACCAGGGCCTCTGTCGTGGATGACACCAGCGTCCGCCAGCCTCGGGATCACTCCCATGTCCGGCGCAGCCGATGATGGGGACATGCTCTTTCCCGCGGGCGCGCACATTAAGAGCAGTGAGCAAGACGCATTCTTTGGAGATCATGGAGTGGCACAGGACCCTGGAACAAACCAGAATAAAAGTGGCCTTTCGACGCCGGGTAGTCGCGTGATGTTGACCACGGGTGGCAGTTGCAGCGTGCTGACCACCGGGAAGCAACTCATCCTGCCGGCACCGCCGTCGCTCAACGTGGGCGGCATTTCCTACAGCGTCTTTTCGAGAGACGCTTCAGGCGTGGGCGCAATGATGGTTCCAGCACAGAGCATGAATCTAAAAGTCCCTGGACTGGGGAAAAAAGGTGCAGCGTGGGCCGCCGGAAATACAGCGTGGGGCGGAAATAACGGTGCCGCGATAGGTTATTGGGGCAAAGGAAAAGGCAAAGGTGCGAAAAAAGGCGCGTATGATAATCAGAGCTACAACACTGGTGGTGCTGGTGCCGATGCTAACTACGGATCAGTTGCTGGCTATGGTGCTGGTAAGGGACAGGAAGGCTACGCCACTGGCGGAAAAGGGTCGGTTAGGTGGGACGATCAGTACAACTACTACCCGACGACCTGGGGTAACGGCTATGACGGAAGCTGGGGCTACGCTGGCTATCCCGGGTATACCGATGAGATTCAAGCAGCACAGCATAGCGGTGGAAAGCAAAGTAGCAAGGCAAAAGGCGGAAAGGCCGTCGCTGACGATGCCGGGTCGAAAGAAAAGACGACCAAGGGAGGCGCTGCAGCAACGAATGAAGCTGCAGCTGGAAACAAAAACAATGCTAAGGATAGCAGTAAGCCTCTTCAGGGCTCCCCCTATAGTAACTTCAGCGCATCCACGAAGGCAGCCACTGGAAAGCAGGCGAGCAAAGGTACGAAGGCCGCTGGTGGAAGTAACAAAACCAGTAAGCAAGCTACGAGAGGGAAAATCGCTGCGAGCCCCCAAAATGCCTCTACAACCTTGGAAAAGCAGGCGAAGAACGCGGGCGCAGCCGGTGCCTCCGGCACACCCTCCACTGCGACCTCACTTCCGGTGGACGCCGCGGACAAGAAACTGTTTGCCCATCTTCTCGCCAAGGAGGGTGGCGGTGGGGAGCTGGGAGCCGCGACTACGGCGGACAAAAACGACGATGGGGAGCAGACGGGGACCAGCGCAGCGACCACCACAGTAACCACTAGTACCAGTGCGAACAAGAAGGTGGACGCCCTCCATCAAGCAGCCGCTAAGGGGTCCGCAACGGCTGGGAAGGGGTCCACGTCTACTGGTCGTAAAAAGAAGGCCAAACTGTCGAAGGGCCAGAAAGCGGCAAGAAAACTCCAAGTTCAACGAACGACCACCTGGCACTCTGAGGCCGCAACTATGGGCGTCGTCGACGCGATGGGTCAGTTCTTCAAAAACCAGAACTACGCAGGACGCCTCAGTGCGCTGAGTGAAAATCAAGTGCGCACGGGAGGCGTGCACAGATACTGTGTCTCCTTCCACTCCGATCCGGAATACATGGCCCAAGCAGCGTCCTCGAACAAGAGCAAAGGCAGCACTTCTTATAACACTGCCAACAAGGGCAAGAACACTTCTAGTAGCAACACTTCTGGTGGTGCTGTGGGGTCCGCCACAACTACGAACTCTTGTCTCTGCAACGCAGATGGACTAGGCTTCGTATTCTCTGACAAACTTCCGTGCACCAAGAACATTCAGAAGATCAACTCTGTCTTCCTGAACAAAAAAGGAGTGGTATTTATGCTCCACATTTTCTATCATCTACGTTTTTATGCTAGTTGGTAGTGTAGTGGTCTTCTAAACCCCTGGAGTGGGTACATTCATTCATTCACCCATCCCACGTGAAAGAAAACTTGACTTACAGACTTCAAGGTGTTTGATCATTTGGATAGAAAGTCCAGGTCTGAAACCGAATTTTTGATGAAACGCTTCGATTTGATTCTAGGTAAAAAAATCTCCTTCTCCAGATACTGCCTAATAATGAAAAGTTGTTTATTCGAATGACATGGAATTATCCATCACAATTTTGTCTTCCAGATTATGGTGCGCCTGCAAGACGAGTTAGGAGATAAGCGAAAGGACGAGACCAATAAGCTGCACATACCTTTTGAGGAGGGATCCGTTGTTTGGATGCAGGTCGACCTGGATCGAGCACGCGCTATTTTCTGGCTGGGCTCCGAGGACGATGAGAAGGACGGCTTTTTAAGGCTAGTTTTTTTTTTGGCGTTCCTACTACCGTTGTTTTTGACTTGACATTTCTCAAGAACAAGACAGGTTTAGGGCAAAAATAACGGGTATTCAAAACTCACACCAAATAAAGCGTAAGTATCTCTCTAATCTTTGTGTCGCCGCAGTCTCCTGGTAGTTCCAGTGCGCAGCCAGAGTCTTCGAGTAGCGACCCTGTCGAGATTCAAGATTACGAACGGGATATTCCGTGGGAGCGCGCTGTGCACCTGGATTTCGCGAAGTACTTTGAGGAGAAGAACATCCCCCTCGCCTGTGGGTTTCTCACTGTGGTGCTCAAAAATCAAGGCTCCGGATGCCGTCTGGTGTCGTATCAACCCATGCTGCCCCAAGTAGATTCGATAGCGTGGTCGCCGACATCCGGCGAACAGCCAGGCTCCGCACCAGTATCGGGTTCCTCAAATGGCGATAGCCAACAAGCCGGCGACAACGTCGAGACTGCGAAAAGTGCCGCTGCCCAGGTTGCGGGTGATGCGACGACAGCCAGTAAACACCAAGAAGTGACCACGTCAGGAGGAGACTCGGAGGATGGAGCCGAGACGCCAGATGCAAGTCCTAAAAGAGAAGCCTGAAGAAATCTCCATGCTCCAAAAAATTTTCTTTTCGAAAAGTAACAAATTCTCCTAGAATTCTATACGTAAACGCATTTTGATCTTCTATTACAGGAAGAAGAACCTCCTCCCTATATTACAAGTAACGGAAGACAATAGGATAACTATCTCTACCACGAAAGATATGAAAGTTGTGCTCAACAAGAACTCGCTCACATGATGAACTTCCAATGGGATGCATGTAGTAAGACTATGTGTTGCCGAGATCTTCAGATAACACGCTAGCACATTGTGCCCTCGATATGTTCATGACCATCCGCAAGGTGGTCTGCGGGGAATCCGCGCCCCGACCAACCCATGTTGCATTTTTAGTATATCACTGAATCCTTCTATTCAACTAGATTATGTTGTATGAAATGTTAGCTAGATCATTCCATGGAGACACTCATGGAATCGATGCATCTTGAAGGTGACTCACAAGGGAACTCAAGAGCGACGAGTCGTATATTTCAAATTGGGGAAAACTGCTAAAATTTACGGATGGAAAACCTTGAAATGAAATTGTGGACTTGGTCATCCGCGAGTCGTCGACAAGGATACTTGCAAGCGTAGTTTTGAATACTAAGTAAGATGCAAATGAAGAACGAAATTTCTGAATGTGATTCAACGAACATGAAAGAAAGGTAATCAACACTTCTGGGGAACAATTGCTATGTGGGGTTATGTAGAAAACTTCTAGAATGGACGCAATACGAGATGGGGTTGTTTTTGCGCGACAAAATGTGAAATAATTTTTACGCACACGCGAAGTACTACGTTTTTGAAGATTTGAAGCTCCTTCGTCTTGTGTGACGCCGCGACACCGATCGCGCTTGGTGTTCATTGTGTCAAGAGATGTAAGTACCGGGAAGTATATTTTTCTGAATCGCCTTGAAAGACACCTCGGTTCTCAACTATGATTTTTCACGAATGAGAGACATAACTGGAAAGAATATCATTGGGTACACAGTTTCAATGAGTGCTGCTTCAGTATATCTAGAACGGTCGTCTGATTTTAGCTGAAGGATCGTCAACGAGATTTCTTGCATCGGACTGGAAGATTTTGGTCGAGTGAAAAGTCTTGTTTCGATACGAGCGTAGACAAATGCTTGTGGTTAGTCCTTCATGCTGTCTTCCACTTGTCTGATGCTTGCGAATCGTATCGTGCTGCTTTTGGTGGCAGGCGGCAAGCTCCGCCTGCCGCCGGTTTGCGAACTGGATAAAGCTGAGGCCGCTCTTTCAGTAGCCCCAGGATACAAAAAAAAGAAACTTTTTCTGAAGTCTCCAAATCCAAATCCAAGTGGTCGGACTTATTTCGATAGGAGCGTAGACATGAGCGCTGTGAGCCTGAAGAGCCCGCCCTCGGTCAAGAAATATTCTTTTTTTCGGTACCATTGCTGGCATCATCAATCGGTCACGACGGAAGACGATTACCCACATCCCTGAAGCTGTCTTGTTACAATGTCGTTCCGTGAAATGCGATCGCTTTTTTCGGAGTGAATATCCAGTATAATCCTTGTTGCTAATTATGCGTGTGTTTTTCTCTCGTGGTTCTCCCTTCATGATTCTGTATGAGAATTGATATGTTGTTCAGGATTTTGGCGTGGTGCCACCCTTTGCCCAAGCACGACTGATTGAGTGACTGATAGTCTTTCTTTCTATGTCTATGCATCATTACGCATAGTTGTCTATTATAAATATCATTGACCAAGAACTACTTCCACTATACCGTTGCTGCTCTGCTTCAACAAGCCACATTAGACAAAGTTCATAGACCAGGAGGCTTCGGGGTTTTGTGACGGTCCTCGCTGAACAAGTAGTCGACAAGATGCATAGGGCGTTACCAAACGCAGACAAGCCGATGGCATCACAGCCACGAAGTGAGCTCTTGCTTCGTCCGCAGCAGGTAGGAGCGGGTCCAAGCCGTAGTATTCGGGCGACTACAAGAACGGGAGCAGCGGAAACACAACCGCGAAGTCCGTCCTTGCTTCGTTCGCAGCGAGGTCCAGCAAGTAGTAGCATTGGCATTGGGGCGAGTGCAGCGGCTTCGTCGCTCTCTCATGATGCGGAGCGAGAGGCAACGGGGCCAAGAAGTAGTAGTAGCATTGGGGCGAGTGGTGCAGCTGGTGCAAACGAGTCGCCGCTCTCTCATGATGTCGGTGTCCCCGCTTCTAGCTCAACATCCACGGCACCGCATTGGCCTCTTTCTACGGACCCGATCGCTCTGTTCTACGGGGTTTCTCTCACTCTTTGCGTCTTCTTTCTGTCAAAATTCCTGCGGAAGACCTGCGGCAGCGGCAGCATTGGAGGAAATATGACCATCAGAGATGAAACAGACTCCATCTTCATCAATACACAACAGGAGTACAACGACGGAGGCGCGACTTCAACATTCCCCAAGGAAGAGGTCTGATAAAAGAAGAACTGAGGAGATGATAAGAATACGTAGGTTTAGAAAAACATCTTCAAATACTAAAAGGTAGTACTAGGACAAGAGGAGTTTGGAAAGAGTATTCTTGTTGCAAAAAGTAGGACAAGCAAGAGTACTTCTAGCAGTGTTGGCGTCCAAGCTGTCAAAATGAATGAAAATCACGGAAAGTCCGTACTACAAGAGCCGGCCATCGCAGCATACAGGTTCTACAGTAGTACCAGTGCACAGTCATCGTCACCAGCAAGGTTGGAAGCAGATTCGCGAGTGGGTACTTTGGAGATCGACATTGATTAGGTTAGCTTGTACTCTACGTATTATGTATAAATATATTGGTAATTTTGTAGTCTGTCATAGTCTACGAGGAAGAATCACAACCACATTTATAGTAGTGCGACAAAATCACTTGTCTGTTGAAAGAGGCACAAACGAACTCCTCTCTTTCTCTCTCTCTCTCTCTCCCTTTCTCTTCATTTTGTGCTCCTCCTCCAGGTTGCCGCATCCCTTTGCGATTGGGATGGCAGAGCCTTCGAACTCGATCTTAAAGAGCCCTCTCTAGTGTGATCGATGAAGGAAGCTTCGTGCATTGGTATATATTACTTTTACAAAATGGTCGCAGCTAGAGCTAACGTAAATTTTCGATTAGGAATAGCCACATGTACAGTGCTGAAATGTTATTCTTGTTATCTAAAAATACTACATTTCAATGACATCTTCAATGAAAAACCCTCAATTTCTCGAGGTTCCTTTCGGCAGAACAGAGCATGGTTTGCGGTGGGTTCGTGAAGTCGCCTTTTGATCTTCATAGCCGGGGGATCGGTGGTTGGGCACGGAATGGAGTCCGAATGTTATAGATCGTTAAAACTACTACCGTTGCAAGCGAGATAAGAACGATGCATGAATATAGAAGCTCGTAGAAAGCTCGAAGAGAAGTGACGGGAAACATTCTATAACAAAATTTCAACATACTGACAGATGATATTCTGTTAGATTCATATTCATAATTTATTGTACCAATGTCTTGTTTGTTATCAATTTCGTCCTCCTCAACAACAACACTGTCGGAGAGTCGCAACTATTGCGTGATATTCTTGGGATTTGCAGAAGCGTACTTGTACACACGAATCAGAGAGCTGTGGCGTCGGTGCGCACCGTCGAAGAGTAGAAGACATATAGTAGAAGCGAAAGGTAGCGCACGACTCACTTCTCGATGATGTTGGGTTTGCTTTCTCCGACGTGATATTGTTGTTGTTGCAAATTAGTTAATCCGTGAGTCGACTGAAAAGTAAGAATCGTAAATAGTGTGCGTATAACTTGTTTGAAGGAGAAAGCATTTGCCTATCGGTCCCCCGCCGTTCGCCTTTCATGCAGTGTAATATTTATTTTTTGGATACATGTTTGGTTATTTGGATTATCAATTATACTCACATTGTAATTTTTCGATTATTGTTTAGATTGGTAATGTTTCCTGTTGCATAACAATGTAGTGGAAGAAGCAGTCGCTACTGCTGTCACAAGTGGTGGTCGATACTCATCTACTAATATTTGGCATACTTCATTTACGATGAACAGACTAACGTTTGCGTGGATAGCACGCGCAACGGTGTAAAGCTCGAAGGAGCGCGAAGGGCGCGAGAGTAACATCTCGTTCAGATGATCAGTGCAGTTAGCATTTCTTTGCTTTTACATCAACGTGCTGATGTCAACAACAAGTTATTGATAGAGCTTGGCAACATTCGGATGTTTTGCGTCGAGCTCTGCTTGTGCACGCCATCCAGATCCTCTCATCCTGGTAGAGCTGCGGCTTTATCAATCTTTCATTTCGGTGTTTGTGGCGCAGTGCAAAGTCGATCAAGGATCCAGACTGTATGCAAGATGGTGAAGGTGATGTACAGCGAATCCTTTGTTGAGTGACAATTACAAAGCCGAACGTGCAAAGCACAACGTCAAGGAAGGAAATATTTTGCACTTGCGATGAATTGAGAAATATCTAGGTCACTGGAAACACAGTTTTCCAGAGAGACACTCCAATGAAGAACGTCAAATAAGGAGTCACAGAAAGTCCTCTGTAATCGTCCGCCATGCCACCACTGAGCAATGTTGGGCGACGAGATCAACAACAGTGCCAAAAGTCACACAGTTGAACACGATGAATGAAAAAGACACGGACTTAGTTTCCGGACGAAAGAAAATAAAATGATTACCATGGAGCAGGCTTATATGGTTGAAAAACAACACAGCATTGGGCCCCGACGACAAAGAGCGCAAATTCTTATCAAGTAGCGCAAATTATGTGATATAAGTTCCATGTTGATATATGAGCATCCTCCACCGTTTGAATAATTCCGTGACGGACTTGATCAAGCGCTCCTGTAATGCACAAGATATGTTCCAAAATAATGCCTTATCGACTCAGGGCTATTGAGAAATTGTGCTGTCGTTGATAGCCGAAAGCCCTTTGTAAGTATACTTGTGATTATTTTTTCCAATACGAGAACTGGTATTTTCACATTCAAACGCTTTCCTTTTTGCGGTATACGACACAGCCATCACTTTTTCTGAAAATAGAAGATAGGAAAAGCAAAGTTTGTAGAGGTGGTCCCAATAACGCCAGTGTGTTGTCACACTCTCTCACAAACACAATGTCGGACGCTGAGCAGGAGCACCAAGCGGGCTCGGACCACCAGGAGGAGCATCCGGAAGACGATTTTTCGACCTTTGATAAAGAAAAAGATAAGGATGAAGGATCCACACGGCCCTCTTCGCCTGGGCTGGAAGAGGGAGTACAAGAGGAGCATGAAGAACAGGACCAGTCCGCGTATGCGTACAAGGAGCCCGCCCACGACAAAAACGTTTCGAAGATCAAACAGTCTGCGATGTTGTTGTCCGCGTCAGAGGCTCGGCGTGAACGCCGCATGATGGCGATGAGGAAAAAGATGGGGGACCAGTGCAGAGCAGGACCTTATGGTGCTGCCAGCCTTGCGAAAAATGACTTAGAAGACGCGGATTCGAAGTTTCTAAAGCGCTTGCTCGAGAATGAAGATCAGTTGTTGGAGTTCGTCGCGCAGGTAAACTCGGTCTACCAAGAAAAGCTGCACAAGCCCGCTCCGTTTATGACCTTCATCCTCATCGGCATGCAAAGTGCGGGAAAGTCGACCATCGTGGAACGGTTTCTTCAACGGGTTATCAATGTGGTGAAAGAGGGCACCGGAACTCGCTGCCCCTTGGACATCACATGCATTCACGACGACAGCGCAGCCGAGCCGGTTTGCGAGCTGTCTAACTGTGACGCACCCGGGACGAAAAACGGCAAGAACTTGCCGGTCGAGGATGTCTTCAAATCGGTGACGATGCAAAATGAAACACTGGCGAAAAAGAACGAATTTTCGAAAAAGCCCATCTACCTGGTGATCCGCTCGAAGGAAGTGCAGAACATGCGGTTCGTGGACCTCCCCGGGATCATTTCCAACAAGTCAAAAGGCATCGACAACCGCGACGATATCAAGGAAATCTTGCGTGCGGAAATCAGCAAGCCCAACTCCCGAATGTGTGTCTTGCTCGAACCCAAGGAGTTCGCGACTAATCCGATCATCGATTTCATCGACGAGACCATGGAAGGGCGGGACAACTGGGTCGACAAAGCCGACTTTTTCATGACCAAATTCGACATGAGGCTCGGAGATTCGCGCACAGGATCCAAGGCGAATGCCTTCTTCCAGGAATTCAAAGACAATGGCGTCGTTCCGTACATGGTCATTACGCCGACCTTGGACAGTGAGAAACTTGACCCGGCAGAGATGTTCAAGCAGCGGCAAGAGCTTTTGAACACCGCGACTCGAAAAGAGGAAGCGAGGTTCAAGGAGTGGTTAGCGAAGCACAAGGCGTACCTGCAAAGTCACCCGGACGACGAGTTGCTGGATGCGGTTTACCACGAGAAGATCGGCTTCCGGAAGGGCGTCGCTGCTCTGCGGGAGACCATGTTGGCCGACACCGCGAAGCGGTTGCCTGAGGTTTTGGTGGAGATCCGGAAGCAGCTGAAGCTGTGCGAGAAGGAACACAAGTTGATGAAGGAACGGCAAAAGTACAACGATCCGAAGGAGTTGCGGATCATTGTCACCGATGTGGTGCACAAGCTGCAGCAGCGCATCTTCACTTACCTGGACGGGTCCATGGAGATCGCCATGAAATTCCCTGAAAGGCTGCAAACTTTGGAAGAGGAAATCGTTGACGAAGAGGAGTCTGACTGGGCAAACAGAGAGCTGAACCACTTCACCGAGGAGGAAAATGCCTGGCGCGAACACATTACCACGGCGGCGGAAGAAAACGGTGAGTACCCGCGCCAGGTGCAGCCGAACAAGCCGTTTTTGGGTGGTAAGCAGTACCAGCGTGCCATGCATTTCTTCCGCTGCAACATGATCGACCACCTGCCGGCGCCGCATAACTTGAAGGACTTCGTCGCGCACTCTACAGGCTATTTAGCTGGGGGACTGCAGCGTGAGAACTGGGAAAGGGCCATGGTGGAGATCACGAAGCGCTGCGTGAAGCAAGTGACGCACCCGGGAATCAATTTTTTTGTCAAGCACGTGGGCAGCATCTTCCGGCGACTGTTTTCTTTGGCGTTGGACGACATCCGGAAAGGGGAGGAGTTTTCCGTGACTTTTCAACTGCTGCCGACCACGGTCGAGCGCTTTTTGAGCAAGGAGTTCGATGACATGCTGTGGAAGTTAATGAAGTCCGCCACAGACAAGATTCATTGCTCCCTCGAACCCATGTACAGCACGATCAATCCGAACTTGCCGACGTTTGTTCAGACGCAGGCACAAAGGATGGACTTGCAGAAGCACCCTGAGCTCTACGTTTTTCGGGATGGGGCGCCCCAATTGTGGAAGCCGGAAAGGAAGCGGGAGCCGGGATTTTTCGACAATTTGAAATTAAAGATGAGTGCTTTGATCTCGGGATCTGGCGAGGTAAGATGATTATTATGAAAAATGACCGTTAAGAAACGAAATTTTTTGAAATGAGAGTACACCGTTGCTTGCAGGTTCGTTTTCTCATTATCGTACACTAGCACACATTTTCAGTACTATAAATTAGCACTCTTTATTTCGTCGCGCTCGAAAAAGCTACGAATTAACCCCCTCGTTGCTTATTTGAAACAGGAAGCCAAGCGTTTCTTGCGCGAGGAGAACGAGCAGCGAGCCGGGATTCGCAAGGAATTTCTCTCGGATAAGCGCGCCTCGATGATCACGGATACGGAGACCGACATTATCCTGCAGCGTTCCTTCGAGTACATAGCTGCTCTGATGGAGTGGAACCTGTTCAACATGGAGTTTCACTTCGACCACCACCTCTACCAGGGTTTCAAGGACGCACTGCAGGATCAGTTTTGCGGGAAATTAGTCGTGCGGTCCGACTTCGAGAGCTTGGTGGACCGGGATCCGGTCGTTGAGGATCGCGTGGCGGAACTGGAGAAACAGATTGAAGGTCTACAGTCCTCGCTCCGCATGGTCACGCAGATGCAGACGAAATTACGCTAGATAAGTGGGTAGATGTCGTCATCAGGGAAATCTTCGGCAGATTTCCGAAGCGATTCACATGATCAGGCGATCCGCGCTGAACCTGGTTGCAAGCTCCGAAAGATTCTTAAGAAGTACTGTTGACTATACATAGATTTAGATAACTCAGTGCTAGTATTCCGTTGAAAAATTCGAAATTGTCGACAGCATCGTGGACGCAGATAATACAATTGACGAAGCCATTGATTGGCTATACATCACCATGTAGTAGGAGACGCACCGTCGTGATTGCAAATTACACGGACCACGAGTACGAGGACATTGATGAAGAATAAAAACATGGCACCTATTGATTTGTTTTGATAGATACATCCATGGTCTCACTAGGGAGCTGATTATTTGCTGATTATTTGGATTTTATATACGAATGTTGTTGTTGTAACCCATTTACTTTGTGACGTGAACAATATATTAAAGTTGGAAAGTTGTATTACGAGTAAGACTGACACTGATGTTAAGTACTTGTGCTTGTAGAACACGTTGCGATCGACATTTCTTTACCCAGGGGGGTCTTTCTTAGTATCGACTTGCGCAAGAACGAAGTAGGTTAGCACCTTGCCGACGCAGGACCTTGTTCATGATTATGCTTAATAACGCAAATGATTACTAAATGCTGCAGTGATCGAATACTACTACAAACAGGTTGTTGAGCAAGGCTTAACCTTAAGGTTATCGAGAGCAGTCGTAATAGATGATATGAGTGCATAATTTTGACGAGGTATTTGATTCTGGTCTCAAAAAATTTTTTTCTGGCGCTCCTGGCGGTCTCTGCCAGGCTCATTCATTCGATGCCCAAAAGTCATTCCATTTCGTGACGTGTTGTATTTTTCTGACTAAAAAAGATCAATGGCTGATATAGTTCATTATATGTAACTGGATATCTCCAAACTCGTTTCGAACTCATTCACTTCGACATCAGTCCAGTCGCACTCATTCCGTGAAAAATGAACCTCAACCTTATTATATCTCTCAATCTACCTGGCATCTCGATAATCATCGGGCTCATTCCGCCCTACTGCCAGTCGACTCATTCTGCTATTAGGTGAAATATTGAAGTACCATTCTGGAAAATCGCTAGGAAAGAAGCTCATTTCTTACCTTTTTAGTCCTGTTCAATATGCAAGTCCACGGGACACGACCAGTCCAGACTAAATGCAAGATCGTAAGACCGATATTGATTGAAATTTGTCTTTAATCAGACCATGTCGGTTTCTGAAATATTAACTAACTGGCGTCGGTGGTGGAAATCGTTCCTATGGGTCATGTTGAAGGATCTCACAGCTTTTCTCTGACTCTGCTCTCTGCTGCAGTACTACGGAAAACGAGAGCAGCGGAACGAGGAAAGTCGAAGTAAATACAAGGAAGATGAGACCCCACTGAACCATCGATACTCGCTCTGTGACCTGACGGAATCCTGTCGTTCGAGTGATTTCGGTGTCGTAGGTGTGCTCGTTCGCACGAGCCTACAGGTGTAAACAGATCCCCCACAGCCGCCCTTAATATCAGGCTCCACTTTTCCACGGCCGTTGATTCGGTGGCACACTGTTGGAACTGTGTTGTTCCGCCATCAGGCTAGCAGTACCGAATGGGACACCATGACGATGGTTAATATTGCCGAGATTGGTATTGCCCGTTGCATAGCCATGTTGTAGAAGAAGCACTCGCTACCGCGTCCACGAGTGTAGTCGATACTCATCTATTCGGTGGAACCATAATGTTCATTTATGAAGCACTGTATTACCTTTTTCGCAGATTCCCAAGAATGAAAAGACGTCATTCAAAACATTCAGTTGCTTTTACAAAGCCTGTAGATACGTAATTGTCGACAAGGTAAGAGCATTCGTGACCGTGCTCATGGGTGATTGGTGAGTTGTTGCTCTGCTTTGGCCTTAGTAGACCGCCGACACTTTTACTTCGGTGTGAGTTATGAGTGCACGATCGATCAAGATTAAATGCAAGATCGTTGTACGAGCGATATAGAATGATTTTTTGCTTGAATACGTAGTGCAACTACATTCGTTTATCAAGTAACCAATTGTTAGCGGTGTCAGAAATCGGTTTTGCTTGATCAAGGATAATATGTTCAATGAATGAAATATCGGTCATGTGTGCATCTGGTTCAGAGGCAGGACTTCCCCACTTGGCTTTGACCTCGCGGATGCCTCCCTCCCGTGCCTTTTCTAAAAAGAGGTTACACCTCTCTCTTTGGCTTTTTTTAAGTGTTTGTTAGATTGCACGCGTGCAACTCTCGACGGGAGTTTCTGTATCTATATATTGGGAATAAATACTTAGATACATCGCGACGTTTGATTGGCTGAAAGAAAGTTGTTAACAGACGGCTTGCGTCGAGAAGACTGTCAACTCTAAAAAAACATGGTAGTAGGATAATTGGATGAAGAATATTCACCACAGTGATCATGGTATTGGTGGTTTTCTGAAGCGTGTAAGTAGATCTCTGTCCCGGAATAGCAAGAAACGTGCGACCCGGGACAGAAATCTACTTACACGGGGCTAACGTGCGACTCGGCTAAAATTTGCAATGTCTACTTCAAGCGTGGTGCCGAAAAATAGGCTTGTTCAGGCAGGCAAACCAAGCGCGGCAGGAGTGCCTGCTGAAGCTGCGTCTTCATCTGCACAAAAGAACAGGCGTGTGAATAAGTTGGAGGAAGTTGATGTGTCGCAGCATTTCTACGATACGCGGCGTGGGTACCTTATTTCGAGGTTGCCGGTGATCGAAAGCAAGAGCCGTCACGAACGTGAGCTGATTCGAATCCAGAAGGAGGCGGAAGAGGAGCAAGATTTCGGGCTGAAATTTGCGCGCGCAGCGCGTAAAACGCGGGCACTCGAGTCAGCCACGCTCTGCGGCTTCTACGTAGAGGAAGAAGAGGATGATGACGTCGATTTATTTTCCTCCTCACTGGACACTGCGGCCGGGGCGGGAGGTGCTGGCAAAGGCGGACTTTCGAAGCACAAGGCAGGTGACTCGAAGTCATCGGGGGAAGAGACTGCGCAATCGTCACGCGCGAGTGACACTGTTCTCGGTGCGAGCAGGGACGATTCGACTGCGAAAATTGGTGCGCCGAACACTGCATCCGCTGGAGCGATAGCGACAGACCTACGCGCAAATGCTTCGAAAAAAGACGCTGCCCTTCCCGCACCACCAGGTGATGCTGGTAAGACAGCGACAGCGGCGTCGGCGACGGAGGGCGCAGTGTCGCCTTATGCAGATTTCATCGCCGACCTTCGCAAAAAAGCTGCACCTATCGATCCGGCGACCGCTGCAAAGCTTATGGTTCGCGCTAACCCATTTTTTGGAACATCTTTTGGAATTATTAGATTCTATGTTGTATTTGGAAATGAAAGCTACAAAAAGAAGATGCTTCAAAACAAGATAAGTCCTTGGGGCTTCTTCTAAGAAGGTGAAACTGCGCAAGAAACGGCAGACGCAGCGGCGAAAGTGGGAGCAGAGAGGGCTGTACGTCGAAGGCGTGTCGTCAGATTCAGAAGGTGAAGCGTACTACGTGTCAGCGGAAAGCACGCTGACGGATATTGCGAAACTTATCTACCACAAGGCACGCAAAGCGGCGCACTCGGCGACGAACTACGCTGGCTTCGAAGACGAAGATGAGTACAAAAAGTATCACATCCCAAGAACTGCAACACGAACACATCCATCCATAGAAGAGGCGACTCAGCGTCAGGATGCTGAAGAGGCTATGGTTTTAGCTGGTCGTATGTCTGGGGAAGATGTTGACAGGGCTTCGAGGGATGTGGAAGCTCTGGCTCTTACAAGGAAGGACCTTCCCATTCCCGAGGTAGATCTGGCAACTCTCTCCTCTGCCTCCGAAATCGCAAGAACAGGAAGATCATCTGCGCAATCTTTAGAAGGAAGTGTGGAGTTCCCGAGCTTTTTCAGCTCGTCCTCTGATTCTAGTGCAGGTGGTGCGATCGTGAGTCTGTTGCGCGGAAGAAAGTCACCAGGTGCTTTGTTACTTCCGCCTCCGAATTCCACTGCTTCTTCATCTTCGCGCACGAGTTCTTCCTGGAGTGAGCCGGCCGAGTTGCGAGCTAGTGTCGCTCCAGGCATTGTTGAGCTGGCAATGCAATTTGCAGAAGCGGAGCAACTTGCAGGACCTCTAACGCCAGAACAGGATAACAAAGCAATGTTGGAGACAGCTAGAAGTAGTGAGGGGAGTGAGCCAGAACCTAGAATGTCACCTGTGGATGCGAGCAGGTTTGCGCGTGATTTCCTGGCTGGCGTCGTCGCACTTGCACACGACGAGCAGTCGCTTTTCGTTCCTAGTCGTGGAAAGCAGGAGGAAGAATTGGGCAGCGTTGCTGTTCGACAGAAACGAACCTCGTCGCCACTTGCAATTGAAGCTTCGCCTGTAGGTTTTGTAGGACAAGAAATAACTCGGACACGTGTAGAGCAAGCAGTTGATGAGACGCGAACGATCGAGGAGGCAGGCGCCACCGAGAGTGCTGCTGTTGCGAAGGCGTTTCCGGAGCAGGAACATCCGGAAGGTGCGGAGCAATTTGCCAATTCGCGTCGAGATTTGTTAGAGTCCTCCGGAAGCAGCGAGTACACCTGGAGCAGCGGCTCGGACTCAAGTGGAAGCTCCTGTGTTTACGAGTCTGCGTCTTCTGGTGAGGGACTCGGCGGAAGTAAAGGTGCAGAGAGTTTCTCATCGTCAGCGAGGGGGAGCAGCTATTCCTACAGCGTGGTTGACCCTAGCAGAAGTTCATCAGGTGCTCCGACTTCAAGCGAAGAAGAAGAAGCTGAAAGGGAAGTTGGGGACGCGCCAGTACAGCAAAGCTCGCTGTCACCTCTAGGTGACGACGCGCAGGATGGAAACCAGCCTCCAAGCCAAGTTTTCTCAGATGAGGTTGTTCCGAGTGAGCATGAGTCTGTTCAAACAATTTCGTCTTTGGTAAAAGCGGAAGACTTGTCCTCATCGTACTATTACTCGTCAGGAGAAGACATGGAAGCCGGACAAAGAAGCGGGTCATCTTAAGGCTACCGCTAACCCATCACTATCTACGGGGATCCTTGAAGCATATAATTTACAAAAAAAGGCATATCAATAATATTCTTCAAGGGACGATCTCCCGCTAGGATATTCTTGGGTATCTCTTGTATCTGCTACAGGGATACCCATAAGGACGGACTAGGGGTAGCTCTAATCATCGTCAGCATCGTCTTCTTTCACCTATGCTTCCGCGTCCTCTGGAGAAGAGGGGAACAGCAGCAGCGATAGTGCGTCTTCTTCCTCTTCCTCCGGATATTACACTTCGGGCGACAGTAGTGTCGTGAGCTCCTCCTCATCAGCATCAGGTAGCTCTGGCGAAGAAGGTACGACTTTTGACCGCAGAGGTCGTCAGAGGCTTGAGGCCATTCCCGAAGAGGAAGAGTGCAGTGCGAGTTCCTCCACAGTGTTGGGAGCAAGCGATCAGAGAGGAGAAGCTGCGGAGCCACCAGTGACGGAGATGGTAGAGGGCGAAAGAGCGGCAGAAGAGCATGCTGTAACAGATCCACCCTCATCTTCTCAGTCTTCTAGTTCGTCGTATTATACGATCGCAGGAAGTGGCACTAGTTCCTCGAGTTCAGGTTCCAGGTCTTCAGACGATTTTAGGGTCTCAGACGTTTCGTCGTATTACTACGGTAGCAGCGATCCGCACGACAGCGCCGCGACAGGATCTAGCTCAAGCGGTGCAGGTGGCTCCTCGTCCGTCGCGCAGTCCTCGTCGTCAGAGTCAGAGGCGCCATTGCCTTCCGCGCGCAGTGCCACAGCCCAAAGCAGCAACTACCAGACGGCAGGCTATCCTGTGACGTCGCAATCGGAAACGGAGTCGGAAGCATCGTCGCGACAATCAACAGTCCTTGATCGTGCCTATGACGAGAGTCAGCCGCTGACTTTGGTATCGGTTTCAGATGTTGAGACTGCTCCAGGAACACTGATCGGCACGAATCAGAGCTTTGCGACGATACTGTCCGGCACTGCCCCGCGACCAGTGGAAGCTAGCGCTCGTGGTCGACATGGCACTCAAGGTCTTCGAGAAGGTGCGCATCGCGGACAGCTCACAGGGTTTTCCTCCTCGGGAAGCGAGGACGAACATGTGAGCCAGCAGAGGGGTGGTAATGGTCGCCGTGCTGCCTTCTCCGACAGCGGCTCCAATATTTCGTGCTCGGCTGTGTCGTCTAGCGGTGTTTCTTCAAGTGTGGTCTCGTCCTCGTCGGGAGTCCTCTCACTGTCGGGAACTGCGAGCAGCTCTTCTTCGAACTACTCCTATGGAACCTCTGGGACGTCTTCGTCCGTGTCCGGCCAAGAATACTCTTATGGATCTGCCTCCTCATCATCGTCTGCTGCAAGAGCTTCCGCCACATCGTCGAGTCAAGCACAGGCCGCTGGAGAGAAAACGGTGGAGGAGCAAGGTATTTTTACTAGTAGAACCTCGTCAGACTCTGATAAGACTGCCGAGAAGACAGCAAGCGAGGCCGGATCGGTTTCGAGTAAAAGATCTGCTGTTTCTAGTAAAAAGTCAGCGTCTCCGGGCTCTGCCTCTGGAGGAAATGAGTCGGTTGGATCTCGTACTAGCCCTAGCGAATCGAGGAGTTCTGAAACTCAGGAAAGAAGTTCATCCTCTTCGGCTTATACTTATGTTGAATCACATGTAGCTGATTCTAGCGGTACTAGCTCCTCTTCTTCTGGTGGCGCAAGCGGATCCTACACTTCCGGACCAGGCACGTCCTCGTCATCAGGTGTCTCGGGATCAGAGCTGACCAGCAGTAGTGGGACCGGCTCAGAGTACACCTATGGTTCATCTGGATCTTCATCAAGAAGTAGTGCGAAAGTCGGAAGCTCGGCGTCCTTATCTGGTAGAAATCAGACTGAACAGGAAGAGGAGGAAGTCGTTCCAGAACCGAGAATAGCTAGCCATGATGAGGACATCGAGGCTGCCAACAGAGTTGTTCTGGTCGAACAAGAGCCATCTGAGGAAAGTGCAAGTAATGATAACTTTGCTGAACAAGTGAGTAGTGCTGTCCCCTCTTCGTCTGTGTCTTCCTCATCGTTTGCGTCGGCCTTTGCCTACGGATCCTCGTCGTCAGCGGGCACAGGTTCTTCCGGGGCACCAGGATCCTACGAATATGCGTCATCCTCGACCTCTGGCACAGGAAGTGAGTATACGTACGGCGCATCCTCATCAAGTTCAGGTGCTACTGGTGCTGTCAGTGCTGCAGCGCCTCGCACTGTCCTGAAAAAGGCGACCGCACCAGTTGCCGTTGACGTGAAGAAACTCAAGGCATCATCAAAAGAGCCAGTAGCCGCACCTTCTCAAACGCCTGTAGATCTTCCCCGTTCTGAGTCTGAGCGTAACGCTTCGCAGGTGCCGGCTGCAAGTGGTTCCGAATCCTCGGCTGTGGGTTCGTTTTCGTCAGCCTTTGAGTATGGAGCTACTTCGTCTTCCAGCAGCGGGGGCGCCTCAGACGCTGCTAGTGCTTCGTACAGGTTCGTTTCGTCCTCCGGTTCTGGGTCATCTGAGACTGCTACAAGCGAACAGTACACCTACCACGAGAGCATTACATCGAGCAGCGCAGGTGAGGAGATGGCACTAGCAGAGGGACTGAGGCAAATGACTGCAGGAGGACCTGGAGTAGGTGAGCCTGATCAAGCTCTCGTACGTCATACTGTAGCTGAACCAAGTGAAGATGGTCGCGAACACACTGCGGGGCAAGAAGCGCTGACTTCGGAAATCGTCGCAACACTGTCTGACGACGACACGCAGTCTCAGCAACATGCAGCGCTTTTTCGGGTTTTCAACACAATAAAAGAGGATGGCGTAGTACCTGTCGTAGATGGGAGCAGGCTTTTGAAACAACAGCAGACGAAGCGTCAGGCAGCCCCCGCTGGCTCTGCGCGCGAAGCAGTTGCATTAGCGAGGGCAAGTAGTGTACGCACTACCGAATCTGAGAGAGATGGCTATGAAGTAGATGCTGCGGACGAGAAAAAGATGGAGAAGAAAAAAGGCACAAAAGGAAATCAAGGTCGCAAAAAAGATGCATCTTCATCTACCACTCGACCTGTCACCTCGAAGCCACCACCTCCTCTGCACGTGCAACAGTTTGAATCTTCTACTGGTAAGAGGCCAAAGAGTAGTCGGAAAGGGGATAGTACAACTCGACCACTCGTCCCAAGTCCTGCTCCGAGAGTAGGAGCAACAGCGGCGGTGGCAGATACTTCTACAGCCGCTGGCGAAAGACGCCGCGTCGATGACCACTACTCTACTCCGGGTAGAAAAGCAACAAAGAAAAAGAAAAAGGTTCCACAGACGACGCATGTAGCAGCTGAAGTTGACAGTGGAGAGGCCCTCAAGTCTACACCTGCTATGTCATCGATCGCCAGCAGCAGCACTAGTTCCACCGCCAAGCGTGAATTCTTCGTCACGGAGACTGTAGACAAGCTTATGGCGCTTGCTGGCGATGGCGCAATTGAGTTTACCCGAGAGTGGGATGGCAAGATCTATCGCGAGGTTGCTGATCATGTTCGACGATCAGATCCGGAACTGCTGGTTTCCGCGATTCTGTCCCGGTGGACGCGCGCGGCAGGCGCAAACTGGGTCCAACAAGAGATCTTAGAGCATGGAAGCAACAGTCCTACTCTGCGGGCAACTAGCTACTTACTCCAAGACAAGGCCAAGCCCGATAAGCAGAGCGTTTTTAAAAGGATGCAAGCACTGAAAACGCGCGTGGCCGATATTCGAGAACGCCAAGCTCAAAGCTTCCATTTCAAAAAGCTGTGGCCGATGACAGAACGGTTCAACACCGCTGTCTACGAGGATCTTTGCGCGCTGTGTCTGAAGGACCGGCGGTTTTTCGAACTCTTTCAGCGCTGCAAGTCCGCGGGCAAGGACCACGCGGGTGGGCCTTTGGAGCAGCAGATTGCGCGAATGCAGCCTTCTGGAGGTATGGACACAAGTCTAGCGTTACGAGGTCAACACGGTTCGAACATGCTGTTCTACAACGACGTGCTTGGTGAACTCGATCGCATCGACGTCTTAGAGGAACTCGCTGAGCAACAGAAGAGAAAGAAGCCGGAAAAGTTAGGGCTCTCAGTAACTCATTTTCACAGAGTATTTCTCGTAATTTTCTTCTTCGTTTCTGAGAATATTATAAGGTAGAGAATGAATATGGAATAGTGTGAGCTCTAAAATAGGGCGACGGAGATGAAAAGAAGAAAAAGCGGAATCCGTTGACCGACTGGGAAACGAATCCAGCAGTGCTGCCGCCCTCGCCTCGCAGGAAGCACTACGAAGCGCGGCGTCGTGAGCGCGAGCGTGCGTGGCGCGAGAAACGTGGCTACGGCAGTGACGTGAACACGAGCGAAGAAGAATTTCTGATGAAACTGAAAGCTATCGGCGCCGAAGACACGGGAGAAGAGGACAGTGCGCCTTCTACGGCGAAGACCCCATCAGACGTTGCCGCTGAGACCCGCTGGGACGACCGGATGAACCAGTTACACGCAGAGTTCCTTGCTCGGCAACGGGCTGAGCGAAAACGTAGGGAGGAAGCCGCGGAGACAGCAAGGCGGAACAAGTTACTGGCGAAACTTGGAGGTGGGACTAGTGGGGTCAAGGTGTCTGCAGGAGATGGGGAAGGCGGTGAAGACAAGGAAAACGTAGATCCGGTAATGCTTGGTCTGAGACATTCTGGTGGTGTTCTTGGCACTAAAAATGTAGTGAAAGCAGATGAGCTTCGCAACATGCTAGTGTACGGCGAGGGCGCAGATTTCCGGGACGGCGACTTGTTGGCGGCGGCTGACAGAGCGACTTTGGAGCAGCAGATCATGGATTTTGGAGATCTGGATGCCAGACAGATGATTGCCTCTGACGACGCAAAGCGGCACTTGCTGGACAATCCGCAAAGAACGAGCGAACCGGGGCGCTTTGGAACGTCGTGGAGAGCGCTGAGCGACTTCGAACTGAAGCTTGCGCATGCGTTGATCCGAAGTAACGCGTCGGTTTCGCAAGCTTTGAGCTTGCTGGAAAATGGCTTATCCCGGGACGCGCTGTTTCGAGCTTCGAGGCACTTCGGACTCTGCAGTCTCGCGGTTTGTGTCTTAAAGCCACGAACAGCGGAGGAGGCGACTTACGCACTGGAGTCTGTCCTTGAGAAACTCCCAGAAGGTGCAGGAGTGGACAATCGAATGAAAAACAGTAAAACTTCTACAAAAACACCTAAAAAAACACGTCGAAACGAATCTCCTTTTATTAGTGTTGGGAACAATACTGTGAGAACTGCGTCCTCTACTCCCGGTGACGACGTTGTTGTACTGAAGGACGCGGATAGGAGGAACAAGATGATCATAGATCAGCACTTGCCTGAGGAGTCTGTGAAAGAAACCCTGAGATTGTGTCGGGAACTGTACCCTTTATTAGTACTTCCGGAGTCGAACAACAACCATGCCAGCAGAGGAGATATGATGGACAGCACTCCTCCTTCATTGGTCGGAGAAACGCCTCCGTTCCACTACAAAGGAGACGTTCCTCTTTTCGCAAAAACTCCACGTGGCGATACACGCTACGAGAGTCCGTGGAAAAAATCTTGGTTGTATCCGGGTTCTGCAACCAAAGTACCTCAGTCGCCAACGGACGACTACAGTGATCTGCAATTGCATGCTTTTATGCCAAGAAACTACGTGTATCCGCGAGTCAAGGAGACGCCAAAGCGACTAAATGCACCAGGAAATCAGCAATATGGTGGCATGCTTCGTCTGGACACTGGGAATGACTACCTATCTTCTGGTGGGGACGCAAACAAGACCCTGTTATCGTTGAATGTGTTGCCGAACAAAGATGGTAACGGGGTGTCGTCAGGAGGTTCTTCGTCGAGACGAGGACCGCCCTCTACTGCGTCCGATGCGAGCACGCACATAATGACGTCGCATGCCTTTGGGCGGCTTCTGGGTTTGTTGCTCTGCGAGGGTTACGCCGACGAAGCAGCGGCTCTCTGGCGTCGTAGACCGGACCGTGTTGATAGCCAGAATGCTGTCTTCGTACTGCGTGGAGCGTTGCGGTTGTGTGAGTCGTCCTTCGAAGGTGCTTGGACACCGGAAGTCGCACTTGCGTGGGAGGCGTATGAGGAAGCTAGTGCGCACTGCCTGGTAAACGGAGCCTTGCAGGAGATTGAGGACTTGGAAGTGTTGATTTTGAGAGTGTTAGCGAGCCAGCAGCTTTTTGAAGCGGCAAAGCAAGCCTTGCGGAACATGGTCTTTTTTCGCGGTGGTGCTGACATCACGGCCGATATCGAAGAGGATCAGTTGACGTCCTCCGGAAAGCAGAGTACAACAGGGCGCCATGGTAAAAAGAGCGGTTCCACCTCAGCAGTTGCAATTCATGCCTCATCAACTCCACAACCCGGTGAGACAAAAGAGAAGATCGAGTTGCTTATTGCTGCAAAACCGCGTACCCTTGCGGACGCCATGTGGTTGCAACGGAAACTCCTAAGGCAGTTCCGTGTCGTCAAAGTTCCGACGGAATTGAGCAACCGCATTCTCGACTTAGGCGGTCAGCCTGCTGGCGGCGCCGCGTTCGATGCAGAGCTTTTTCGTTTACCAGTCGACGAATATCTCATTGTCGTTTCCGCAATGGTGCGCAATGCAGTTAACTACAAACACTGCCTCGAGCTGATCCAGAAGTACTACGATGGGCGGGAACTCGATCGCCCTCTTGCGGCGCTTTTCAAACTCTTTGCGTTAGGCTGTACGACGTGCAAAACGCCAGAAGATTTAAAGGCACAGGGAGTCGATATTTGTGTGCTGAGCGATCTCTATCGATTACTGGAGTACCCGATCACGCAACAGGGGGACTCGGCGAAACTCTCTGGATACTACATGTTATGTCCTCACAGGAGACCAATTCGTAATTGTTTTCGATGTTGTAACTTCGTACTCTTTGTACGAGGCTTTCTCGTTGCATGGCAGACTAGTAGTGCAACTTCTGCTTCATACATAACGTAACAAGATATTTTGTTTGAGGGTGAAGAAGATGAGTGACAAATTTCCAAGTTCAGAGTTCTTTTTCGGAGCGCCCTCTCCGCTTCATATCTCGAGGCTCTCTGCGTGTGCGGCGTCGGTCCGCTTCCGACCGAAGCCACGCCTTTCATGGAGGCTCGAAAACTTCAAGAGGGGCTCGAACGCGTTACTGGATTTCCTATCCTGCTGTCGGATCCGCGAGCGCAGGAGATTCTTTTCATTCTTTGTGCGAAAGAAGGCAGAATTCAAGACTACAAGGAACTTTTTTTCGAGATGTACTTTCAGCGTAAAATTTCCACGGTCGAGAACGAAGTCCTAGGTGGTGGGCCATCGCGAGGTGGTGGGAGTCCGAGTCGAGGTCGCAGTGGTGGACTCAGTAGGCCAGGAAGTCCAGCAGGCAAGAAAAGTTCGGCAAAAAACAAAGGGAACACACCAGCGAGAGGGAAGCCTAGGCCAGCAAGCGCCGCTACAAGTCGAGGTGGGGGGAAAAAGAAGACCGGCGTTTCGCCTTCAGCTAAGCCTGCTGTAAAGAAAAAAAGTGGTACACCGGGAGACACCAATACGATTAGTAAAAACGACCTAGTAGATCGAAAGAAAGCGTCCGTCGGTGAAGGAGACGGGCCTTCAGTGACGCTGAGTGAAGTAGCCGTTCATGTTGGTGGAGGCGCGGACGCTAGCAAAAAGCCTGCGCCCAAGGCTGGATCATCTTCTAAACCTGCAGCTGCTAGCCCATCCTCTGGAACCCCTAGTTCGGATAGTAGTGGTTCGTCTAGGGCGGATTCGAGTCCTGCTGATTCATCTCCAGCACAAGTCAGTCCGAACGAAACGCAAACGACTATAAGAGATAAGGGAGCATCAAAAAAACATCAAGGTACTAGACCAGGAAGAGAACACGATTTGGACGACAGTTCTAGCGCACCCGATGGTCTAAAGTCTGATGCAGAGCGTAAGGAGGCTACAGGGTTGAGCGCAGAGGAGGGACATGCTGCGGCACGACGACGGGTGAACACGAGGCCAGCGGCTTTCTGGGCAAAAACACCATTAGAATACGGGCTCGAGACCTGTCGCGCATATATGGCTGTTGCCGACAAATTTCTTCGGGGAAAGGCGAAGAAGAAAAATGCCGGTTTTTCTGTTTCGAAAAATGGTGACGGTGAAAAGGTTTCGAATGAGGACGAGCGAGCGTCTGGTTCCGGCAATGATGCTGCTGCCAGTAGCAGTCCGAGTCCGAGTCCTAAGAGCGACAAAAAAGGCAAGAACACCAAAAAAGCAGGCGGAGCAGGAGCTGACGGCAAAAACAGTAAGAAGACGGTGCTTACCCGAGAGCTAATCTCGAACTTGGAAAAGTCGGTTCTTCTTTCCGAAGATAGCTGGGAGGATAACCGAGACATTGCAATGGATTTCATGCGGTTTCTATTTGGCTACAAGGAAAGCTTAGAATTTTCACGACTAGAGGAGGCGACAGAGGCGCATGAGCTGACGCAGCACCAGGTGGCCAAGCTGAATGAGAGCGTGGCGCAGCGGCAAGAGCAAATAAGGAAGAAAATCGTAAAGGAGTTTCAGTCTTGACAGGATCTGCTTCATGCGAAGTCTACGGTCTGACACGAGTGGAAGACATCAACATTTTTTTGGCCAAGCTGAAGAAGATGATTGCAAAAGCCTAGAGTTGTAAAATAAAGCAGGAGCATCCTTATCTACAATTTCACTTCTGTCTTGGTTGTTTCGTACAAAGTTATCCAGTTCCTTCGACTCTCTCTCTCTCTCGTCGTTGAGTGATGTCTGTTTGAGAGACAAGATGCAATCGTTTCGTTAGATAGAAAATCGCTTTACTAGCTGCCTCGTCTAGATTCCCCTCATACTCGTACTTCCTGCAAAGAAGACTCGTACTAGATGCCAGTTGTTCGTGCGAAATGGCCTAATAAATTCACCATTTTATCAAAAAACGTATGCTTGTCTCTCATAAGAAGTCATGAACTACAATTGGGTGCTAGCATTACAGTGAACTCTTACCAGAATATTCCTAGTAACAAAGAGAACACCACTGAAAGAAACAAAAACAAAGAGAAGAAAGATAGGTGGATTATTGATCACGAAGAGCAACTTTTCAGTATTTGCTCTCTTTCTTATCAAAGAGCCACTACGCACTTAAGTAAGTACCACAACTATTGACTACAAGAAGATGGGTGTGGAAGACGTCGCAGCTGGGCACATGGATGCCGAAATGGGAGGTGGAGGCGGTGAAGAGGCCCTAGTCGAGGCTGGCACCTGCACTTACACCAAGATTGAGAAGTTGCAAGAAAGTGGAGTCAACGTCGCGGATATCGCGAAACTGAAGGCGGCCGGTTTTTGCACCACGAATGCCATTGTCTCGGTGATGCGGAAAGACTTAGTGGCGGTAAAAGGTCTGGGTGAAGCGAAGGTAGACAAAATCATCGAAGCAGCGTACAAAACTGTGTCGGGAGAAAAATCACAGGTACGACTTCTTACTGAAACTTCTAAGAAGTTCGTAACATCAACGACGTTCGTGGTTGCTTGAGTGGCTAAGGATGATCATATGGTAGTCGTGTCTAGGGTGGGTAAGGATGATCATATGGTAGTTGTCTGTTGAATGTTGACACCATGATCTTCCCAAATAATCTACTCCGATTCTGTAGCAGACATGCAGATTAGTGCTAGAAGATACATGATTCGTTAGTATCGAGGAAGATTTTCCAGCACGACATAATCCACACAGTTCTTCACTGCGGAGGAGGCCTTAGTAAAGCTCCAGCAAGTTCGGTTCAAGATTAGTACCGGCGCGAGCTCGCTCGACGAAATACTGCGTGGCGGCATCGAAGCTGGCTGCATCACGGAGCTCTACGGAGAATTTCGTACCACACAGATGTCAAATATCACGCGTTGTTTTTTTGTTTTCCAGTAAACTTTCGTTCTTACACTCAAACTTGTATGATCTTCGTGATTACATCTCATAAACTTTTATCTTCAGGTTGCGGCAAAACCCAGCTTTGCCATACTCTTGCTGTGATGGCGCAATTGCACGAGACCTTTCCCGGTCGCTGTTTATACATCGATACGGAAGGCACTTTCCGACCAGACCGCATACAGGAAATCTGCGTGGCCCAGAATGTCGACCCCGAAGAAATCATGGCGAATATCATCACCGCACGTGCCATGACCTCAGAGCACCTGAACGCCTTGCTGCGCGAAGCAGCAACTATGATGGTGGACGAAAGCAGCGGGCAATTTGCTGTGATCATTATCGATTCGATTATGGGCATCTTTCGCCAAGACTTTTCGGGACGAGGCGAGCTCTCCGAACGACAACAGCTGTTGGGAAAAACTTATGAAAATCTAATCTAATACCATGCCAACAACTGTTGAAATACCATCAATGTCCGAGGAGAACTATAGTAAAAGTCTAAGAATACCATCTCCATCAATGCCCCATGAGAACTATAATAAAAGTCCATAATTTTTCCACTATTCATCTCCACCGCATTTTCGATCTACACGACTTACTCGTGTTTGTTCTTCTTCCTCCCTCTTTTCCTTCTTTTACGTGCCTCTTTCATGTTCCATTGAATCGTCTGGCGAAATTGGCGCATGAGTTCAACGTCGCTGTTGTGCTCACGAACCAAGTGATGGCTGATCCGAGTGGGTCAGTTGGTGCGACGTTCTCCGCAATGCCGAAGCCGATCGGTGGACACGTTTTGGCGCATGCTAGTACAGTGCGACTGTTCTTCCGCAAGGGTAAGGGGGATGAACGCATCGTGAAGATCATCGATAGTCCGAATCTGCCGGAAGCAGAATGCACAGTCCAGATTTTCTCAGGTGGTATCAGAGCACCAGAAGGAATGTAATTTGTGCCAGTTAATAGAATGTAGAGGTATCAGAATAAAGATGCTTACGGAGCGTGTACCAAGTAGGATCTGTTGGAAGAATGATTGTAAGATTTGCAAGTAGCTAAAGCAGTTGTCATAGCAGTTGTCATATGCACTCTCGTTATTCCAGAAGAATATGGACTCTTATAATTGCGATTGTTGAATACTAGAAACTGAATAGCCATAGTGATGAAAGCGAATTGTAATAAAGCGGTCAGTAAGTCGCAAATTAGCAAAAAATTGGGGAGCCAGCAGTACTTGATTACGATCCAAGATGTGTGATAAGTAGTTTCTTGAATTTGAAGTATGTCTTTGACGAGTAAAAAGCATCTCTTGCACTTGTAGTGACTTATTGGGAATTAGTTCAGGTTCTAAAAAGCTAGTTGGTCAAGTAGTAGTCGGTCTGAGGTTACCTCGCAACGATTATATGCTCTATCTGGAGTTTTTTTGAAAAGGAATGCACCTAGTTACTAGAATTAGTCAACAATAGTTTTTGTTACACTTTTGCAGTCATTTTGAAAATCGCTGAACTTCCTGACGAAAAGTCTGATTGTTTCTTGATTCTGCAGATTATTATTTGCCCACTGACTTATTATATAGAAAATCCATTGGAAACTGCTTTGGTCGTCTGTTGTATGTGCTACGAAATACCGTATGCTTTTGTAGCTAGTTTCGAAATACGCCTCATGCTGCAATTTTATAATTAGGTTGGATGTCATTCGCACCGCAACCTGTACCGTCTGAGAATTACTGGATTTGGAACTAGATCATGGAAATTGCTTTGAATAATTCAAAGATTATTGCTCAACCACAAGCAACAGGGGCAACTGCAGACCACACGCTCTTGAAGCAAGTGTGCGGATTGTCGTAATACGTGCATGTCGCGGATCTATACCAGGAGCTTTCTTGTCGGTTCGATATCGTCATCCAATATCGCATGTCTGGACGCTGCTATATACTTGTACTCTCTAAAAGTAGAAGGATCCTCGTGCTCTCGGCCACTGAGAGCACATATTCGCTCGGCGGTACAGGTCACCCTGTGGACAGCGAGTCAACACCTAACCTAACCAAACCTCTCTTAAAGTAGGCATAAGTTTTCCCACTACTCGTGTTTGATCTTTTCGTGGTCGTCTGTCTATCTAGTTCCGTCTCATGAACGTATTGGCTCATTCTTGTATATGAAAAACCCAGAAGAACATTTATGCATGCAGAAACTATCCAACCATATCAAGAATTCATAACAATTCTTTACCTGAAACGTCACTTGAAGATTCTTTGCATGTATGAATACTGGCCGTTGGCTTATTCAAAGTAAGCACAAAAATGGCAAGTGTTGTGAAGAGCTCTACCGTGCTTTCGAGGTTGTGGGGTGACACATCCGAACTTCTTGAATTAGTACCACATGGCACATTTTTTCCTGGTGCGCAAGACATAAAAAGTGGGCTAGTAGCCACCGGCGGTCGCTTAAGAAGCGGGAGTAGTAGATTAGAAGATGTCTTCGAAGCAGAACGAGATTCAAGAAGTGCAGGTCCTAAATCCAGTAGTACTAGGAGTAGTTTCCTTGCAATTTCGCGCGCATCTTCACGAAAGAATCGAAGACGCTGCGCAGCAGATGAAAGTGTTGACATTCTGGGTGCAAGCCGAAACGATGGCGGCGCACGAGAGCATCAAAATACATATATTGAGATTTTCTCAGCCCTAGGAGCGACCACAGTAGCATCAAATAAGAGCAGTTCTTATAGTACTTTTCGCAGTTCAGCATCTTCGAGTTTCTTTCACCTTCCACATGAAGATCGCGCACAGCTACGACAACGTCCTCGACGAAGAAGAAGTGGCGTTCCGACCCCTTCCTTGAGCAAGAGTAGAGTTGTAGAATGTGTTCCGACCGCGACGTCCTCGTCCACGACCTCAAGAGAAAAGAAGCAGAAGTTGGTGTTGCCCTCGTCGTTTTGTTGCCTCGTTGATACTAGTGCTGATGGGAACCATGGTGATGGGTGGAAATGCTGCGACGCGGTGGAGCGAGGTTTTGGCGAATGTATCTTTCGCGTTCCGTGGACTGTAATTCCGATTTTTATGAAACGGAAATCTGTTATCATTAAAATCAAGTTTCTTCAGTAGAAACGTGTGATAATGATAATAGATTTTGGTTTCATAATTTTTGGTAAGTACCAAGTGGACGACTTGTGTAATGAAGCGCAGGGCTTCAATAAATGCAGTACCCATGGATATGGTGGACTTAAAAAGTGTCCTGGCGCCGCCGTCTCTCAAATGCTAATGCAAGAAGCGAAAAATAATGGATAAATCATGAGGCGGTGGGTCTCCCTCTCCGTTGCTCGGTGTAAGGTTTTCTTCAGGCTTGACCAGGGAGGGTTAGACTGAAGTACATGACCATGACCAACCATCGTTTTTGTCTTCAAAAAGAAATCGAGATCCTCTGAAACTCAATGAAACAATATAGTTAGGCAAGTGCACAGACGGGCAGCAGCTCTATATTGTACGGTTCAGGGGTGGTGCAAAGTTTTTGATAGAACAACAAAGGGCAGCACTTTTAGTTACTCATGCCTAGTATTTCGCATCGGTAATTTTTGGCTCTACCTGAGCCTACGTTGTGCCTGTCAGTGCGGCCTGGCCTCGACGCAGGGGACTCTCAACCTTGAACCTTCAAGGTTTGATAGCAGCCGTAGCAAAGCTACAGTGGAGCAACCTCTTTGGCACGATCATTATTGAGTTTTTTCAATCCATTTGAATCTTGAAGAAGATTGCGCTTGGGCTACATTCTTCTTTATTATGAAGGCCCACTACAACGCGCTTGCGAAACCGCCTGGGGAACAAGAATTGCAGGAGAGAAGAAGGAGAGACAGAAAAATTTCATTCAGGGCAGAGCATTCTGCGCAAGAATCGGTTGAGAAATCATTTACCCTGCGAAGTTGTAAGCTGAAAATGAGGCGTGCCTTGGGAGAGCTGTTACCCATTACCTAGGACGGCGGCACCCAATTGTAATTCATGCTGGAGACTTTCACGCCAAATTGAAGTGCGTGAAGAGATCGAGATGTCCTCCAAGATGAAGTAAGCCAGCTGAAAACAACGAGTGAAAGATGAATCGAGTGAGAAAGCAATCCACTTTTCTCAGAAAATGCGCACTTGGTTTATGTTGAAAGCCCTTGTTACTTCATGAGTGGGCTCATTCACAATCTCACCGTGATGGTAATTGTAATTATGAAGCGTAGATTTTGTATAAAAGGCCGCAAAATACGTGTGCGTGTACGTATCTATATATTGAAGCGCTTCCAAAAAACTAGAGGCAGAGGAAATATAAGGGATATTAAGTCAAAGGACGATAGATGTCTCCGAAAGCGGCCAAGCGGAGCACCTAAGCCGAGCGTTTCTGCACTGCGTCCTGAACACGCATCGGCTACTACCTATCATCCGTCGATCCACGCTGCCTTTATCGAAGCTAGAGTTAGAAATTAATCTTAAGCGTACAAATATTTACGAGTAATCACACGCTTAAGCTTATTTCGCGTCACAAATATTTTTACTCAGACGTCGCCCAATTAATTTAATTAGATCTTAATAGAGAAAAATGCTTGTGGCAGACCCAGCAGACGATGCGGTTCCTTCGGCGCTGCTTGGAGCATACGATATCGGTGTCGTGCTCGGAGCAGGCGCTTTCGCGAAGATCCTCAAGGCCAAAAATAAGAGCACAGGAGAAAAAGTCGCACTTAAGGTATGCATCGAATATACACGAACATCACTAATTTTTGACGTGAAGGTACGTATCCAGACACGAACATTCATTGTTGACGACCTACTTGCATGTTGTCGGTTAATTCAATTACCCTTCAGGTGATGAAACGATCCTCGTATCGACGTCGCTGTCTGGAGTATCAGATCGATGTTGAGGTCGAGCTCGCGCTACTCTGCGGACGCCACAGTAATGTCGTGTCTGTCTTCGACATTTTTGACGACGGCGAGTCGGTCGTCATGGCCATGCCTGAGGCGCACATCGATCTTCAGCGTGCAACTGGAAATCTGATGAAAGTGCCAACTTTCGACACCTTTCTCCTAGACTCTGGCTTTCTTGCGGCAGCACACGCGAGGGACAGCAGCGTCGCAGCATTTTGGCACCGCATGCGGCCCAGAGAGGGTAAGTTAGTAGATCTCTTATTTGGTAGTGAATTGAACGTGACGCGACTAGGTTGTCTTTGTCGCATGTACTATGTCAATGTAGATGGACGCTATGGAAGTTGAAGCTGTCATAATTCCTTTGTGCACCCAATTTTGATATTGTGTCCATCCCAGGTGAAGCTTGTTGGGGTGAGAGACTTGCGATGCAATTTTTCAGACAGCTGGTGATGGGCGTTGCCTTTATTCATGAAAACTCGGTCATTCATCGAGACTTGAAGCCCGAAAATATCCTGATGACTGCGGATGGCCAGCTACAGGTATGTATCTCAATGTAGTTTTCGAGGCTATTTTGTTTTGTTTGGTGAGAAGTTTCCCCAACTCCACAACCAGAGTGACACTCCTCTTCTTCTAACTTTCCAATTAATACAGGTAGCCGACTTTGGATGGTCGACTAGAGTATCTCGGAATGTCGGACGGGCTTTAGCTGGTACGTATGTTTATATGTCTCCGGAAGTTCTCGATGGTAGGAAACACAGCACGAAGGCCGATATCTGGGGATTAGGCATGATACTCTGGTTTCTCCTCTACGGCGGCGCGATGCTTGATCAAAGTACTTCGTTCTACAAAATTCAATAGTGTGAGGATTGAGCTAGGTTCTATTAGCAAAAGGGAATCAACGATGAAAATTGAGCTGTCAACATAGTATTGGGACGAGGTAGCATAAAAACTATTGGAACTTCTACCAACATGATGATCATGTTGGTTGTTTCTCTTTCTTCATGGTTCCCCTTCTGTATCACTCACGCGCCAGATATCATCGGGCCTGGTGTTACGCAATTGACAGCAGCCGATCCAGTGCGGAGTGCGCAGCTGCGCGCCAGAATTGTGCGAGAACGGATCGATCAGCTGTGTCCACTACGAGTTGAAGATTAAGGCTTCGCCTAATCGGATTAGATTTATCTCCAGAAGTAGCATCCTGGGGACGCTTTCAAAGGGAGATGAAGGGTCTCAGGAGGTCTCTTCAAGATGAATAAGGGTGGGCTCTAAGAAGAGCGACCAGCTGACTTGCCTTGGCATATCTGGCTTTTGTTGCGCGACTTGGTAGCTACGTTGCCTAGTATCCGCCCGGAGGCGTCTGAGATCTTACTGCGCATTGACGGCGAAGGAGAAATGGGGGCGAATCAGAATACTAACCCAGCGGACGAAGCAGCATCGTCGTCGAGGGGTGGAACAGAAGGGAATGCTCATATGCTGAGAAAGAATCTGTCATCAACGTCGATGAACTCGAAAAGTACTACAACATCAAGCTCTTCTAGTAGCGAATCCACCCTGAATGTACTAGAGCAGAAAAAGTCGTCCAGAGGAGCAATTATTAAGACCCACGCCATGTCCACTACAGCCACTCGAGGAAGGCTAGGCGAATACAATAAGAAAACAGTTTCCAGTACTTCTGGACTTGTTGTTAGTGGAGCTGGAGGTGGGTCAAGTGGTAGTCGCATAGACCACGGGCTACAAACAGCGAGAGATTCCTCCTCATCGACGAAAGAAGCCGCATCGCCCACAACAACACATCAGCAGCAGCGTGGTTGCCATGCTCTAGGTTCCTCGTCGTCTTCTGCGAGTTCCGCGACGCTGCGACGCGGTGGAATACAACGGCATCGGGAGAGCGCGCTCCGTCGACAGAGTCGACGAGGGATGAAGAAGGAGGATTCCGCATGTTCTTCAGGGGGCGGCGGGTTTGGGAGTCACGAAACCTCCCCAGTGATGCTCCACGAAGGCAGCGGCGCCGCTTGTAATGACGATACCTTCGACGGTGCTGACCAGAATAACGCTAGTAGTCCGGTCCCCATGAATGTGCTAGATGTCACAACGTTGGGCGAAGACGCGAGTCTTGATGTGACAGCGTCGCCTAGTCGTGATCATGTCGAAGCAGATGCAGTACCAAGGCGGCCGCATGACGGTCAGAATAACTGCGCGCTTACCGGGTCCATGGCTACGCTGAGCACTGCATGCGATGGAACTTCACAACTTACAAGAATTACGGCATCGACAGACTGCTCAATATGATCTCGATGTTAGATAGAAGAGCTTCTGGAATTAGCTTCTTGTTGGTGTTTGAAAGATTTGATCTCACGGCAAGAAAATGATGAACATTATGGAAGTGATACTGTCAATGGTGTGGATTTTTTGATAAGGCTCATGATCTGAAATTGCACGAGATCTATCAGATTGTCGGGTGTAGCTCTACTAGTACGTCTAAGAAGAGCAGCGGAGCAACTTCTGGCTGCGCTTCATCGTCTTCTTCGTCTCGCTCACCTCCTGTGACCAACGATGCACTTGGCGCCACGACGCGGACACCGTCGACCGTGCGGACACCGGGAGGTAAGCTTTACGAGGAAAGCAATGGGCGAGGACGCGACACCGCAACGACGACGGCTTCGGATGCTAAGACCGCTCATCGGAGGAGTCCAAGCAGTGCGCGTAGTGTGGAGTCCAGTAAGCGAAGCAGTGCGCGTGTTTCGAGGATCTCCTCGCACAGTGATGACAATGAGCAAGAAACGTCGAAAAGTGGCGTGTTGATGGGCGAGAACGATAATTTTCAGTCACACCAAGAATATGCATCCTCACAAGTGGAAGCCGGTACGATCCTAAGCAGTTGCTCCTCGTCTTCTAAAGAGAGTTGTAGTACTAGCAGTGACCTTGCTGGACCAGGAGCGGGCAGTAGTTGTAGTGGTACGTCTAGTACTAGTATTTCCTCGTCAGGAGGACAGGTACAACAGCCACAAGCGGCAAACGGCGTGGAGCAACAACCTCGAGTCATAATAAGGACTGGTGAAGCAGATGCGGCAGGAGTTAACCACGGTGCTATGAATGGTTCTGATAACAACGAAACTCCTGGTCATGGAGGTATGATCGGAGGTAGTAGTTCTTCATCTACGCAATTGCGGGCGAGTCGCAGCGTCTCGCGCACTGCGCAAAGCCGCTTAGCGTTGCATTGGGCGGCGACGCAGGCGCAGCAGCAGCTACGGCGTGCGCGGAGCAGTAAAGGAAGTCTTGTCCTCGGAAAACGTACCATTGGTGGGTCCGCGGTGGAAACTCCGGTATGCTCGGGACGGAGAGTGCCGTTTGCAGCTGGCTGAGAGAGAGTTCCTGTCTAGTACGAGCTTCGGACAGACTGACTTTGCCGCATAGTCGGGCTCGACAGATTCACTTTTTCGTAAACTATAAATTAACACACATCGTAGTTGCAGGAATTGTGCAACCTTTTGTCTTATCGTTGGGGAACACGCAAGAAAAGGTAATCTGATTTCTTCATTGTATGCGGCTGGCTGTATACTCTTACGGGTACCGGATTTTTACCGGTATTTCTGATAACGCACCTAGTACTGATTTTTTGTTTATGAGGATCACCTTAATTGCTTTGTTCGGGGTTGAGTTTAGTTCTGCGTGATGCTGGAGGGAAGCTGTTGCGCACGATACTACGTAGTATGAAGAATTACGCGAAATTTGATATGCGCCACGCAACGCTGAGCCCTTTTTTATTGGGATATTCTGGTAACTTCCTTGTTTTCGCTCTGGAATGTGTTGACTTCAGTTAGTTCTGCCAATGCTGCAGACGGGGAACGAACACAAGACGGGGAACGAACTTCAGTTGGTTCCGCGCAACTCATACAGCACCGCATCGCCGCGCAGAAGTTATTCATCGTGATATGCATTTGTGTTGCCGCAGTTTGGACCACATAGGAGTAGATACCGCTAAGAACAAGGATACCAAATGTTGCACCTGAGAATAGACTGAAACGCGCTTAGCGCAGAAGTTATTCATCGTGACTTGCACGTGTGTTGCCGAAGTTTGGACCACATGGAAATAGCTACCGCTAAGGACGCACATGGCAAAAAAGTTTGCACCTGAGAATAGACTGAAACGTCCTTGTCCTGGTACTCTCCAACAAAAGTGATACCGAGGGCGCTTTGCTTATCTTTCTCATTTGCCATTAGGATAGATGCATGATTAGGTCGCGAAGAAGTCTACTTTATATAACAGCGGTTTAAGTATATTAGACTCTGACTCGCATTTGGTCATCATCTGTTTTTCACCCGTATAATAAAAGATGCCGGAAGCTCGCAGCACCCCTCTTTCCGTCCAGACTGAGAACAGCGCAACAGCCGTTCCGCCCTTTCGTGCCCGTCCGCTGAAGTCGCAACTTACTGCTTTCGCAGATACGTCAAAAAGCACGGACAATGTTGGTCCAAAAAGCATACTAGTACGTGGAAAAGAATCAAAGACAAAGAACGTAGAAGCGCAGAATAGCTGCACTAGAAATTCCGCTAAGGAAGGCAATCCTGGTACGCGGGGTGCCGCTGCTCATAGTCCCCGCGAAGATGGCGAGGTCGAGGGGTTATTTGCCACACTGCATACCGCGAGGAATAAACTCGCGAGCCTAGTGGAAGAATACGATGTTTTGCGGCAACAGAAAAAGCACATGCATCAATTCATGCTAGACAGCTGTCAGGTAATGTCAATTGGATTTAGTGTAGCATAATTTTTTGTTTTTTTATTGTTGTCTAGGTATAATTGGAATTGGCATATCCATAGTTGTGGTTGCGAGCTGTGGATATTTCGAAGATGCATTCTGAGGTTTATTTCTCATCGCACTTAGAAATGCCATCCATCCACCTTCAACACTAGGGCGCCAGCGAGTTGTTCGAAGAAGTGTTAGAGCGGGACATTGTGAAACCGATTGACGAGGCGCTCTCTTCAGTGTCCTCAGCTGCTCGACGAAGTCGCAGGTCGTCAGCGAGATCAGTGAGTTTTCGGGAAACGGCGTCTGTCTTCGACGGAAACGAGATGGCGTTACTGTTGGAACTAGAGCGCCTCGTGGATCACGGCAAGGCGTGGGAAAAACAACTACAGCAGAGTCCAGTACCTGAGAATGCAGTACGGACAGGGACAGGAACAGATGGTGAAGCACAGTATAGATGTTCCCATCCACTTTCAGATGAAGTAGGCGGAGCAAATGGTGATTGTGACTCCTCAGGCGGAACGTCAAGTTCTAGAAGTAGTGCTGCACCAATAGCTTCGCAGATTCGCGGTATACTGAAGCAACCGGCAGTGGCAGCGGAGAGAAATAAGGCACGCGCTTCGTCAGATGCTACGGGAGGAGAAATAGATGGGAACAACGCGTTGTCAGCAGAGATTGATGGGGAACGAGGCATAGGCGATGTGGTGACCTGTGGTCGCGATACAACGCGGTGTAAACTCTCTGTTTTGCGAAATGCGCGAAGCAAAGCAGAGAGAATCCTCCGGATTTGCAGGATAGGCGCAGGGGCTACGCGTGTTAAGACTGGAGAGGGCTTCCAGTCACATTGTTCTAACACGACCAGTGCCACGGGGCACGATGGAAAGATCCAGCAGGATCGTGCTTCGCCTGATTGGGGGATATTCACAACTGGTACTTCACGTGATGAAAAATGTGCTGGTCTAGTCGAAATTAATGGAAAACAAGAGCACGAACAAGAAGTGAAAACGGGAAATTGCGACCAATCGTCAAAGGCTAATGCCAGCGTCCTACAACGCAGAGTTGGCACGTCATTTGATGTTGCAACGTCATTTGCTGCAACAAGACCGGCAAAGGCGCTGTTGATTTCCGACACACAGCAGTTAGAAATCACCGAAAAACGGTTTCACATTTGTGGTATCACACGACAGAGATCTCTATCAATCTTGAAGTGAGTTTTGTGCTTGGAGAAGAGCCGTTGATAAATCTTCTACAGATGTTACAGGGATTGAAATTATTGTTCTAGAAGTCTTTGTCCTAGTCCCCACAGAGCAATTGCTCAAAAAACAACTCCTCGCCGTATTGTATGTTTGAATGAGACTTGACGTAACAATCATTTTTTGATTTTATAGAAGATCAATAAGATGCCTCGTGCGGGTCGGATAGTTGTCAACTATGACGTTGTCGTGAACCAGCAGCGCGATGCTGCAGAAGATGTCACTGGTCCAGTCCTCTACTACAGAATGGGCGAACATACGCGGATCTAAAACGGGGCCTGGTGAATACGGAATTTGACAAGGCGGCTCGAAGGGCCCGACGTAGGCTTGGCAATCTTGTGCTCAATGTATAGTGTCTTCTTTACTTCAAATCTGGCAAGCAGTCACGATAATCACCTTGGAGCCGTATGAGTTTGGTGTCTTCGCCATGTGCGACAAAATTTCTGAGAATTGTATAATCAAGGAGTATCGAAACTGATACATGTACGTAGATCCCGACTACGGTCGCGCTCGTGTAGTGACACTAATCCTGCTACCCTGCAGGTATGGGATTTGTGCCTAGCACAGAAATCGGGTAGAAGCGCGACAGGAGGGCTCGACTCCTATATTAAGAGGCGCATATTGGAGTACTTGGGGGATGACCCTCGTGCCGTGCTCGCAGCACAGATCGGCCGACTCAATGTCACAAGGCTCCGGGAGATGGCGCGAATCGCGCAGGCTTCGGACCTCGAAGCGATTTTAGCTAAAATCGTAACTGAGGCTGAAAAGGCAGCAATGCGCGGTAGCAAAAGTGCAGTTGTTAACTCCGCAACCATGTGCAGTGGCAGGGCTAGCCTTACCGGAGTAGAATGCTCCAATTGAAAAGAGGTATTTGCGCAGTTGCCGATGTTGAAGAGAGCTATCGAGGGAGCCGGTTTGTCAGCAACAACGCTCAGCAGTGGCATTGCTGGATTATTGTCCCGTCGCTGGATTACGTGACTCATCTACGAGATCTTCTCAAAGGTGTCGTTTGGTCTCACATTATATCTCATGCATATTAGGATTCGAAAGTAACTAATGAATCATTGCAGCACGCTCAAATTGCGTACGAACCGCTTAGGTATTTGAATGAAGAAGAGACTCATGATGGAAAATTTTATTTTGTAACTCAGACCTTTCCGACGAAAATTAAGTATGATTTTTCTCGCTACAGACATAGTACATCGATTCGAAATCGGTGAAGAAGACTCCACGCACTTGGATTTGTGAAAGACATGATAGTGTTCCTATGGTACGTCCACTTTCGGAGTTTGAGAATTATGGTTCCCCTGAATGATGATAGAGAGCTGTTCGCGCTTCGTATGTTACTCCACTTCATACTGTCTTCATAACGAGCCCTGATTTATGTTGTCACTGTGGGTCTCTTTTTTCCATTTTCTTCTGGCGGTACAACCCGACAATATGTTCCTCAAGTAGTCGCGGAGTACCGATCATAAGCGCACGACGATGAAACAGCAAAAAACTACAGAGGTTGGCGACACGGAGCACGAGGACGAGTAGACACAATGATAGCGTCTACTTCCGAGCCTTTGTCATGTGTTTGTTCAGAGTGCAGAACCTTGCAGTGGTTGTCAGCGCACGAATTACAGGATACAAAAAAAAGAAGCCTTTTCTGAAATCTCCAAATCCAAATCCAACTACTTGTGATTGTGATCCCTGGCACAGATTCAAAATATGGTTTGTTTGTATCTCCTCTTTGCACAACAGAAGACCGTAAGCCCAGAGAGAAAATAGGTTAAGGTTTGTTAGAACTCATTCTAACACAGGAATAGTCATTCCTTTGTGGTTAGACTGACACAACTAGTAAGTGCTCTTGCTTGTGAGATATAATTTGATATTTAGTGGGTACCTACTTGTTCAACAGTTAGAGTTGCTTACCAGCAGCTTGACGAAGATGCCTCCTCGTGGTCGGCAAGGTCGCCGTGACCATCAATCTGGTGGTGCAGCTGCAGCAGCAGCAGGTGTGGAAGCAGCAGCACACCCTTACCCCTTCTTTGAAGAGGGTCGTGCTCTCAAAGACCTGGAACAGAAAGCTGTGAACCTGGAATTTGAAAGAGCAGCGCAAAGAGGCCGCCGGAAGACTCGCAATCTTGTGCTGAACGTAAGCCGCCTACGCTACCCTATTTCTGTATCTGGAAACGAAGCAGCATCACTGCAATGTTTTTCGTAGCGAGAAGACAAGATGCATAGCTTCTAGATGCATAGCTTATGAAAATCGGTTAGGTGCAGATTGGAAACAAACAGTTCTAAAATTTTGACAGTGATGCGGCACTCGAAGACTGTATTACACCTTTTATTGTCTTTTCCAGGTTTGGGATTTGATCATCGCACGGAAGAACGGACGGGCAGCGACTGGGGGACTTGACGCGAACGTCAAGCGGCAAATCCTCGAGTATGGAGGGGATCAACCTGTCGCGCTGACAGTGGCGCCCCGATTCCATCCGCAACGACTAGCGGAGAAAACGCGCGCCAAGCATGCAGAATTCTCGGAGAAAATCTTAGAGAATATCATGCTGGAATGCGAGAAGGCGGCGTCGGAAGGACATAAATCCGTCTGGGTGAATTGTAACGCCAAAGGGATGAACAGCATAGTGCCTGGAGCTACAAATTGGACCAAAATTTTCGAAGTTTTGCCTGGATTGAAAGCCGCCATCGTTGACGCGGGCTTCTCGCTCGAGTTTAACATGAACATTAATTATATCAGTATCTCCTGGCCACTTTGAACACCGACCGAGGGCTTGTCAGGGTTTGCGGCCAGGATTTGTTGCCGTCATCTTCTGGAGGTGGAGGCGTTTACTCGAGCTTGTGCCGTTCTCGTCGACCATGGCCGATCGAAGACTACGACACTGTAAACTTTTGTGACGAACAAGATCAACACGGTAACGCGGTTATTTAACGCACTTCCGAAATGAACACGTAAGATTATAGGCAGTTGTATTCGGACTTCTTTTACACAACAAATAATTGCAAGTGAATGAAAAACTTCCCTCCACCGCAATCGTGCACAGTTCTCATGACTACATGCCTGCAGCTACGCCCCATTCATAAGGAACCCGCCAATTTCTTTCCGCAGACTTTGTTATCTGAAGCTGAACAAGAAAAAAACCATAGACGCACAAAGTAACTTAGAAGCATTTGCAGCGCCCTCCGAAGAAAGCGACAGAAGGGGCTGGTGGGAAGCCTGCCGAATTTGGAAATGACGACACAAGCTTTTTAACAAACGATCGTCGGATGTTTGCTTTCTAAAGCTAGTGAAGTGAGTATTGTGAGCGACCCCTTTGAGGGACACCCCTCTCGGTGAGCAGATGCAGAGACTATCACTTGCAAATTGGTTTCGTCGTTTCCCTGTGCAAAATGTCCGCACTACTTTGCTGAAACAAACTTAGGACCACTTAAGGGACTGGAAATACAACTTCGTTCATGTCCACAAGCGAAATGTTTATACTGTGTGAGGAGAGATACCCATAAGCGGAAAAGGGTCGATAGGGGCCCGATATTTATGCCTAAATCTTTTGAATAAAATAGTCGGGTTAGCGTGTTTACTGCTGACCGCCGGTGATCATATACCATACTAGTTGTTTTTGTGTCTATTGTAGCATTGTTCTCGTGTAAGCCAGATTGAGTCGGAAAAACACAAAAGAACATGTAGAGCTTATCTGATAGATTGCAGATATCGACGCGGCTATTCTGATATCCTCCGACGAGATGCCCGCTTCGCCAAATCCGTCGCAGCCCACGCTGACTCTTCCGCGCCTCCTTGGGCATGAAGACGATCATCGCAGTGGAAAATCTTTTGTTGATTTCGGAGACAGAAGCGGATCGAGTTGTAAAGGAGACGGCAGAAGCAACTACAAAAAAGATCGCAGTGTTTTTTACGATGTTCAAAACCCCAAGAGCATTTTTCTGCCCTCCGTTGGGAGCAAAGAGCGGCCACAGTTTCTGCAGCAAAGCAATGTGTCCTACGTCTTCAACGCTGCATCCGAGTGCGACATTCCTACCGGGTCGTACGATGCAACGGATGCGGTTGTTGGTGGTGTGGAAACTCACAACGCTGACGTTGGTGTGCCTGCTGGGAGAATCGCCGGTAACAAAGAAACAGGAACGATCACTACCATGCTTAACTCGAGTGTCACGATGGCTCACGCTTCGGGTATGTCTCAACAGAGTTCTTCATGCTCATCATCATTATCTAGTGGTAACGCACCCGCTTTACTGACGCAGCTTCAGAAACCGGCCTCCTCTTCCCATGTTCTCACAAAGCAGGTGCGAAAGCTCAGCGATGCACTCCCTCTGTTACCCGGTCTTCCGAGAGGTGCAGTACCTGCTTCAACGAACAATTTATTGCTGAATGGACCAGCTGCAGCTGAGCAAGACCCGTTGCATGCGCACCAGACGGATGAAAGTACTTCTATGGCGCGACCTCGTACTTCGACGTCTATCGGCGGTAAAGATCTGACCTCCTTCCGACCGATGAGCGAGCAAACGTTTCGCAGATGTGCCATGCAAGGTGAGCGCGAAATCAGGCGCGTTCATCGCAGTCTCCAACGCTTTAATCCAATGAAGGTAATTAACGGGATCCGTCGACCAAGTCGCTTTGACTACTGCGCATACACGGGTCGACGAAAAAGCTCAGTTGCGTCGAGTTATGCTGGACAATTTTAGTTCTTGTCGATCATGTATTATAATTACTATTTGAATATTATTCTTGATTAGAGTTAGACAGAAGTTGTAATGTTTGCTGGCAATGCATTCCAGCCTCAGGAGTAGTATCAATCTATTGGATGATGCATGAACTCAAGCAAGCTACTAGCTTTTCCAGGGATCCTTTTCTAAGTTTCTGCAGCTGCATTCGCCATAGGTGGAAGTAGTTCGAAGATTTTAGCAAGTAACGTTGGATCAGCGTCCACTTCGCGTTCATCCTCCATCGCAACGGGCATGCCTGGAGACCCATCAGCTGCGTTCGCAGGTAGAACCGGGTCACCATTCCACTTGCCTACGCTACTTTATGAGAGAGTTGTCAAGGAAAGTTTTCATGTTAGTTTGTGCCTAGTATTCATTGTATCTTCCCTCTGGTTGATGTAGGCTGTATTAAAGCACCTACCAAGTTATGTATGCGCAACCAACGTATGAGGGATGAGCAAGGAGAAGCATCTTTCTCTAAGTAGTTGCCGCTCTCGGGAATAACGCAACAGCTGCGACGGGTTCGACCTATGAGCGCCCCTTTTTTCGGAAAATGAATTTGGCACCACGTGGCTTCGTGTTAGAATTGGAAAGGAAGAAACGCGAGAACGATCGCACGATCATGCGCAAGCGAGAAGAGGGAATGCAGGCAGCTGTTGCTGCTGCAGCTTTGCGAGCTCCGACATGTATGTCATCGGCCTCAACACGACCAGGTGGCTTTGCGTCTTCCAAGATAGGTATTTCGATCGGGCCTCTCTCACGACAAAACAATATCAGTGGCACACCTCGACAACTACAAGGTGACGCTTCTACCGCAGATTCTTCTCCGATGAATGCTTCGCCGGCCAGACAGCTAGCGCGAAGGGCAGAGTTAGAGGCGGCTAAAAAGCGACATGCACTAGCGAAGCTAGGCGTAGAATCGGAAGATGCCTATAACACGCAGCCGCTGACATATCTGGATGCCTTCGGACTTGTCTCCCCAACCGGACTGCCGTACATTAAGGGAGATGTTGTCTTATTTTAACGTGGCTTGCCAAAGAAACAAGGTACATTTTACAGCGTGATGATGAACAAGATGGAGAAGAACTTCCGAAAAACTCTATGCTTGTCGATGACTGTAAACACTGACACAGACGTGACTTGAGTCCTGAAAAATTGAGACTTTCTCTAAGCACAGCGTTTATGGGACCTTCGGTTCGCGGAAAGAAAGCGTGAAGCAACAATCGCCACGTGCGCTAGTGGCAGCGAGTAGCCCAGTCAAGCGGAAACTCCTGCAAGAATTCGTGGAAGCTAGAGTAGCTTTTGTTTTCCAATCTGTCTCTGAGTTTTTTATCGTGCAGAGAACATGTATTAGATCTAAGTCTGACACTAGCAGGAAAAATGACTGGTCTCGATTCAATATGAAGTGTTGATTATTATTTGTTTGATCTCCAACAACTTGCTTCTCCACAACAGGACAAGCGCGCATTGTTGCTGAGTCGAATGGAGAAGAATACGAAGGCTAAGGAAACACCAATGGAGCGCACCCGAGACCGGCGACGCGGCGTGCACTTGCAACTCGGTGCTCGTGGGGAGGACAGCAGCAAGTTGCGGTGTGTGGGTCAGGCGGATCTAACGAGGATGGCTATGCTGGACCTGTTCGAGCGCGGCGGCCAAGATCAAGACGATTACGAATTTGCCGATGAGCACCTACAGATCTTAAGGGTCGTAGCTTTGAGGTGTTCCGGTTCTTACCGTTTTTTTTTGCGCCTCCTAAAGGAGAAAAGCATAACAAACGGAAAACAGGAGCAGCAACGGCCTACCGTTAAAGATCTTGCGCAGGAAAGAGGAAGGGTCAGAGGATGATACCGAGAAAGTCCGTGAAGAAGCGCAGCGGTCGTGGTTCTTGTTCTTCTGTGTGGCTCAATTTTGCTACTTCTTGCGCAATCGCAGACAAATCCGGGACAAAATCAAGAAAGTAGTGGGTGCGCATGTTGTGGTATGGCTAGCGATAAGGGTCCGTGCAGTTCACATTGACATGGCGCACTAATCAACAAGATTGTGAGAACTGCGTATGCAGTACTAGACGCATTCCCACTTGTAGACCACTGCTGATTGATGACATTTCAGTACTAGTTTTTACGTTCTTTCATTTGAACACGCGGCGACGGGATCTAGTGGCGCAGACAAAATTTTCGATTTTTTTTCCGACGTTCGAGTACTCCTGGCTGCGCAACGAAAGCGGGATATGGAGGAGCAAGGGGACGCCGCAGTCGTGACATTCGAGGATGGCGTTGAGAATGACACGTCGAGGGTGACGAAAAAAAATCTTGGAAGCAGAAAATCAGCTAGAAGCAAAGCATCTTGGTCGACTTCAGCTGGGAGAAGAGATAGTGAAAGAGGGAATTCACGGAGGCGGTCGCCGCCGAATGAAGCTTCATCAAAGGGTACCCGAAGACGCGCCAGCAGCGATCGCAGGGAGAGGCAAACTGTAGTTCAGAAGGATGATGCGCGCTTCGGCTTCGTCGTGACGCAAACGGTAGAGCACTCGCAAAGCGATGACCGTGACAAGAAGTCCAGAACAAAAACAACCTCCACCATCATATTACAAAACAAGAAGTTAGTCTCGAAGAATGGAGGTGGATCGCTTCTGGGTGATTCATCCAACAAGAGGCATTCCAGGAACTCAACATCTTTACCTTCTGGTGATACAAGTACAACGGACGCTAATCAGCCAGGGGATGACGCAGAACAGCAGCCGCCGAGAGCGCACACACTCGAGGTGCTCCTGCGTAAGAATCAAGATTGGTCTGAACACCAGACGCTCTCATCTTCCGGTGCTGTTGGGAAGGATGCGGTTGCGCTGCTAGTGGACAGTGAAGGGTGTCCGAACCGTGATCACATCAAGGAACTCCTCGTCCCAGAAGCGAAACTGTGTTTTTTCCCATTGCGTGTCTTCGTGCTGGCGTCAGATTCCGAAATCCATCGACTACGATCGGCTCATGACTACATAGCTTGCAAGCTTTTAGTACGGTTGCGAAGACGAAGAGCTCGCATTATGTTCGAGACCATGCGGAATTGGAGCAGGGGAGGTAATACAATTTTGGCCTTCAAAAAGTTTCATCGAGGATGCAGGCTCATCCAGACCTGGTGGCGGAATTGTCGAGCGCACATGAAGAAAACACACGAAAAATGCGCGAAAATCTGGCTACAGATAGATTATGAATCATGTCTAAAAACTAAAATGATAGAGCTTTTCCTTTTGTTCTCATCGTACGCCATTTTCTAATTTCATACATCACTCCTAAAGCTTTTTTCATCTGTGGTTTTTCTATTTTTAAACTAAGAAAGCAAGTGTCACCCTTCGACCGTCCTTACAACTTTCATATCCTACGCGCCCACGTGAGAGAGCGCATCATGCGTGTGGATAGCGGTGGTGTGGCCGAAGCCATTCAGCTGCCGCTGAACGAACGGATTTCACTAGCGTTGTTGCCCGACTCGGTACGAAGTGGTTTCATTTCTGCTGAACTTCGCGCAATGCGGTATTACCTATTGCCGGAATTATACGACTGGGTTCGCAAGGCCAAGATCTACGAGGAAGATCTCGGACGTTGGCGCGAAGATCGACTAGCTGTCGAACTACTTTGTTGTCACTTTGACGTGCCGCCTCCGGAAGTCGTGCCGTTTCCGTCATTGAAAGTGACAGTGCAGATGGTGAAAGAGTGGCTTTTTCGGTGTCTGAAAGAGGGTTCCGAAGCCGCAACGAAGTGCGAGCCTAACTCGCTCCTTGGCCTGGTAGAGAGCCGTCCAGACAGTGTGGAATCCGCCAGAGGCGTTTTTTCCTACAAGAAATTTCACGACGTGGAGGAGGTGCTTGCCTGCCCACTAACGACTATGGATTGTTGCACTATGACAGAATGTTTTCCATATAGTTTCTAATTTGTTTTTCTCTAACTCGATCGTTCAGAGGTTTACTGTGTTCATGATTGGTGAGGAGTAGAAATATTCTCTCTCTCAGGTGGTTAAGATACAGCTGTAGAATATTGCTATTCTTGTTTGCATCTTCTCTAAGCGAGACGACGACTCGCCTGCAGAAGGAGCAAGTGCTCGGAACTCAGTGTCGCAGAGGCAGTTGTCTGTGCATTTACAGAAGAAAATCCGGGAAAAAAAGATGCGTGTCAGTCGGGAGGCGGGAAGCATGCTGTGTTGAGATTCTGTGTGTCATCAATACCAAATAAGGTGGTGAAAATATATTACATCGAAGATCGAAGTTTGTATGATTCACAATTGATGACATTGCTTTGTTTTGTTACTCGTCGCTATTTGTATCCTTCAACATAAATGAACTCAGATATTTCAATTTGATTTTTGCATTCAGTGAATAGATTTCACTTGCTTTCGAAGAAAGATTGTTAGGCGTTGAAATGAATGGATTGAAGAGTATGTAATAGAATCTATTTTATTCTGCTTAGTCCGTCGGTAGTTGTGGTAATGATAGTCTTCTAGTCTTTTTTTGTTTCGTAAGTTCAGGGAGTTGTGTTATGAGGTCTTCGTTTGGGAGGCCATGCATAGTTTTGAATGTAGAAGTATAAGGAGAGTACAACCAGAATCAAGGCACGGATACAAGTATGTTGCTATGGATGATGAGTAACACTACGTCCCATTCCCATATTGCAGTATCACTTCATAAAACGATAGTGCCAATAGCAAGGAGACATAGGATATTGCAGGCTTCCAACAATGTCTTTTGAAACTTCAGATGATAGCAACATGCCGAATTCTATGACAGACATTTTCACGCTACATTCATGGAGACTACTAAAAACAGATTCACCTCATAAAGCTTGAGTACTGGCCTCTATCGATTATCATGCGACATTTTATATTTGGAAAGTCTGCATCGACGTCTGTTCGGCGATCATGGCAGTGTTAGGCGATCACACGACGTTGGACTTACACAGAATTTTTTTCTGCTGCAATAATTGTATCTTGACTCTCCGAGAGTTTCCAGGTACATTATAGAAAATCTACTTGTATAATCATTACTTTGAATTTACTGGTGGTTTATAATTCAACTGCAAAAATAAAGCAACTCCTTGAAGCACAAGAATGTAGCTCATTGCTTGCTGCGTCTGAAGGCTCGAAGCAGGCAAGGGACAGCGACACGCGGGAAACCCCTGTGGCTTACCGTAAGGATAGGAGGAGGATAATACGGCCAGGAAGGAGACCCGGATGCCGCTCTTTCTGCCGAGAAGGACCAGGGAGATTTTCGTCCTGGCAGGACCGGTATAACGACACTTGGCAGACTCTACCACTGAAAAAGAGCCGGTCGTGCCGCTGTTGGCGGAAGAGAAAGAACCAGGAAAGAAAAAAAAGGGACGTGACTCTACCAAGCTTGGGTGGACGCGGCGAGGGAGCCGAAACAGAAGCTGTGACACCGCAAAGCCTGACCAGGGTTAATATCCTTGTTCAAGATGATGGCGCACAGAAGAGTAAAAGCAGGTGGACGCGGATCGCGAAACGCTGTGCCCGTTTTCCTGGTAGCAACCTCAATATTCTCGAACCTTTTTACGCCTGTATCCGCCGACGTCTACCTGCATCACCCTCGCGGTTCGAATAATAAGCTTTCCGAGGTGTCAAATAATGTACAGAGCAACAGACGTCTTTTTGACTCTCAGAATGCAGGTGGAGGAGGCTATCAGGTTGGGGATCTCTGTGAACGGGGCTGCATGGATCCGGATAACTACAATAACAACAATTATGGTGTGAATCTGTTTTCCGAGTTCTTATTTGCAGCTAGCTTTTGCGTAGAAGCAAGTAGGCGAACAATGAATTCAACAAGTTGCTTGTGAGATGTGAAAGCCTTACCCCTGACAGTAATTTCAGGAACCAAGGCGACATGCCATGGTATGACATAGCTCCTGTCGCTGTCGTGTGTGACCTCGTCTAAGACCATGGAATGGCCTACGACCCAGATCAGAAAGGCGCAATGCAGGGCATGATGCACGTCTATCACGGATCGGAGTTGGCCATCGAATGGACGCAACAACACGGTAAGCATTTTCCACTCTGTCTAAGTAGTGACTTCGCCAGTAGTGACTTGGCATCTAGTCCTCTTTTTGACTCCTCTATTACTCTTTTATTATTCCATGAGTTTCTAATTAGTGGCTATCGTGAAGAAAAAGCACATCAGCCTGCGGAAGTGACCTCGAGGGCGAACGGCATCATCATGCACTTTGCACGAATGTCATCCAGTATATGTGTGACGAAGACAACGGGCAGATTGGAGGCATGCTGAACAATGGAGGCTCGTTATGACGTTTCTGTCTATAACTAGTAGGTGTAGTAGAGGGTCGTGGGACTTTTACTTATGTGTACGGTCGGTGTGCCGAGTTTCAGTCCCACTTTGTAAAAAAGGTCTCATAGTCCTCCTGTTCTTCCCGAAGCCTTTCATACAAAAGTGGAGATCAGAGTCGTGGCTATGTGCGTGACGGCCGAGATCGCAGCAATAATAACGCAAATCGAGCAGGAGGACCGACCACTGGGAACAACAACCTGCCAACTGGAGCTGAAAGTGGAGAGCAGGTGTCACAAACAGGTGCTGCCCTTGATGCTCTGATAGCAGACCAGTATCTCAGCGGTAGCCTCACCGAAGCGGAGAAAAACAAGTATATCTTCTATACGTTCATCCTACAACAAGATGAATCTCTCTATTCAATTACATTTTTTTCTCCGCGTACGACTACGAAGGTTTTCAGTATTGTTCTGTGTGGTGAGAGAGGCTTTGCGGATCTGTAACAAGTGAGCTTTCGAAACCAGGTATCGCAACCGTTTTTCTTTCAAGTATGGACAGCAAGAACCGCTTGATTACTGGCTCGATTGCCGTAAGAGGGAGCGCAACAAAGGTCTGTATCAGGCTGAAGAGAATCTGAAAGACGACATCGGAGCCACGTCGACGCGTCAAGACCGAAACGGCAATGGTGACCGCTATGGACTAGAGTGTCCAGAAGAACGGGATTACTATCCCTACTGGCATCCAACTCCGTGGCACGACGTCGCCATTTTCACATCGGAACCACGCCATCGCTGCTCCTACTTCGAAACGCACTCTTATGCACTTTTGTTGAACTAAAACTAATCAATGTCGAGATAGATGAGAGTGATAAGCAGGTAGGATAACTGCATTAAGTTAGTAATTTCCTTTATTTCCTGTTTTGCAGCACAATGACTGCGGCTCTTGATCTCATCTAACCTTCGGCAAACGTGGAGGCCAGACACTACTGCACGGGCAGTGAAGCCTGCATTGCCTACAACAATGAAGCAGCATGTACTGGCAACGGTTGTAGGTGGGCTGAAAAAAAACCCTGGGCCGAGGACAGTTACAGCGAGAACGAGGAAGGAGGGCCCGGGTAGGCATCTTCCTCCCTGTGTGATTCGAACGTTCTTGCGATCCATATTGATTTGCAATAAGAGGAAAGTTGAAATTTAATTGATTTTTCGAGCGCGCCTTACGACTCTTCTACAAGATTTCCACACACAGGTGTTACGGCAACTACTATACTGCGGATAACCACTTATCTGGCGCTTCTAATTCTCCTTTTCCGCATAGTTCAAACAACATTTACTATTGGAAAGTCCCTGAATGGATTCCGGATGGCTCCACTTGTGTGCTGCGGCTGCGGTACAACATTACCGCCGTTGACTTTATTGACATGCAAAGCGGCAACAAACGGTGGGACCGGGAGTATACCGACGATTCCGATGGTAGGCGTTCCGTGACGCGCAATCAAGTCCGGCAGTTTGTTAAGGAAGGTCTACTTGGTGCTTGTCCCATTTGTTGTTGTTTTCATTCTGAATGAAGTCTCATGCCGCAGAGGCATCCTCACAGAACGGATGTACACGTGCTAGCTCTGGTTTACAATTTCAATGGGTAGAAGCCGGCTCCAAACTACTACATGAGCACGAGGGAGTTTGACTTGTTACCGAGAAGAAAAAGATGTGAAAAGCTCATCTAATATCGGAAATGATATGGAGGACTTGGAGAACGACATCAGTGATCACCAGGACGACTGGTTTGTCGATATTGACCATCGATTTAACAAGTACGCAAATGTCGTGCTCCAAGACGATCCAGAACTCGATACGCTGAGATTGGGCGAAATGCGCAGTGGACAGTGTGTTATGATGATGATTTGAGACTTTGCATAGATTCGCCTCCGTATTGATATGTGTGTGACTACTCGAGACTTATGCCTATGTCTATTGCCCTCGACACATTGCGACTAGCAGGAGCTACTTCTTGTTCAGGTTATTGTGATTTCTTGTGCTGCTGATGAAGTGTGATCTAAAAGATGGAAACCACTGCACGCGAGACTATTTTTGTAGTTCCGTGTATTTTAGTCCAACTGACAAATTCTTGGTACATGTATGACCCTTCATCCCTCCTTCTAAGCATGTGACGGTAACCATTCCTGAGAATACGGGGAATTCGAGGAACATGAACTACTCTCCGGGCCAGCTGACCAACTACGTCGCTGGCTACATGTGTCGCGACAAGGGCAGCATCAAGTTCAAACAAAACGTCAACAATCCTAATAGCGGAGTAGAGGTCATCAAAATGGAGAACCAAGGTGGCTGGCCAAGTTTCACCACAACATGCTGCGAATATCTACTGCGAAGACACGACTTGACGACGAACACGAACGATGATCAGACTAAGAAAGGATGATTAAACAGCTCTACCTGATAGAAGATGCAGTTACAGAGCTGTACGTTCTTGTTTCCCTAAACAGAACGGACATAAGAAACCAAGTAAAAGCTTCTCGTTTGGCAGTAGGCGTTTTCTAGAAGCAAGTACCGCATGATGCTCTTTGAGTTCACTGGCATGCTGCTCGAGTACCATTTTTTCTTCCTTCATACATCCGATCCGGACCTTCGAAGACCGCACACACGTGTTCCAAGTGCACAGGCGTCCGGAGTCTTTGCAGAGTTTGACTAGGATCTCTCTAGACCGGAGCTTCATAAAGCGAATTGTCAATTTCAACGTCAAAGGACGTAGAGGCACTGGCGCTCAAATCTACCCGGCGATTCAGTACGGCTTCACTCCACAGCCTCTCGTACTGGAACGCGGAGACTACCTCCACTTCCAATGGGTCGGATCAGACGCAAATCCGAATGTTATGTGTGACACGTACTTATAACTTCAAATATTTCCTTCAATCATCTTGTGTTGAAAGATGAGAAAGACAACTACAGCGAGCGAAAAAATTCGTACCCACTCCGTCTCTCTAAGTCACGTAACCAAGGTAACGGGAAGACAGGCACCGATAGGAGCAATATATGCGCGGTACCGACGACACACATTCACGGACCCGCTTGGTACCAGTTGTACTCCTCCACTATGTACTCTTTTTCCGCCGGGTCGTCCGGTGGCTTGATGAACTGCGAACCCAAGGACCTGCACAAGTTTTTCTGCGACTATGAGGACACGGAAGGAGACGACGCTGAGCGGGGACGATGCTTAGACAAGATAGAGAAACTAGCTTGGCTAGGGCAAACGAAGTGCTTAAACAGTCCTGAGATCAACAACGCTGGGAACCGGGGAATGAACTGCGCGCAATTGAATGGGGCTTCGGCTTACTTCAACTATGGTTGGGGCGGATCTTCCAAGCATGAAGACGGGGCTAAGGAGTTCTATTGGTATGGCTGGTATGAGTGTGTATAGTCATGTCATGTCATGGTACCTCTGTGCTCTACTGTTGCGATTAGTAAAGAGGTCTTATTAGCCTCCGTGTACCTTCCAGATGGAAAGCACGAAAGCCAACTGATAGACTATCAATTTGAGACGCGATGTATTTATATGATCCATGAGATGAATTGGATGGTATCCATTTCTACTTCGTATCCCTTGATGTGTCAATCTAATTCCAGGGAGAGCCAATTGAGATGCAGAGCAGCGGCGAGCACTACTTCAAGTCGACCAGAAACGACGACTTCTCGAACCGCCATCACAAGGGAAAAATCATCGTTCTGAACGCGCACCTGTTCTACACGCTGGTGGTCTTCGTCTTCTTGTTCCTCTTGATCATTCCGCCGTTGGGTATTTTTGGTTTCCACGTGTACATCAAAGCTAGACCACAAAGTTATGATGGACGATGGATTTGGATGACGTCCGAAATTATAACTACTTTAAGATTCATATTCATTTACACATGTCTTCACCCGTCTCGGTTTTATATATACACAGCTTTAACCTCATCTGTCAGGTCGCCCAGTATAATCTTCTGTACTGGCTTGTTGTGTAGTATCTGTGTCCCTCTGGAAATGAACTACGTACTTCACTCTTTTTCGCTTTTTCATAAAACCGATTGGGCGCAGAAGAAGTACCGGTCAGCGTGGTGCATGATATGCGTCCTTGGCGGACGGGAGGAGTATGAGGAGTGGAGAAAAATGAGAAAGGCGAGGAAGGAAGAGGTCCACGAATTGTGGCGTAAGATGCAAGAGAAGCAGATGTCGGACAAAGCCGGAGGAGGCGGATCAGGTGGGAGACAATCTCTTCTGCGATCGAACTCAATGAGTGCCTCGAAAAGAGCTTCGAAATTGGTCGAAGGCAAACACGAATCTGCTGCCTGGGCAAAGAAGCCAAACTTAAGGCTTCAGGTAATCCATCCTCAGAATCACTGTCTCAAGGGGAGGAGATGAGAAATGTCTCTGACCTGACAGCTATGTGCACGATGAGGCCTTCCGCTAAGGGGAAAGTAAGGGCAGGAAGACTTTCAAGATGGATTCCCGGAGCCTCTAACAAACGTGCAGCTGCCGAGAGCCGGCGGAGGCGGCTCTAAAGGAGCGGCGAGGGTGATGAACAACAGTGGTGCACAAATGAATAGAGAAGGAAGACACAGAAGTTCTCCAAGAGCAGATGCAGATCACCAGGATAGATCAAGCCCGGCGACATCTCCAGTGCTGCTTCTAGACGTGGACGACGGTAATTATTCGGATGAAAAAATTGACGTCGAAGCGGAACTAGCAGCTAACGGCGGTTGTCCCAGCGAACAAGAGTTACTGGACTTAGTCGGAGCCCCCGTACGAGCGACTCACCTGGTGCAAGCCTTTCGCGAGGGCAGTCATCAGGTGGAGTTTACAGAGGGAATGGATAAAGAGAAAACTGCCAACAACAAGGAGGGAACTGAGAAACCTGGCAAGAGAGGATATCAGAGATCGCATACTTTTGTAAATGCGTGGGGACATCTAGTTGTCGTTCCGGATGAAGCTGATCAGGAGGCTGGAAAGGGGGTCCCCTCCGGTGGTACTTATACTGTAGATACATGGATATACTGACATAACTTACTCTGTTCCTATTCTGTCGGTTCTAGATGATAAACACCTACATTAATGATAATGTCGTTCATTCATCCTGTATACCTTTATTCAATCGAAGGTCCCAGCGTTCCCGGAGGAGTGGAAACGGAGGAGTATTATTATCAGGCCAGGGAGCTGATCAAGAAGGTAAAATATGCAGATGACGGTGACTTTTCGATCTGGTGTCCCTGTTGCGAAGGAACCATGAGAAGATGCAGTGACCGTTGCTCGCCAGACACCTGCGGACGAGCGACGTGTTTGTATTTACGAAGGATTCAGAAGATTTTCATTTTGGTTTACTACATTATAACAACAACAAGCAAAGGTATGATGATGCGTTTCTTTCTCTGGTAAGGACTCTAGTACTGGAATTGTAACGAGGTGGGATTCTACGTTGAACTACAATCAAGAAGATGAATCCCCAATGTGGACTTTCTAATCCTTTGCGAAAATAGCTGCTCAAAGTGCATGGATTGGACTATTTGGGGCTTATTTTGTGGATTTTGCGATCTGAAGAATTGTGCCCAATGTTCGAACAAGAATGCGCGAAAAGACGAGATCATCTCGACCGTTATGATCGGCGCCTTCTTTTTTTTTCTGCTATTCTCTTTCTGGCTTGGTTTTTTGGCGCATCTGGGAGCAGGCTTCAACGGGAGCTACTGGTTTTGCGTCGCGAAGGGAGGTGGCTTCATGCTTAACTACGCCATGGCAATGGTGATTCTGCCTATGTATCGACACATCGCGGGTGCGATGCGGCAGTCAGGCCGCTTGAAGGCTTTCGTCCCCGATGAAAACATTTTCTGGCATAAACTAATCGCGTTTTTTGGGATCGGATACGGGACACTGCTTTAAGACGTTGTCCTGAAATACTTACACACTAGCCTCCACAAGCTTCGCCCGGCTTCAAGTTAGTTTAGCACTTTTCTGCGGCCTCCCACGGGCTACAGCCGCTAGAGTAGAGACAGCCCGCGGGTGAGCTG